CTGTCACTGACAAGCTAGTGAATTTTTCTTTTTTAGGATCTGATAGGAAAATTCTTTAAACGCAGTGACATTTTGGGGCAAATTATCTGATTTGTCCTAACAACACGTACCTTATTTATTGAAATGATATTCATATTTGAAATAATAAAATGTGTTTCGTTGAGATCTCATGCAGTCCGGCCCTGGCTTGAATGTGGCGGCCGGCGAGCCAGAAGTCAACCCATAAAATATTCATCGTTTCGGCCTCGGCTTGTGTAATCATCATTAGGGGGTCGACGACGAGTACGGAGTCACGTGACGCGATGGGGATTCCGCCTGAATACAGGTGGGCCGGTTCCCATCGGAGAGGGGGTCGATGATTGGAGGATGGGGGGTTGGGAGGTTGTTTTCGAGAGTGGTAGCTTTTTTTTGTTACGGAGGATTTTTCGCACAGGGCGTTGAGATGTTGAGGGTGAAAGGGTAACTCTTGTTTTCACTGTGCCAAACATAAGCATGTCAGGAGTAGGTAACCATACCTTTGAAGACATCCATTTCGATGCTTGGTATTACTATCAGCAATAACCTTTCTTGGGAAAATCACGTGAGATCATTTGCTAAAAGTGCATCCCAAAAACTTGGTTTTCTGTTTCGGGCCAGAAGCTATTTCACTTCCAGTCAGCTGGTTAGGATCTATAGGTTAGGTTAGGTTCCATGTGAGTGGGGCGAACACCTCCCCTCCACTGCGACCCCAGATGGGTCTATTGTGACTCACCCCTAGAGGTTACAGTTCACCGTACAATCCACATCTTTTTACAAAGTTCATGGTTGAATTGGGTGAGATTTGTCTGAAATCGATAGGTTCTAGGTTGGTAAAGCCAAATGTGTCGAACCTTAGTCTTTCTAAGCTAGAGCATGAACATAATATGTGTTCAGCCGTTTCGTCTTCCACACAACAGAACCGACAGTCCGTTTGTTGGTTCAGACCCATCCTTCCCAGGTGGTATCTTAGACGACAGTGTCCCGTAAGCAGTCCAGTCAGAATTCGCAGGTTACCCCTGCTTCATTCTAGGATCTGCCTGGTTATTTTTTCCGATGGCTTAGGCAGGAACGCCTTCGAATGGATTAATCCTGGTAATTCAGACCAGTACGTGAGTGTTTTTCCCTCCGACCAGCCCGAGATAGTTGTTTTCGCCGCACTTGCGGTGACCCCAAAATATGGTTCTGGTCCTATGAACACAGATTCGGTTCCCTGTTTGGCGAGGATGTCGGTTTTCTCGTTACCCTCCACCCCCTGGTGTCCAGGCACCCACAGCAAAGTGACTCTGTTGTTAGCACCCAGGCTTTCTAGGGATTCAATGCAGCTCCATACAAGCTTGGAATTTATCTTGCTGGAGCTCAGTGCTTCACTTCCAGTCAGCTGCTTATGATCTATAAGGCACAGATCCGACCTGTCCTGGAATACTGTTCCCATATTTGGTGTGCGGCACCCAAACATACTCTGAAACTGTTGGATTCTGTCCAAAAAAAGGCAATTCGTCTCGTGGGTGATGCCTCACTCACTTCTATGGAACACCGTAGAAAAGTTGGCGATCTGGCTCTATTTTATAGATATTTTCATGGACGATGCTCTTCTGAAATATCAACAATTGTACCTCCCTTGGCAGTCCCCGCGAGATTAACCCGTCGAGTTGAAGCTTCGCACCTCTTCATGGTCACTTTGGAGACCTGCGGAAAATCTCTTTCCAAAGACTCGTTCATCCAACGAACAGCGAGGCTCTGGAACACATCGCCAAGGGAGGTGTTCCCCGAAGCATATAACCCCCAGAAATTCAAGAAGAACACCAATTCCTACCTTATTTCTCTTAGTTCCCACGATGTTCTCTGAACATTACAGGTTATTCCTTTTCGTGGGAACCAGAACATTAAAAAAAATCATCTTTTCTTGGAAACTGAAATTTATGCTTTCATTATTCCGAAACATGGATATACCTTTTGGTCGAAATTTCACCAGAATGGAGAAAAAATGAAAAGGTTATACAGGGCGATAATCTCAAAGAGATAATATCCACTGACCTGAAAAAAGTTCAAATGTGGTGTGATGCTAATCTTTTATGCTTCAATGCTACTAAAACGAATATTCTGACATTCAGATTCAGCCACAATAATTTGTCAACCAAACTATGAAAAATATGTCCAGTGTTAAATTTTGGCATCTAATCTTGGGCGATAAATTGAAATTTGAGGAAATCCTCGTCTCCTCTCACTCTAAAGTGTTTGTGAAACAGTTATATAGTTCCATCTTTATTCATTCCTGGGGATAAACACTAGATTCCTGACATTTGTTGTTTTTTAGATTTTTAGGTTATATTGAGGACATTGGCGTATCATACGTAATTTCCACATGTAATTTATCATTCAACTCTACATATTATATCCAAATGATGATGATAATTTTCGAGTTTTTGATTTTTCAACTCCAGCGTAATCATTGTGAGGCAGTGAGCACATTTTTCTGAAAGTTTAATACGTTTTACCAAATGAGACTGTCCATATGCAGTACCTATCAATAAATGATTTTTTATTTCAGACTAAGCCTTATGATTGAGAAATGGTGAAAAATTTCGTATAGGTATTCAAACTAATGTGCTCATATGTCATGTGTGCTGTATATATTCATGTTGGGAATCATTTTTGCAGTTTTTCACGAACACTCAATATTTCCTGAATGTAGGGATAATTTTTTAAATGGTAGGGCATATGCCTCTTCTTTTAATCCTCCGTTTTAATCAAAACTGTTTCTACTGAAATCCATTCAGAAACTTGTGGAGTGGATAATTATAGGCACAATGAGAAAGTATAATATGTGATTTCGTATTAGTTTTAACTCGAATATTTTGCTGATGTATTTACCAATTTTCCTCATTCGGTCACTTCATTTTCCATGTTCTAAGTTCATTTGCATTTGATGGAAACCTGACAAATTCAAATTTGCCATCCAACTGATTGATACAGCCTAACGCAGCACATTTTACCATCCTTCCAAAATAGAATTGAATAATGTGGTATTGAGAGAAAGTATGGAATTAAAATTTTGTGACGCCTATGAATGTGACGTGACAGCAATGTCATGTCAGGGACGCCAATACACGAAACCAAAGTCACTAGATGATTGAAAGAGAAAGGAGCTATGATCTGTCCGTACCCTGTTAGATGACAAACACGTCAGTTTGCATCAAGGGACCTTACCCTAGAACATATAAAGTCGTTGAACAAAAAACTGGCTAGTGGATGCTTTGCTATCAGAGTAATTGTGAACGAACTTAGGTTTTTTATTAGTATGGCATCATATTTTGCATTAATTGAGGCCCATATGAGAAATGTCATACTTTTTTGGGATTTCTGTAGACAGCAGTCAGTCAATTCAATTTCTGTACTACAGAAAAGAGCCATTCACTATTTATCGGCCACTGTGCTTTTGCACTAGAGTCTAACACCATATAGTGAAGTAATATTGCGCCTCGCTCGCTGCTCGCTGGGCGCGAGAAACTGAACATTTTCGGCCGATCCTGAGAAGAAACATAATTGAAATAGCGAATATCACTATCCGCCTAACCATTAAATGCCTCCATAGTATTTTTTCGATCAAATACTTGAAAAAAAAAATAAAAAAAAGATTAGCTGGAGTAGGGATCGAACCCCGGTCTTTTCGCTCGAAGAATGACCACCACGCTTCTGGCAAAGCAAACTACAAATAGTTATTTGTTTAACTAGGCAGCAAAGTAGTAGATTGACTGCCGTGGCTGAATTCATAGCCGAGCGTAGCGAGGCTAGGAATCCAGCAAAGGCAGTCAATCTACTGTGCTGCCGAGTTGAACATATGATTTTTTCTCCGATTGTTCATAATGATATGGGAGAATATTGTGTTTGCGAATTAATACAATTCCCACAATCTCTTTATTCTTCCTGTATAGTGTTCAATTAAAATAAAATTTGATAGAAATCGCAGTTGTTGGTTTGACAATTAATGAAATTTCTGACAGTTGTGCGAAACAATATCGGTATATTTAAATTACTATATAATGGACAGTGATAGCGACCTGGAAGTATATACTTACACCTCCATTAACAAGGGAGGTGGCAAATGATATAGAGTTGAATTTGTTGCCGGAGAAGTCTCGGATGAAATGTGAAGGAAATTATAAACGATTTATGGATTTTTAATTTTGCTGACACATATCAATCAGCAAAGTTACCACTTTGCTGCCTAGGCAGGAAAAGTAATACTTTGCTGATTGATATGTGTCAGCAAAATTAATATTTGCTGCCAATCGGAGGAAAACAATTTTTTACGCTCTTGACTTACCACCGTGGCAATATTTCCCGTATAGTGGAATTGTTTTTTCGGCGTCGGCAACTTGTGGCAAGCATGTTTTGGGCCGACGTAATACCGATCGAAATTGTTTGCTGGGTAAAAGCTTTGAGTATTTACACTAGTAAGAGGAACCATGCATATGGAAGCGATGAAGCCAAAATTTTCGTTAGGGAAGTGTCGGTTATCTTGTGGCAGGTGAATGAACTAATTTCATTTTGCGATCGCGCAATACTTTCTCGAATATCATCCTGTGCAGATATCTGTAATCTTGTTCTATTCCATCCACAATCAACAAATTTTGTAATACAATATGAAGCGATAAAGCAACTTTGACAGAGATAATTTATAAAAAAGTTCTCTGTGCACCACCATTTCATGTTAAAATTTGCCTAGAAACTAAGTGGATTCTATGGTTGTCTATAGAAATACAAAGGGAGAAATATTCGAATCACCACAAGAACATTTAGAAATATCGTGATACGTATTCGAATAGAAAGTTAGATATGAGAAATTGTAGTTTCTTCTCAAATGCGAGTCAATGTTTCAGATCTCAGATACCAATTTCATATCTAGATTATTAATTAGTAACTACGTAAATATAATCAAGGGTAGAAGTCAAAGTAATAGAAGACATCGTCTTCCTTTTCAGCTGTCCAACACGAGAGGGCGCCTCGGTCTGCCCATCACGCTGCTCCTCTGCCGCCCTACCCGTTGGGCGGCCGCCTGCGCCCCTTCCCTTTCTCCGCGCTGGCCGGCGTTTCGACTCTTGCCGGCGTGCCCTTCCATCTTCAGGGCGGCGTACTAGATCCGCCCCTGTCTGCGGGCCACTTTTACCACCAGGGCGTCTACGGGGGAGGACTTCACAGGGGCCTAAGTGAGTTTTTGGTGATTCTGTGTGTTTGATTTACTGATTCCTAACTTTTCTTAGATCTTAGATCAGTATCTCGCTTCGCTCAAGTGGTCAGACTGGTGATATATAGCCTATATTAACTACTATAGTTGACCCGGCAAACGTTGTTTTGCTATATACATTATTTCTAGCGAGGCTCTGGAACACATTGCCAAGGGAGGTGTTCCCCGAGGCATATAACCTCCAGAAAATTAAGAAGAACACCAATTCCTACCTCATTTCTTTTGGTTCTCACGATATCGCTATTCGCGGGAACCAGAACATAAAAAAAAGTTGCATATTCATCAACACATTATTGTATTATTTTATTCCCTACTCCTTCTTAGTTTGACGACCGCAAGGTCGTGGGTTCGATTTCCAGCACGGGCAAGGAACTTTTTTCAATATTTTATTTACGAATTAAATATTGTAAAGTTTCGGAGCATCGGCTGGGGATAGTCCTGCACGATTCGCTGTTTTGCGTTCCAATTAACAGTGCTGCTCCTAAAGTGGCGCATGGAGTTAGTAACAAAGCCTACACAGAACACGCAGAAAGATATGATGATGTGGTTGTGAGCATCAGAGAAGAAGTAGGACGGTGTATGTAGGTGGGTGTGGAAAACTACCAGCTGAGCGTGAGAGTGGGCCAGCTGCTTAAGTAGACCTCGGTCTCGGGGGTTAACGATGATAGTTAGCAGGCCTGCCACTGCGTATATGGTAGTGAGTACATTACTATAGCCTACAAAACACAGCTGAAAAACTCTGAAAAGAGAGCTGATGGGCGGTGCCTGAAAAGGATGTTAGCCAGCTCTCTTGAGCGAACCACATCAGTCATTGAAAACACTTGGGGTTTGCAAAAAGGTCCCATTGGGGACTAGTTGCTGACGTGGAAACGTCCCCCACCAGTACCAGTACCAGTAGTTTGACTATCTATAAAAGCATATTTCTTCACTTCTTCGAACTACCATTTATTTCCTATTCCTTTTTAGTTATTTCAATTTTAATCTACTATTTATTTTCTACTTCTTTTTAGTTTGGCTATCCATAAAGGCGTGATTCATTAGTTTTCAAACTACTATTTATTACGAAGGTCGTTCGCCATATTGGATCAGCCATTTCGAATTCACCAGTTTCGACGTAAAAATCCAAATCTCTGACCCAGGAAAGCCCCAGAGGTACCAATTTCAGATAGAATCGGTTCATAATTAAAAAACTCATTTGTTATATTTTATCCCCTATCTTGAATTTCCAAATTTTTGTAAAAGAATCATAATTTCCGACCCCAAAAACTCCCAGATACAAATTTTGAATAGAATCATATCATAATTACGAAACTGGTTCGCCATCTTGAAATTCCGAATTTTGACAAATGGATCATAATCTCCCATCCCAAAAACCTCCAGAAACAAATTTTGATGAGAATCAGATCATAATAATTCCAAAACTCGTTCGCCATATTTGATCCGCCATCTTGAATTTCCTAATTTTGACGAATTTTAATACATTATTATCTATAATACCACGTGAAGAAGCCCATACTGCTCAGAGTGGATTGGTAATAGTTGAAGAAGGAGTAAATCTATGACATTTAATGGGTTTAACATGGTTATCTTGTTCCTGACTAAGAGAAATAAAAAAAATCAAATATTATAAAAATTGGTCTAGCCGTTCTTGAGTTATAAACGATGTAATAAACACGATTTTGTTTTATATACACGTCTGGCAAGAATTATTTTTGTATTGAGAAACCTTGTACAAGCGTCGTTGCCCCACCTACTTGAGTATGGCACGTGTGGCAAACAATAGAGGGGTTAACGCCATACGAAGCGTATGGCAACGTCGCTTTTTTCTCTCTTGGTTGAAATGACCATGCTCACGATTTGTCATCAACAGGAAAATTATTCTTGCCACACGTGTGTATATAGATTTCCACTTAAAAAATTGTATAAAACATTCAACTGCACTCAACTTCAGAACAATTTTTTTCTTGAAAAGTGTCATTCAAGTGTCATTCGGATTTAAAAATTGTCATTGCAAGAGCGTGCGTAGTTACAAGGGTGCGAATATTTTTTTATCTTTTACAATGTTGACATGTTTCTGCCTTTACTACTGGTAGTTCATATGAACGAAGCGAGAGACCTGAATCGTCCAGTGTGCAATGAAAGCGGGTAGAGGGCGCTTATCGAAAATCGAGTTGAGAATAGTGTGGAATTACCTGTATCATTAAATTTACAATCGAAATTTTTGTTCTCAGATTTAGCATCTAGTCCATACAACATTCAAAAACCAATGAGCAGTTTCATCAGTCCAACTATAACTAGAATCAAAGATGATGAAGTATCAAGTTCGGAAGAAATCGCTCAAAATAAATCACTCGAGGAAGGTATGTGAATTCAAAATACTGAAAATACGATTTATAAAAAAAGTGTAATTTCTAGATTTAGTTGATGAATCGAACAATCGTCTGGAATTACCAATAATCAATGACTCTTGTAAGGCCAGCATTCGACACTTGGAGGTGCCATGTTTGAATTTATTTCCAGCCGAAAACATCTATGAAACCGCAGCGAAATTATTGTTTCTGGCGATCAAATGGGCAAGAACTATACCGTCGTTTCTACAGGTTACTTCTCATATATTTCCAATAAACTGCAAAACAAACTTTAACAGATATTTTTCATTTGCAGTTATCATATCGAGATCAGTCGATTCTATTGGAAGAGAGCTGGAATGAGCTTTTTGTATTGACTGCAGCACAATGGGCGTTTGCCGTAGATGAAGGTATTGAATATAAATATCTATAAAATGAACGCACAAATCTTTCTTTTCGGTTCAGCAACCCTCTATCGAAATAAAAACAGTAAAATAAAATTCGAAATGATTTTGTCAACGGGTGAGAATTCGGAAGATAAAACATTATAGAAATCTTCCACAGCCATAGACTCATCATCCCAAGGAGACAGAATTATTTCTATTCAAATACCTCTCAGAAAGTAGTTGTTTTTGATGGCTCAGAAAGCAGATCCAATAGCTCAAAAAGTGGTTTCAATGGCTCAGATAGCCGTTCTAATAACATATAGCGGTTCCAATGACTCAAAAAACGGTTTCAATAGCTCAGAAAGTGGTTCCAATAACTGAAAAAGCGGTTCAATTTCACTATCATACATTAGCGGACATAGTTTTGAATAATAGTTCACCTTACCTGTTTTTCGTGATTTTCATTAAGTAAATGAGGAGTTAAGTGTGAAAGGATCCTTAGGTGTAAAGTGTACAAGATTCAAATGTTTCCTTCCACAAATACCTTTTTATCATATTAACACTAATATAACGGCAGCCAATCCGGAGTAAGTTAACCCAGAGTCCGATTGGAATTCAACATTGTCATCATCACGGAATGATTGAGGCAAAACAAATAAAATTTTATGAACGAAATGTTAGGTCTCCTCTTGGGATAATGAATCTAGGCAACACATTATATTGAATACAAAAGTAGAATCTGTAGACGACAATGGACTATGAACAATCAGTAGGTATGTTGCATGCATTAAGGGTCTATATTTTTCAGCTATTTTGATCGGAAACGCAGTGGCTCCATCTTCGAGACATTCCATATTGGAAGAGGAGGCGAGAAAACTGAAAGATATCATAACAAGGCTCAATTTACTCAGGGTAGATCATACTGAACACGCCTGTTTGAAGGCATTAGTGCTATTTAAAGCAGGTAAATATCGTTTTTATATACGGGATGATACAGCTTTCAATCATCAATTATCAGGGATTATCCTTCATCATAGAATAGCCCTTATGAACCAACGCCATAAGATAATGTTATCCTGAAATTTTTTACTGATATATGTATTGAAAAAATCAAGTGATTTCAGAAAACAGATGATATTGAATGTTACGATGATTTAGTCGAGTTTCATTTTAGAAGATATCAGGTATAGGTTGTCATATATTTCATTTCAAATTCTAACATTAATCATCTTTTTGATAATCAACGTTGTATTGATGATGTATTCGGAATTTGACCTCGCGGTGAATTGCATATTCCCAGTTTTTGAATAGTCCTTGTCCAACGGGAAACTAAAAGCATAAACTTTTGGACCACCCAATGATTTCGCCTATCACAACACAAAATATTTCACAAAACAGTAATTTTTCCGCCAATTATTATGATGAATAAACAACAAAAGAATTCGAACACGCGACCTACCTAAACAAACTGTCGACAGTCGACGTGGCCTCAGTTAGCTGACGTCACGAGCTGTTCACTGCGAGCCTCCAGGCCTTGGTAGTATCGGGGGTAATGGTTAAACCAATGAACTCAATATAAACAACTGGAAGGGGCCCTCTGTGAACGACGAGTGAGGCAAAAATATTGTTCAGGCAACCCGCAGTGTTTACGGATACCTATCTCTCTCTATCTTATGTTCGCTAATGGGAAGCGCTCGCATTATTTGAAATATTTTCTCGTTTTTTGCTTTTATTTAAGAGTAAACGTGATCAAATAAAAATATTCATATAGGAAAAAGGAGAATGTTGCAATCAATTATCATTAAAAAATTATTATTGATTTTTTTATTGACTTACAAATGAAATTTCATTTTTATTCTTACAGGATTATAGGAAGTTAAATGAATACAAAATTGTAATTATATATTTTCATTGAAATGTCACAATATATTGTACAGGGTGAGCGAAGCACAATGTCTTAGCACTATCAGAAGAAAAAGAAAAACGATAGGGAAAATTTGAAAAGAGGTTCTTGAATGGTATTGACTACCTAAGGTCCATTTTGAGCATAATTTCCATAGGTTCCTATTTTACCATAAGGTCACTGCCTACAAACATATCCCTATTAGAAGAGAACCCGTCTCCCTTTCAGGTGTTTATATTGAGTTCATTGAGTATTTCCCTTTTAGAGAGTAGAGGGCTATGCGAGCCCACGCACGTCGAACTCCTGCAAGACCAGACGCACGTGATGCTGCACGAGTACTGCGCGCATGCGCATCGACAGGCCCCGCCCCATCGCGCTCAAGGCCGGTTCGGCAAGCTGCTGCTGACGCTGCCCGCTGTGCAAGCGGTGTCGAAACGGGGGCTGGAGGAGCTGCTGTTCAGAAGGACGGTGGGGGACGTGGCGATAGAAAGGTTGTTGGGGGATCTGGCAAAGGCCGCCGGGCCGTGATGGAATGGAGAAGAAGAAGAATAAGGATGAAGTATACATCGTGTCCCAGCTAAACTGTCCCCCCCCTGTAAAAAATCAACCACGCGATCGAATGACGTCTCTTAGTCTTGAGATTCTAGGTTTATCACCATCTGTTAGTGGAACATTAAACCACTTTGAGAATTACAGGTGTTGCGATAGTCTACAGAATCTGACATGGATGTCTTTTCTGTAAGCATATAGACGTAGGGGTCTATATGCACGACTTAGTCGCAAGGTATGATTGATGAATCTACCTATACACCTTGCACTTAAGCCACTAGATGGCTATGAAGGCTAGATCGTCCTTCTGCCCCCTCAGGGCTTCGACTTGACTTAAAATTTGGTCACCCAGTATATTTGATGATGCTCACTCGAAATATGCTATCGAATAAATCGTAGATATACAGGGTCACACCGAAGTGCACCTAAACTTTCCTATTTGAATAGGAACACCCAGTATATCAATCCATATTCAAGTAGAGTTCATTATCACAAATTCAACAATGCCGGGTTTGATGGGATTTTTTTCGAATCACTACGAGGATATGGCAAAAATCAAAAAATAAACCAAATCAATAAACAATTCATATGATTAGATTTTAATATAACATGATTGAAATCGAATGATGGGTGTTCTGCAGATAACTACAAGCCCGTGAAGGATTATCTTCGCCATCGGTTTGGAGAAAATCTAATAACCACCAATTGTCGTGATAGCATCTGGCCAGCTCGGTCGCCAGACCTCAACCCATTTGATTTTTATTTGTGGGGCTACTTGAAACAACAGCTTTATGAGTCGCCAATTGTGAATATGGAAGTAATAAAAGAGAAAATCACAAATATATGCGCACAAATTGAGCACAACGTGATACATAGGGTCACAATGAACGTTATCAATAGAGCTAGGAAATGTTTACAGCAGAATGGTCGACATAATGAGCAGTTGAGGTTTTAATTATTTTCTTTCTATTCGATTTCAATCGTGTTATATTAGAAACATCTAATCATAGGAATTTTTTATTGAATAGTTTTGTTTTTTGCCATATCTTCGTAGAAGTTTGCAAAAATCCTATCAAACCCGGCATTTTTGAATTGGTAATAATAAACTCTACTTGAATATGGAATAATATACTTACTGGGTGTCCCTATTCAAATAAATAAAAAGTTCAGATGCACTTTGGTGTGACCCTGTATACCTACGATTTATTCAATAGCATATTTCGAGTGAGCATCATCAAATATACTGGGTGATCAAATTTCAAGTCATTCGATCGCGCGGTAGATTTTTTACAGGGGGACACATTTTAGCTGGGGCACGGTACGTGTATACAGTGTGTCCCACTTACCATGCTCACCATGGGTATCTTTCTAACGGTGAGAGATACGAGGTCTGTTAAATGACACCGAATGTGGAGTTTGTCAAGGCCAACTATAATGTGAAACAATATTTTGATAAAATCTATTCGTTTTTGTTTTATAGGTAAAAAACAGATTTTGATCATTTTCATGTCTCCTCCGTAACTTCTTTATTTATGAAAATATTCAAATAGGAATTTCACTAATAGTTTTTCAAAGTGATTTTGAAAAAAATATGTAATTTATACCAACTCTTCTAGAATTTGAAATATCAGCACCAACTTTAGTTTTTCAAATGTAGGTCATAGCTCACTATGACTTAGTTACATTTTTTTTTCTCTTACAGATGATATGTCGCAGTAATAGTTTTGTGTTGATAACAACGGAGTTATCCTCATTTATACAAAAACAAAAAATTATTTGGAAGCCGCCATCTTGAATTTATAAATTTCAACAAAAAAATCATGATCTCCGACCTCAAAAATCCACACTTACCAATTTTGAATGGAATCGGGCCAAATCTTGTCGGCCATCTTGAAGCAGCCATTTTTTTTAATTTCAAAAAAAATTCCATAATGTATTGTCACCGAAATTATGAACACCTGCCAAATTTCAAGTTAATCGCCTCGACACGTGTTTCGCTAACTATGTTAGCATCTTCAGGAGAAGATTAAAACTGAGTTTTGGTTAGTGGTAAAACAGTGTAGTGAGCCACCTACTTATACAGAGTGGGCCAACGGAAACGATACAGACTATTCAAATTCTATTGGTCAGCGAGATGGAAGCAAGGAAAATGAATGTGACAGCTGCAGATTCAATAAAAATGTGTCTCCTATGATTTAAAAGTCGACTTATTCCAGAGCGTTGGTCCACTCTGTATAACATTGATTTGTTTGCTCAGTATTACGCGTCGAGAATTTTGCTATTTGCTCAGACCGCGTTGTGGGCACTTTTCATTTCATTTCTATTATGTAAATATTGTGAATATAATTTTTTATTTATATTTCAAACCGTACTAGTCAATTTGTGAGTAATTTATATGTAAAATAATTAGAAATGATCGTGAAATATATGTACAATGAATATTATAATTGTCTAATAAAAATTGCAGATATTTTTTTCTGTTTTTTTCTCCAAATCAAAATACATAATTCATTTCATAAAAATATATTGAAAACTATAAAATGAATATTTCAGGCAGGTACTTAGAAATAATGATGATCCAAATATAATACTTCAAAATCTCGGAATGTTCTGATATTAAGCTGTCGAAAATATTGCTCTATTGATCACAAGTTCAGTCTCACTAAAACAAAAAAAAACGCTTCAAACACTGACATTTACCCAAGAGTCACAGCCACACAATTATAAATACATCTTAATTTTCACAAAATTATATAGAATTACTTTGAATTTATGCGAATTGAATGCATTGGTATTAGAGCTAAGTTTGAAAGCAAATAAAATTATATCTGGGGTACCCCAAGGATCGGTTTTAGGTCCTGTTCACTTTTGTGATTTATATAAGTTCAATTGCATCATTTTGGAAACCGATTATAGGAAATATGTACAGTACCTACCTTAATTAACCTGGCTAACTAGATCCCAATTGGTTATCTCTGGATCAGTACACATTTTCATCACTACCGATCCATCCGCTTCTTTTTTGTTAACTCCCAGACAAGTACCAGCTGCTAAATTGTATATTGGCGTATTTTTCTAAAACAATACAAGCCTATCATGACTTCTCCTTTCTTTAAAATGGACTAACTTCTAATCCATATTTTTTTACAGGAATTTGACCAAATTTTAGTGTTTCCCTATGTGGAAAACAATAATGTCCTCATGAAGACTATTGAAACATTTGAAAATGTATGAACTATAGAAGCTACTTTTATTTATTTATTTATTTATTTATTTATTCATTTATTCATTTATTGAATAAATAACTTCCAGGCAGAATAGGCTCTGGTATAAGGAAGTACATAATTATATACCTATAGGTAAACATAGCATCATTCAAAATATATCAACAACTGCAATTTTTTATATTATCAGGTAGTTTATTGAATTCAGTTAAGGCTGAATGAGTGAATCTTTTTTGTCCGATTAGGGAGCTAGCGGCGTCAAGATGGAACAAGTTATATTGTCTAGTTTCATGATTATGAATTTCAGAATTTCGTATCAAAATAATATTCGACTTCAATTTTTTATTTATGATATCATATGATATTTTAAGAGTTTCAATTCTATATATTTCATCTAAAGAATACGTATTTGCTATTTCATACAATTGATTGGTTGGTGTATCAAATGGGAGACGATACAATACTTTTAACGATTTTCTATATAATGTTGATATTTTATTGAAATTATTTTTTGAACAAGATCCCCAAACATTTATTAAATAGTTGATACGACTCAGTATATGAGAGTAGAGAATCATGGTTGCAATTTTAATATCAAGTTTGGGACATCTTCTCAATGCACCAATAATTGGAGATATTTTTTTTGTCAGAACACCAATATGTTTGTCCCACTTCAAACTGCCATCAAACCAAATTCCGAGATATTTTATCTGGTCAGTTTGTTTCAAGAGTTCATTTTTTATTTTAAGGTTGAGGTGAATTTTTTTACTTTACTAACAAAACCAATCTAACTATGGAAAATATCACGCTCTTTTCACTCACCCCGCCTTTATGCTTCCACTCTTGATTTCCACCCATTTCATGGCATTTGTACAAGATGACAGATATTTTACCGGTCTGGAGACATAGCAACTGGGATAGGACGAGTTCGTGTTTATCCGTTTCATACCACATTTGATTCTTGGTTCTCAAGCAAGGCCTTGAAATGAACAATAAATAAATGTACGCATTTTCTACTCCAATTTTGGTGAGTTGAATCTAACTAGAAACAATTCTCATTGTCTACCTTGAACAGAACCATAATTTGTTTTAGATCACTTAGACTCTGAGGAAATATATCCTTGATTATTTTGTTTATTTTCTGGTTCCCACGAAAAGGAATATCCTGTAATGTTCAGAGAACATCGTGAGAACCAAGGGAAATAAGGTAGGAATTGGTGTTCTCCTTGAATTTCTGGAGGTTCTATGCCTCGGGGAACATCTCCCTTGGCAAAGTGTTCCAGAGACTCGTTGTTCGTTGGATGAACGAGTCTTTGGAAAGAGATGTTCTGCAGGTCTTCAAAGTGACCAAGAAGGGGTGCGAGGCCTCAACTCGACGGGTAAATCTCGCGGGGACTGCCAAGGGAGGAACAATTAGTGATATTTCAGAAGAGCATCGTCCATGAAAATATCTATATAATAGAGCCAGATCGCCAACTTTTCTACGGTGTTCCAGAGAAGTGAGTTTGTGAGCGAGGCATCACCCACGAGACGAATTGCCCTTTTTTGGACAGAATCCAACAGTTTCAGGGTATGTTTGGGTGCTACACTCCAAATATGGAAACAGTATTCCAGTACAGGTCGGATCTGTGCCTTATAGATCATCAGCAGCTGACTGGAAGTGAATAAGCTCCTGGCCCGAAACAGGAAACCAAGTTTGTGGGATGCACTTTTAGCAATTGATCTCACGTGATTTTTCCAAGGAGGGTTTGTGCTGATAGTGATACCAAGTATATTCGTAAATAAAATATTGATCACAAACGATAAGAATTCCACAAAATTATCAAACACACATGTTTCGCTAACACAGTAGCTTCGTCAGGTGATGTACTGGTATGACGAACTAAACTAATCTTGGCTTGCTTATACAGGGTGTAAATTTGAAAACTTTCAATGCGAATATCTCGCGAAAGAAAAAAGTTAGAAAAACGCCGTTTGGCGAAAATGCTAAAGAGTTAAGGGGAACTAGAACCACCATATTTCGGCCAAGGGATGAGCCACCCCGTCGGCGCGACACACCCCAACTTTGAAATGTCAAATGGCACTACCTTTTTTGTAATGCCTCAAATGAACAGTCTCAGTCAGTAGTATTCACCTGTACAAGACTTTTTTTCCACCCACTACAGGGTGTACGAAAAATATAAAGTCGAATAAAATAAAATGAATTGTGTTAAAAGGATATTTTATTTGATCAGATGTTAAAAATAAATTCCATTCTGTTGTAAGAAATAGTATAATCGATGTTCAAATGCCATTCTAACATTTTGGAATATATCGGCATTCTGCATTTTATTTTATTCGACTTTATGTTTTCCGTTCACCCTGTAGTGGGTGGAAAATAAGTCTTGTACAGGTGAATACTACTGACTGAGACCGTTCATTTGAGGAATCACAAAAGAGGTAGTGCCATTTGACATTTCAAAGATGGAGTGTGTCGCGCCGACGGGGTGACTCATCCCTTTACTGAAGTATGGTGGTTCTAGTTCCCCCTAACTCTGTAGCATTTGTGCCAAACGGCGTTTTCCTAACTGTTTTATTTAGCGAGATATTCGCATTGAAAGTTCTCAAATTTAGACCCTCGAATTAATGTTTTTCGTACACCCTGTAGTGGGTGGAAAAAAAGTCTTGTACAGGTGAATACTACTGACTGAGACCGTTCATTTGAGGTATCACAAAAGAGGTAGTGCCATTTGACATTTCAAAGTTGGGGTGTGTTGCGCTGACAGGGTGACTCATCCCTTCACTGAAATATGGTGGTTCTAGTTCCCCTTAACTCTTTAGCATTTTTACCAAGCGGCGTTTTACTAACTTTTTTATTTCGCGAGATATTCGCATTGAAAGTTTTCAAATTTACACCCTGTATATCCTACTTTCCCAACCTGAAGGATTAGTAACCTATGTGGACAGGTTCGATAAACCTTAACCTTCATTTTCGGAAATTAGGCACAATATCTACCGCTACACCGTATTTTAATGTCGAACCTGTCCACAGGTAAGTAATCTTTAAGGATTTCCATCATCTTATAAACAATTCAAGGCAATATACTACCTATATTAACTATTTGTATGTATGACAAAAGGCAGTAGTGATTTTTTCCAGATTTTCAGAACCAAGATTTTGAATTTCAGACTTTATATGAGCTTCAGCTTGAACTTCAAGGTTGCCTTTAAGATTTCGATTTATGAACAAGACGACAGCATCAATTCTCACCTGAGTATCAAGGAACTGCCTTTTGTCTTGAACCCTTCCTCTGCTTCAATACACAAAGAACTATTCGACAACCTCAAGGAGAACATGTCCACATAGTTCCTTTTCCGCTGGTGCCACGGCTGGAACTTGTCTTGTTCCACCGCCGACCATTTTTTCTTCAACCTTATTCAAAATATCAGTAATCAAATTTCAATTTACTTTTATAAAACTTTCAAGCGTTATGTATTCGCTGGCATTGCTCCATTTTGAAAGCTAGTTTTCCCTTGCATGAAATTTATCTAGGCAATATATTTAGGCAATACTTATACAGGGTGATTCACGGTGGATGGCACATTAGATGTTTCTGGAGAACTCAACTCAGGATTATTCTGAAAAGTTAGTGCCTTGGATAATTAGTTGTGTTCTATCGACCTATTATCCCCGCTCGACCCCAAGTGTGATAGATCGATGGAATCAGCTCTTCAGGGAGAATGAAAATGGAATGATATACAGGGTGTTCCATTGAAAAAAATCAAAGTTGTTGCTACTTTTCAATATAAGCGGCAACGCTGAGAATATTTTAGGTCGATAGAACACAATTAATTATCCAAGGCACCAACTTTTCAGAATAATCCTGAGTTGCGTTCTCCAGAAACGTCTAATGTGCCATCCACCGTGAATCACCCTGTATAACTATAATGGAAGGCCTGTCGAAAACGTCTCACCCAAGTTTTCTCCGTTGTTGAAAAATGTGTCCCCCGCAAAATTGAAATTGACCTGTCCCAGCAATTTTTCATTATTTGCATAACTGAGAAAACTTGGGTGGGTGGGACGTTTTCGAGGGACAACCCGGTATATGCAGTAGATGCAATGCAGAGTCGTCAACGAATACATAAAAGTTTTGTCGTATCTAAATTGATTTTAACTTATTTAATTCAATTTGGCTATCACTCAAATACTCTCCCTTTTTCTTTTTATGAAACAGAGTAACTCTATGTTGTATTTTGGACATATACCGGGTCTTCAACAATAATTGAAATCCACGTGACAGATTACTATGCAACCAAGAATACAGTCGTATCTCTTTAACATATATCTACTACTCATATACAGTGGCGGCTCCTCAGAGGAGGCAACGCAGGCTGAGCCTCCTCAGAGATTTTCCTTAAACTGATAATATTATCTATACTTTCCCATTAAAAGGACAACAAAATACATGGATTTTGATTTTATTTCCTGTTTTTAGGTAAAAATTTTTGAATAGGCAACAGTGCCTGCCCACGCATCACACGTTGAAATCAGCAAATCACGCGTAAAATATTCAACTTGGCAACATCTATAGGAGGCTAGACTCCTTCTCATTACGCAACCCACGCGCGCAATGCAAATGCCCGAATACGCCTGAATAGCACGTGTTTGTCGTGTCGCGTCGCAAATTGCGGAAAATCCATCGCGAGTGCATTGTTTATGTTTATGTTAGGTTAATGGTTAGGGGCTCTATAAATTTCTGAAAAATGAGAGTTTTAAACGATTGCGATTTAGTGAAATACTTTTTGGTGAACCCATTCAGTGCTTTGTCTTATGAAGATAAATTGATTGTGAAAAACAAACGTCCGACACCGGAATTAAGAAATCTGATTGTAACAGGTAACAAACAAAATCGTTCGTTCAATTCTGATAATTATAAAGAATATATCTGGTTGACGGAATCTGAGGTAAGGAATAGGCTATTTTGTTGATACTGCGTATTATTTTCAACCGATAAGTCATCATGTTGGGGGCGTTTAGGAAATAATGATTTGAAAAATTTGCCTCGCGGATTGGATAGACACTGCAAATCACAGGAACACATCTCTTCAAGTATTAAGTTCAGGTTAACTGGTAAACAGAATGTCATTAAAGCTATAGATTTGGGTGAGGAGAGTTGTTTTTCACAATAAATCTCATATCATTCAGCCTCCTCTGTCATGAAGGTCACGAGCCGCCACTGCTCATATATGAAGCATAGCTGTCCTCAAAGCGGGACCAACTTCTGTATCTATAGGTAACGAAATCGACCAATAGGAGTTGATGCCGACATGAAGGAAAAAGTAATAAGAAACTTGTCAAACCAATATGGCTGTTTCCATCCTTAACTTTCCGTCCTTATAAATTCAAAAAGTACCTGCCATCTTGGTCCCATTTTTGTTGAGATATCGTATAGGCGATGATGCGATATCTATAGAAATAGTAGATACCTATATGCTCTTTAACATGTGTGGAAAAGAGACGCTGCTTCAAAAACGGTCAGGTGGCACTCAATCATTGTTGAAGACCCGTTAATACACTCAACTCAACTCATTTTTATTATTATTATTATTATCATAATAACCTAGCTTCGTCGTCAGAGGGAAGAACCATCTCGGGATAAACGTTCTTCAGATACCAGTCGAAGTCGAAGCACTTCAATTCTTGACGCAATAGTTGACGTGACGAAATGTCACCATAGTTGACAGATTTAGCGTCCGGTCGTAATTTAAGGAAGTGCTCCTGAACAGAAAAAAGATATGTTGTTATTAGGTTTGTTCAAAAAGGCTACAAAGTCTATGTACTGTGCTTTATTACGAATTTCGTGCCCGGATTTTGAGGTTATATTGTTATATAAGTTGTTTCAAACGAAATTTTTACATGACTGAGATGTCTATGAGTCATACTAGTTGCCTTGGTTACCCCAAATACACGATGAAAAGTGTAACAACTCACTAGACACTTTCAAGGTTTTAGTTGATACCAATTTCGAAATATAAACTATATAAACTGGGCGTCAATTGAAACGTTAATAGTGAAATTTGGCATCAAGTTTGACTTCTCGTAATTTCTAAAATATTGAACGAATTTTGAATTGCCGCCCAGATTCAGAATGCCTTTTTCATCGTCTTCCGAACCATTCCTTACAGCTTCTTTTAAATTGATCAGGACCCGTAATACAGGGTGAAACAAAGTTTCGTGCATTTTGAAGAAAATTTCTCCGCCCCCCCATTTTGTCGGAAGACCACGATGCTCATATTTCATTCGGGCATTTCATAAATAGCAACCATACCTCGGGACATTTTCGAGTTTTTGCCAAAAACTACTGTGGTTTCCGAAAAAAAAATTTTTTTGAATTTTTTTCAAATGGACTGATTACCTGTATCCTCAAAACGATGAATCAGTCTATTTATTGTCATGACTGACTTATTGAAAATTGTACTTAAATGAGTTTGGGTATATCCTAATCGTCGTAGCCTGAAATAATAATTATCTGTACTGAATTGTAGTTTATATCACTATAGCTAGTGATCTTAACTAATGATTATCCATTTCGACCCTATTTGAACGAGGCATCTTTAAATTTTTTAGTACCCGAATTACACTGACGTTTTCATGAAAATTGGCAATTGATATAACCTTTATGCATATCTACATTGTTTTAACAATACGTTGTTATAGAAACAAGGTATCGTTGTTTGTTTTTGTTGATGAGATGTGTTGATTTGCTGCTCACTAAGGTAGAAAACTTTTATCATAGACTGTAAAGTAATAAATTATTGATTGTTTTTGAGTAACCTGATATACATATCTGCTCCAACGCTTTCCTGAAATGCATAATAGCATCCATTTATGGAACTCCTCTAAAATTAGTTCATTTAAAAAAATACAAAAAATTTTTTTTTTTTTCGGAAACCACAGTAGTTTTTGGCAAAACCTCGAAAACGTCCCGAGGTATGGTTGCTATTTATGAAATGCCTATATAAAATATGAGCATCGTGGTCTTCCGACAAAATGGGGGTGCCGAGAAATTTTTTTCAAAATGCACGAAACTTTGTTTCACCCTGTATCACGGGTCCTGATCAACTCAGAAGGAGCTGTAAGGAATGGTTCGAAAGACGATGAAAAAGGCATTCAGAATCTGGGCGGCAATTCAAAATTCGTTCAATATTTCAGAAATTACGAGAAGTCAAACTTGATGCCAAATTTCACTATTAACGTTTCAATTGACGCCCAGTTTAGTACCTATCATCTGTATGGGAATTTGAATCAAATCGAGTCATAGAAAGAAAAATACCCAATGGCATCCTAATGTTGAATTTGATAATTTTCATTTGTCAATGTTGGTAGAACTCATAATTAACATTCAGGTCAGCCAATCTTGGGTTATTAAACTCATTGGGCGTCATCTACCAGTCAACAGTGAAACTAGAACCTCATTTGTCCATGATTTCGACTGTTTTGTCGCTAAGTTTGATCAAAAAAAAAAAGAAACTTCTTATAATGATGAGAAACTTATCGAATAATAGGTATTCCCATGAATTTTCATTTTTCTGAATGTGCGATTGATTTTAATCTATACTACCTTGTAATCGTCCATCCATACATGAGCCACCCTCAACGAATTGTGCAACATGGTATCCTCTCCATCAGGAGATCCATATGGTCTTGTGTGTCTGAACACGTGACCCACCCTACTACAAGGAATCAATTCCAAGGTTCCACCACACATCCAAATCTGAAAGAATTCGACAGAAACCAGGAAAAAGTGAGTACACGGTAGTGAGAAAATAAAATAGTTGCAAAGTTTGCAAGTTGAGGAAGGAGAAAGGAGATGGAGAAAGAAGGAAGGAGAAAGGAGATGAAAGGAGAAAGGAGATGAAAGGAGAAAGGAGATGAAAGGAGAAAGGAGATGAAAGGAGAAAGGAGATGGAAGGAGAAAGGAGATGAAAGGAGAAAGGAGATGAAAGGAGATGAAAGGAGATAGGAGATGAAAGGAGATGAAAGGAGATTAAAGGAGATGAAAAGAGATGAAAGGAGATGAAAGGAGATGAAAGGAGATGAAAGGAGATGAAAGGAGATGAAAGGAGATGAAAGGAGATGAAAGGAGATGAAAGGAGATGAAAGGAGATGAAAGGAGATGAAAGGAGATGAAAGTAGATGAAAGGAGATGAAAGGAGAAAGGAGAAAGGAAAAAGGAAAAAGGAAAAAGGAGGAATGTGAGAGGATGAAGGAGAAATAAAGCGAGTTGGGTGTTATTTACCCTGAAAGATATTTCCAAATTTTCTCCACCCCAGATATTCATTCCTGCATCATATTCTCCGATATCCACGAAATATTTCTTGTCGATTGCAAACAAGCCCCCAGCCATAGTTGGGGATTTGATAGGTTTTATAAAGTCCTCCTTGGTTTCCAAAGTACCTGAAAACATTCCCGAGAAAAAAATTTATTTCATTATTTTGAAGTAGTAACCCAAACTTGTTCACTGTCGTAAACCGTTATTTTCTCCTCAGAGCTCTCAACATGTAAAAAGCAGGAAAGTGTATGACGTCATATACCGCGATCAAACCATTGCAATTATTGTATATACGATATGACTTATACAGGGTGTCCGGAGATGAAACCGACAAAACTCATGTGGTTATAGGGACTGTCAATATGATTGCAAAATGCCATAAACAAATGTCCAAAACGGCTTCGTTACTGAGATACAGAGTGATTTGTGGATTTTGACAAAAAATTCAAACCGCCATATGAAATACAGGGATTAGCCGATTGGATTCAAATTCAGTACACGAATTACACTGAAAAGTATCAACAAGTAGCCCTTTGATCGAAACCAATATCAGGACCGGAATAATATTTTTTCCCTATGTTGAGTTATTGTTAGGATAACTCACCCTGTATCATAATAACCAAAAATGTCAACTCAGATTCGCAATTTACGGTGAAAATTGTATAGGAATTTGTTGAAAAATCTCCTGGCACCATCTTAGTTATTCCGTGATTAATTATCATTTTGATTGTTTTCATTGAAAAATCAATCATTGTCGGATAAAGTACGTATATTTACGAAACCATGACATGGATGTCGTTATTTTCTTCGATCAGTTCATGAATCGGAGTGAAATGAAATATTCTCATAACCCGATAAAACTGAAGAATAAATTCGTATCAGGACTGGAATGAGTGTTTTGTTTGGTCATGTTAGCTGACCTAGTACATCAATAGTTATCAATAATCTGATCGTAGATTCGGAATCAAAGAAAATCGTATAAGAACCTGTTGAAGAAGGATAACAGTGAAGTTTTCGTTAATAATATTCGCTCACTAATGAATTTGAATTTATGAGAATACTACACAAACAATAACTGTTTGTAATGAACATAACAAAAGCAACGAATTCGTGAAAAACTTTCACTACCCAGTATTACAAAACATTTTCGAAGTGGAGCCCTCCAACATCAATACATTTTTGAGAGCGTGCTATTAGATGATTCACTGACTTGCGAATTATTTGAGGGTTATTTCTAACACTAACACATGCAGCAGTAATTTCCCATAAAAAATTTCTTCATTATGAACTTCTTACTTTAAATGACCTCATAAAAAATAATCTAGCTGAGTTAGATCAGGGGATTGCGGTGGCCATCTATTGGGGTAATTGGCATCGAGATGGTTTCTAACTGGAACTGAAAAGTGAGGTCTAGCACCATCATGCTGAAACCATATACCTCAGGTATTTACACCTTGCAATAGATCCGGTCAAGTATTGACCAGGAAATTTAGATAAACATCACCAGTTAAAGCCCAAACACAAATAGAATATCTGCGTATTCCTCATGTGTGAAATGAAACGGCATCATGAGCACACTAGAATAATGAATGAACACCAATAAAACAAACGCTGATGACAGCTGAACAATGGTTTTCCATAATGAAATTCTGAATTTGACACAAGCCTAGTATTCTTTATACACAAACATTATAAGGTACTGATGCGGATTTATTATTTGAAAGTTCAGTCCGATAATTTTTCAACAAGTTTTTAACTTTTCTCAGTGCATTTCGAATCTGCGATCAGATCATTGTTATACTAGATCATCTATTCTTACAGGAATATAATCATAGAAAACCGCATTCCAGTCCTGATACGAATTTATTTTTCAGTTTTTTCGGGTAATGAGAGTATTTTATTTCACTACGATTTACGGACTGATTGAAGAAAATAACGATATTCATGTCATGGTTTCGTTAATATTTATTATATTACCAATTTTGATAGTACTTTATCCGACAATAATTGAATTTTGAAAGAAAAAAATTAAAATAATAAGTAATTACGGAATAACTAAGATGGTGCCAGGAGATTTTTCAACAAATTCCTATACAATTTTTACCGTAGATGTCGAATCTGAGTTGACATTTTTTGTTATTATTATACAGGGTGAGTTATTCTCACAATAACTCAACATATAATCTCCAGAAGTTCAAAAAGAATTCCAATACCTACCTCCTGTCCCTATCCTCCCTAGGAACGCACGATGTTCTTTGAACATTATAGGGATTCCCTTTTCGTGCGCTCCAAGCGATAAAAAAAAAAAAAACATAGGGGAAAAATATCATTCCGGTCCTGATATTGGTTTCGATTAAAGGGCTACTTGTTGATGCTTTTCAGTGTAATTCGTGTACCAAATTTGAATCTAATCGGTTAATCCCTGTTTTTGATATGGCGGATTGAATTTTTTGTCAAAATCCACAAATCACTCTGTATGTCAATAACGAAGCGGTTTTGGACATTGGTTTATGGCATTTTGCAATCATATTGACAGTCCCTATAACCCCACAAGTCTTGTCGGTTTTATCTCCGGACACCCTGTATATTGTCTATAATTCAGTACACTCCTACTAAGGAAGTAAATTCCTATTTCTATGTAGATTTTGGAAATATAATATTTTCATTGGTTTTTGACTTGTTGAGCCATAAAACACTAATATCGGTATGTCATGTCATCTGGAAGGAGCGTTTTTGAGAGGTGATTATTTTGATCATTGTAAAATAGTATATTGTTTAACGAGCATGGAATGATAGTGATTTCTAACAAGAATGCAGTTTGCAGCATGAGCCGTAGGCGAACGCTGCAATCATTCGAGTGGGAAATTAACATTTCGTGCGAGTTATACACCACAATTTTATAGTAACATAATTAATAACAGCGACATTTTTTATTTCTTCGTCTTGTAGCCATTTGATTCCCTCTCAAGTAATGCTCATCCAGTCATTGTGATATCAAATACGGAAATAAAATTGATGACATACAAAGTACCTCATTGATGTATCAAACACAGTAAAACAAGATTTTAAATAATGTATGACTGTATCAAATTCTATTATTACATGGAATGATCAAAATAAAATAGATATTTAGCATACATTCGACAAGACCGTACAACTCCATCCCCCCTACTCTCACCACAATATGTCCCACTCACCTTTGGGTAGGTTTTCCCATTTGAAATGCAAACCCCAGTTGAAACCACCCCTGACCAAAGGACTGGATGAGTAGGCGAAAGTATCAGCATTGATTATATCGATGATGGGCATTACAACATTTGATCGTTTCTCTTTGATCCTGTCTAGCAAAGGTTCGATCCAACCGACATTCACTTCGATGTGACTGTCCAAAAATATCAACACCTAAAATATCACACAGTAGATTACCGTTACTGGACGTCCATTCAATTGCTGTTCAAAGTCACAGAAAAGGATAGAGCCCAGATAACACATCTGTGACATAATATCTCTGAGAAGTCGCATTTAGGTCACAGTGCCATATCACAAACGTTCCATCGCTGCGATGTTCATAAGCAAACACATCTGCAACATGACATCTCTGAGATGTTGCGATGAGGCAACACTTCGATATTACGAATGTTCCATCTCTGCGATTTACAGAAGCAAATACATCTTTGACATAACATCTCTGAGATGTCGCAATGAGGCAACAATGCGATATTGAGAATGTTCCATCGCTGCGATGTAAAGAATACCGAACACATCTGCGACATGACATCTGTGAGATGACGCGATAAGGGAACACTGCTATATCACGAATGTTCCATCGCTGCAATATCCAGGAGTAAACACATTTGCGACATTAAGATGATGAAAAGTGCTACGTAAAATGTGCAGGAAAATAAAGAATAGAGTATACCATATGTTATACATATGATTTTTCCGTCTCCCTGAAATAAAAAGTCATTTTCAAATAATTTATTGATGAAAGTAACAAAGAAGTAGGTATACATGCAGTATAGCTTATAACCACGTTATTTTCACTCTTGCATCCTACATATTTTCAATTTGTGGTAGAGTAATAATTATATAAAGTATTGTTAAAAGTGCAGTTTTGAGCAGTGGTTATATGAATACCACTAGAAGTAAGATCTGGAGCCAATGCAGTTTTCGTGATATTTTCATAAAAAACATTATTATACAGAATTCGTACTTGGCTGATTACAATCAATTTCATTATTTTCAGTGCCCACAATTTGTTTGGAAATTTTTTGCTATTTTGTGAGAGATTGCTGCACATACCCTTCAGCGATATTCGCAGACTTTCAAGCAAGAATGCCTCCTCCAGAATTTGCAAGTAAACTTGCCGAGGTTCTTCTGAAACTATGCCCGATATAATTTATGACATCAGGCAGATTTAAAAATTCTGCAATTTTTTTATGAATTGTAGCAATAGAATTCTTTCCAACCATTTGGTAGATACATTTTCTTGCTCTATAGCAGATACCAATTTTAGTTTTTGAATAGAATCGGATCATAATTACAAAATTTGTTCGCCATATTGGATCCGCTATCTTGAATTTCCCAATTTTGACCAAAAACCATAAAGTTCGACCCCGAAAACCCTCAGATACCAATCTTAAATAGAATCAGATCATAATTAGAAATTTCTTTCGCTATACATTGGATCCGACATCTTGAATTTTTCAAGTTTGACGAAACAATCATTATCTCCAACCCCGGAAAACCCCAGATATACCTTCCAATTTTATATAGAATCGGATCATAATCACGAAACTCGTTCGCCATATGATCTTCCTCAACAAGTAAATACCCTGTACATACCTATTATTAAAATTTTGAATGATTTTCTGTAGCGCCCATGGATGTGACGTGACAGCAATGTCAGGGATGCCAGTAGACAAAACTAAAGTCTCTAAATCATTGAAAAAGAATGCAGCTATGATCTGTCCGTACCCTGTTAAGATGACTTTAACGTCAATTTCTATCAAGGGACCCTAGAACAGATCATCAAACTAATGTCGGGCCGCGCTGCCGCACTCTTTGAACTTTCAAAGATGCCGACGGCTTGCGGTGATGTGGTTTTCCAACTGACTTTGCATAAACTATATACCAAGGATAGCGCCGCTGAAAAGACGATTGAAAGGGCAGGAGAGCCGAGGGACCACCAACCAATCACAAAAATACATAATAGAGAGTTGAAGTGTTGTCATGAACGTTAACGTAAACGTAGAAATTGACAGCTACGCATGCGCATTTCCCAATTCTTCACGTTTGCGTTGTTAGTGGGCTTACGGGTGTACGTTATCTCACGTTCCTTCACGTATACCTTAAATATCAACGTACGTTAACCAAACTATACTCGAAATATGCCGATGAGTCAAAATTATCAAATTCGAGATCACCAACGAGTTCTGCATCAAGGAGTCCTCTAATTTTGACAGGAATAAATGTTCGAATCTAAACACACACCCAAAAATGACCAATACAAAACGAAAACAAAATGTATTATTACGTTATGATGACAGTGACGACCAAAGTGGCAACTCAATTTAACGACAATACGTAAACGTTATTTTTCGTACGTTAACGTCTACGTGGAGGTCTACGTACAGTGATTACTTCAACTCTCTAATCAATATAAGATGTCATCAGAAGTCAGTGGTGTACCTATCACACCATATTTGAAGGAACTTGTTTTCCGTTTAACGCATCACATCATAGTTTTATCGCAAAAACACATCGCATTTCCATCACAAATAATATATCGCAATTACATTCCAAAAAATATATGATGAAGTATTATCCAATTGTAGTTTTGTATGGCTAATTAATGAATTGTAGATTGTGAAATTGACACATTTTTTCATTACTAACATTTCCGGTTTGGAGGACAAAAAAATAAATCCCTTCAGTCCAAGATTGGATTCTAGTTATAATTAATTATACTATATCATTCTCATCAAAAAACTGAATCATTGTGTTCCTAAAATCATGGAAGTAAGATATGGTGCGCGCATTCGGCCGTTATTACGTATTGAAAATTTCAGAAAAATCAGTTGACCGCCTACTATGATTTCTCTACGTCACAATGAGCGAGACATTGATTGTACATTTTCCCGCTAGATGGTGATTGCTGCTGCGACGAGTGGAAATAAAATGGCAAATGGCATTTTAGGTACGCGGAACATAATGTAACAGTGAGATTATTCAACTCTGAACTCGAAAAATCTGCGACAATTTCAAAACTGACAGATGTCATAATTGTGCAATGTCGCCATCTATTAGAAGATCGACGGAACCATTGCTCTTGCTGTTCTCAAGAGGTCCAGTAAAATTTCTGAAACAAAAGCCCATCAGTAATTACACCATATTATCTTACTTCCATCATTGTTGCCAAGGAAGAACTATGTCATTGTTATTTTTCGGAAAAATTATTATAACACCCCTGAGTATACCACTGGGTAGTGGGTATACCCCAGCAAAGAGAAGTTTTATATAAGCAGGTCATAAAATACTAATGAGGGAGACAGTTCCTTTCTAGGCAATGAATAGTACATGTGCTTAGACAAAAATATTGACCAAGATTGGTACCAATTTATTGGGCACTGTGTACATAGTTTTGGAGTATATCCTCAGTATAAAATCATGACTAACAACTTCAGGGGTGTACCTAAATGGTTTTCTGAGATGGTTAAGATCAAATGTAAACTAAAGAAGTTTTACTAGTGTTGAGGGAGAAAAAAAATGTCTTTCCCTCCTGTATTGCCTATAGAGGGTTCCAACATGAAATAATGAAGAATATATGTATTAACACAAAAAAATTACAAGAAATGGGGTAGGACATCCTTACCTGTTCGTTGAGGTAAGTTCCATTTCTTTTTTTTACCAACATGATTTTTTCATAATTTGCCATCAAAATACCTTTTTTTTTCAAGTATGCAAGTATAATAAGCTATTTTTCTTCATTTGATCAGTTATATTTTCAATTTCCAATATCAAAATTAGTAAACATCAATATATGAAAGATATGTACCTGTCCTTCTGCTTTGTGGGCCCCAAATAGCCTGGCCCTAATTAACCCCTCTCTTTTTTCAGGTTTCAACAATTTCACTTTGCTCAAGGAGTTTTTCTCTATATATTCAAGAACATCTTGGTGCAGATTTTGTATGTCACTCTCATCATCAACTAGTATGATTTCTTCTAGTAGTTCTCCAGGAGTTCTGTTTAAAATAGATTGTATAGTTCTGAGTAAGGTCTGAAAATGTTCATTATAGAAGCATACTATGATGCTGGCTTTTGGAAGGTTGTCTTGATATTTCACTGTCTTACATCTGGAAGAATACATCATGATAATTTTCACCCAGTTGATGTTTGAAATTCTTACAAATCATTTCTAGTATCTGGTATACTGCGATTGAGACTTAATCTATTACTAATGAGTACATTATAAGCATAGGTTTTGTATCCATCATCTTTTATTACTTTGTCTTCATGGGTTTTCACCATTCCCAATTCCATGAGCACTAAAAAAAATGTGTTAGTATAGGTAACCAAGAGTAAACTAGATAGAAAAATGCCTTGATCTGCATCATTCTCAGTTATTGGGGTGACTAGCACAGGCTTCAACTTATCTAGGAAGTTTTTACTATTCACAAAACTGTTTTTCCGTGAGCCTGTTGCTTTGAGACCTGTTTCTTTATTCTCCTTTATCAGGCTTTTTCGGGAAGCTCTTGGACGGTATGTTGTCAATTTCAAATTGATATCATCACCAGTGGATATTTGAAAGTATAGATACAATGAAATTACCCATGTTAGGGAAGCAAAACATATACCATACAAAAATGATTTATTTAGGTTAACCATATTTCCTTTACATATCAATTCTTCACAAACTGTTAACTGAAATTATTGAGGCCATGAATTTGCCCTCGGGTGTTTTCTGACATTTATGGGCAAATATGAGAAACGATCTATGGAAATTGGAAATTCAAATTCCTAGTCTAGACCTTGACTTTGAAAATCTGAATCTGCACAAAAACAAACAGTAAGGTTAAAATCCCCATTCTGATCTTCTCGAATATTTATTGGACTCAGCTACCAAGGCTATCCGGCATCATTGTTCTGTTGTTCACATTTTCATCAATAGAGGTCACGACACTCGCGATTTGAAGGTTTGCAAAACAAACCTGAACAAACTGTACTCAGAGGTGTGTCTCCCAACTGTCATCTAGTGGACAAATCTGACGTTTAGAGCTGTCAGACTTGTCAGTCAGAACTTTCAATATAGAATATAGGCTAAAATAGGTAAATAGGATAGGCTTCAAATTTCATTAATTTCAATTTTCAAAGTGCTTTTATTCCTGCCATAAACAATGGCTATCAAAATATATATTAGTGGAAGCTCTGGCAACAAAGAGGTAATGAGAACATTCATCATAATAATATTCAATATTATAATAGATATCAAGACCAATAAGACCATTATAATAACTGTTCATTGTACAGGTTAAAAAACGTCAACAAAGAGTTCTCTTGATATTGGATTCAAAGAATGTGAAGTATGAGGTGATAGATATCGCTGAACCTGGATCGGAAGAATCCAAAGATTTCATGCAAAACAATTCTACAGCACTAGGAGGCACCATCAGTGATCCAAATCCAAGACATCCACTGCCTCCTCAGATCTTCAATGATGATTTGTATTGTGGGGTGAGTAATCAGTATTTTCTTTCAATATAAGCATAATGAATCATCTGAATTTGAATATTCTTTATCATATTTATATTTATAGGATTATGACATGTTTGATATGGCAAATGAAATTGATGAAATGGAACAATTTCTGAAATTGGAATCTGTCAATGAGGTTACTGAAATTGCTGATGGTAATTTAAAAAATGGGGAAGCAAAGACTGAAGATCTGAGAGAAAATGAAACTAAGGAAAACATAGTTCCCAACCTCCAAGAAACTGAAGTGAAACCAGAGACAGAAAATGAAGAAACTCCAGAAGATCTCACAGCAGATAAGCATGAAGAAAGTGATGCTGGTGATGCAAAAATTGAGAATGGAAATGAGGAGGCTCCTGCTGAACTTGCTGATGAATAATTGCTCAGGAACTTTCTTATCAGATAGAGCACTGAACTTAACAATTCAAGACATGCCCTGGTAAAATAACAAATTTTGAATTTTCACATTGGCTTTGAATCTAGCACTGATATTTGTTGTTTTACCAAGGGAGAAACTTTTCACCAAAAAAATGTTTCCTATTTTCCTGCCCCATTGAAATTGTATAATGCTACACATGGAAAAGTCAGAATAATAGTATTTATGATTATATTATGGTACTAATTATTGGTAATCATTGCTTTGATCAAATTGCTTCATATTTTATATGTTACTGTTGAATCATTTTTGAATTTTGTAAATATTTATTATATCTATATTTCAAAATATACTATCATACATCTTTTCAAATAATTGTTATAACTTTATTATCATCTTTGTTTTGGATAAACTCATAATTTGAATTTAATTTGACATACACTGAATCAGGCTATGGATTTTTATCATGAAATTACATTTTTAATAACAAAACTAATCATTTTGGAAGGCCATGGGACAGAAGAGCAGGATAAAATAACTATACTCTCTTGAAATGAAAGCTAGAGAGTTGAGCTCTGCACTAGGGCATCCCTCAAGGGCCCAGTATACTGAATTTGAAGACCCTAGGACAAAAATGATTTTTAGCTCAGAAACAAAATTTTTTTCATCCAACAATGGGCTGAAAACTGGCATACAGATCATTCTTGATGTGCTTAACCTATATTTACGCCTACCGTCCTTTTAGAAGGACTTCAATACGGAACCTGTATTTTTCTGATTCAGCTGACGGTTTGAAGATGTCGCCAGTATCACATTATATTTTGTTGACATCTTACACAAGGTCAATCGCGATCGTTAGGATTTTGTCAAGTTTTGGATCGATAGTGACGGTTTTTCAATCATGCCCCAATTGAAGAGAATCACATCCTTGATGAGGCTGTTATACCGTATTTTTTGTCCTATAATTGTAATGTTTCTAAAAGTTTTAAGTATTTTGCTGAGCATTTTGTAGGATATAATATGAACATTTTATTAAATCGTTGATTAGTTTTCTCATAGTAGCCCTTTATCCTACCGTCTTCTTAAAGGGACAGCAAGATCGAAAACATTTTTTATAATTTTTTCTCGACTTATGGGACCTTATATTCTATAAACCGTTTTTGAGAAAAAATACACAAAAATGTAAAAAGTAGTTTCAGGGTCAAATGGGTTAATAGTAATCTGAGGTCCCTTTGTTTTTATCTCTATTGGTTTCCGAGATATTCCTGATCAAAAATTGAGAAAAAATCTGAAAGATCACTGAAATGATGGCAAAGAATTTTATTCATGGTAAAATTACATGAATGAATGTATTTATAGTTCCACCAAGAATTCAATCATTTTCATGACATCAATTGCTGTTAATCCAGGTACTAGATCAAGCCATTTTTTATCAAAGGAGCCGTGAGAAAAGCAGGTAAAAATTGACAACTTCTTCAGAATGAAAGCTATAGAGTTGTGCTTTTAATCCGCACTAGGGCATCTCTCAACAACCCTGTATACTGAATAAAGACCTAATTACCACATAGTTGATTTCAGGGTCCAAAAGAGAAACAAGGTGACCCCTTTCAACTTTTTTCATTCAATTTTAAACGTCAGAATAGGCTGAAAACTTGCGTATAGAGCTGAACAAAATTCTGAAGTCCGTTTGTTTGTATCTCTATCAGTGTCCGAGATATTCACGTTCAAAAATTTCAAAAAACCTGAAAGATTGCTGAAATGATGGCGAGGAACTTTTTTCATGGGCGAATCACGTGACTCGATTCAGTTCCGCCAAAAATTCAGTCGGTACTAGATCGAGCCGTTGCATATCAAAGGTACCGCAAGGAAAGAAAAGCGGGTAAAAATAAATGATTACTTTTTTGAAATGAAAGCTGAATAGTTGTGCTTCTACTCCGCACTAGTGAATCTCAAGAGGAAAGAGGACCCCCTGTATACCAAATTTGAAGGCCCTAGGACAAAGTTGATTTTTGTGTCTGAAAAAGTAAGTTCAACCTCTTTGAATTTCATTTTGCATACAGAGTGCTCTGGATGTTCTGAACAAAAAATCTGGATATGATCATAAATTGAAAAAAAAAATCTGAAAGATCCCTGAAATTATTTCAAAGAACTTTTTACGTGGGCAAATCGATTCAGTTCCGCCAAAAATTCAGTCGGTACTAGATCGAGCCATTTCATGTCAAAAGTACCACAAGGAAAGAGCAGGTAAAAAATGGCTACTCTTTATAAATGAAAGCTTTTTCATTAAATCCGATACGTCAACAAGGACGGAAAACTTGATGCATACAGAGTGTTCTTGATGTGCTGAACAAGAATCTGAAATCCATTTTGTTTTTATCACTATTAGTTTCCGAGATATTCCTGATCGAAAACAATGTCTGGAAGTTCGCTGAAATGATGGCAATGACTTTTTTCGTGGGAAAATTACATGACTCGATTCAGTGCCATCAAAAATTCAGTCTGTACTAGATCGAGTCGTTTCATATCAAAGGTACCGCAGGCGAAAGTACTGCAGATATAAAAAATTGCGTCTTTTTCAAAAATGAAAGCTAGGGCCCTACCTTGAGGACCCTGTATATCCAATTTGAAATCCCTATACGACAAAGTTGATTTTTGGGCCTGAAAAAGAAACAAGAGGTATCCCTTTGAACTTTTTTCATCCAATTCGAGACGTCAGAATGAGCTGAAAACTTGCATACAGAGTGTTCTTGGTGTGCTGAACAAGAATCTGAAGTCCGTTTGTTTTTATCATTTGGTTGCCGAGATATTCGTGATCAAAACTGAAAAAATTGTCTGCATGAAAGATCGCTGAAATGATGCCAATGAATTTCTTCGTCGGCAATTACGTGAATAATTGATCCAGTTACGCCAAAAATCCAGTCGTTCTCATGAATTCGATCTTTGTCAATTGAGGTATACTAGATCGAGCCATTTCATATCAAAGGTACCGCAACGGAAGAAAAGCAGAGGTTAAAAATGGCTACTTCTACTTCCTATGGCATCCCTTGAGGACCCTGTATACCAAATTTTGAGGCACTACGACAACGTTGATTTTTGGGTCTGAAAAAGAAACAGGGTTAACCTTATATTTGAATTTTTCTATTTCGTGTGGCATCCCTTGAGGACCCTAGCTGTATACCAAATTTTGAGGCTCTACGACAAAGTTGATTTTTGGGTCTGAAAAAGAAACAGGGTTAACATTATTTGAACTTTTTTATTCAAAACATGCATACAGAGTCGTGTTCTTGATGTGCTGAACAAGAATCTGAGGTTCATTTGTTTCTATATCTTTTGGTTTCCGAGATATTCCTGATCAAATTACGTGAATAATTGATTACGCTCAAAATCCAGTAGTTCTTATGACATCGATCTTTAGACTATTGAGGTTGTCTGCCCATCCTGACTGCTCGAAGTGGATCAAAAAAGTTCAAAGAGGTAACCTTGTTCCTTTTTCAGACCAAAAAATCAACTTTGTCGTAGGCCCTTCGAATTGAGTATACAGGGTCCTCAATAAGGTATGCTCCAGTGCGGAGTAGAAGCACCTAGCACTAGCTTTCCTTTAAAAAAGAATAGCCATTTTTTATTCCTGAATTTCTTTCGCTTGCGGTACCTTCAATTTGGAATGGCTCGATCTGGTACCGACTGAATTTTTGGCGGAATTGAATCGATTCACGTAATTTGCCCACGAAAAATTCATTGCCATCTCCCCATATCTTTCTGACAATATTTTCAATTGTTGATCACGAGAATATCTCGGAAACCATCAGTAGAGAGATAAAAACAAACAGACTTCAGATTCTTATGCAGCACATCAAGAATTATTTCCAAAATTAGGTATATTGATGCTACCAGCATTATACAGGGTGTCCCCAAAAGGTCTTCACAAAAAACTTGGCCCATATTCCTGATGAGGTCAAAAAACGCCGATGAAGAGCAAATTATAACTTACCTCTCAGTCCGAAATTGTTTCGTTTCCATATCAAAGGTACCACAAGGAAAGAGTAGCAGATGAAAAATGACTACTTTTCAAAAGCAAAAATTAAGACCTGTGCTTAACGGCATATCTTCAGGACCTTATACCAAATTCGAAGGAGCCACGACGAATTTCTACTTGTCAATAAGTCTCAAGTGCAACCTTTACCAGGATAACATTATTTCTCTTTAACCATATATAGGTATATAGGTATACAACTAATATTATTTATACATTCTAAGAAAAAATCTTCAGGTAAACTTTTTTTTTAACCTTGTATATGGATCATTGATCGTTCATATCTGTTCCACTCCGTAAGTAGGTGGAAAGGCGCGCCTTTCATTTTCAAATGATGAAATCATCGGTCCCGGTAATCGCTCATTTACACATAATTACCATTATTTAATCACTCTTATCTTGTAACGAATTTATTGATAATACAATTTATCAGCAATGGAAAACGCATCAAAATAATCAGTGTGAGGGAAAGTCAGAAAAAAAACATCTGAGAGTTAGTTGTTTATTAGAAAAATAGTCAAATAAGATCGTGGGTTGTGCATGAATTATAATGGTGGTGAAAATAATAATCAGCAGTGTTTCTGGAAATTACGAGGTGAATATACTTAAATAGTATAGTTTAACGAGCAAGGAATAATGATAGGTAGTGATTTCATGTAAAATTATAGCATTCCGTGCATTAGCATACACTATAATTTTTCTACGGCTGTAACAGATGGCATTTTTGATTTCTTGAAGCCATCTGATTTCCTCTCAAGTAATGCTCATATATTTATTAGACAGAGTTGTCATTTGCTGAAATTTGACATTCCATGAGCAATGAGATTTTTTTGATATAATAACACAATGGAGTCATTGTGATATCAGATACGGAAATAAAATTGATGACATACAAAGTATGTGTATCCGAACACAGTAAAACCAGATAAATTTTTTGTTATAACCGTAGAAAAAATAATATACCTTGACCTATCTCCATGTTTTTCGCGTTGTTTTCTCAAATAACTTCAATATTTCAGGTGAAATCACGACAGCAGAGGGTTCTCTCTATTCTAGACTCTAAAAATATCGAATACGAACTTTTGGATATAGCTGGGGAAGAGTCTGTGGAAATCAAAGAATTTATGAAAAATGCCACCTCATATGGAGGTACCATGAGTGACCCGAATCCACAATATCCCCTACCGCCCCAGATTTTCAGTGACGAACACTATTGTGGGGTGAGCATAATATACGGGGTGGTCGCACTTTATTTTTATTGTTATGTAAAGTTATAGTTATTTTTGTATCTAGTATATGCGAAATGCTACTCTGTTGATCGACAACTGTTAAAAAAATAGTCGAGATGACCAAAGTATTTCGCGCTCGAGTTGCAAACAATATTTTTTCTACAAACGTCAAAAATTATAATTCTGAAGTAATACCTAATATACAGTGTGTCTCACTTCCAATGGAAACACCCCTGTATCTGACGTATTCGTTGGGTAAGGATCCCGAAATTCGCTGGGAGCGGGAGATATACCAAAAATGCACCATATGTCCAAGTAGGGTCATCTTCAGTGATATAGACTGCTCGTCAACAGCCATGAAACTACCCCAATTTCCGGAAAATGATATTAGGAGTCAAAATAGGTCGAATATCACTTCAGATTTGGAATCAGGACGCCCAATTTACTAACTATTCAAATTTTTCCTGGAAAATATTCAGTTCGGAAAAATAAAATTTTGTCGCATTTTTTATGGAAGCACCCCCGTATCTCACGTAATTGACTCTATCTTTGGACTTTCTCTTCCTCCGGCAAATTTCAGAACCCTTCCTCAATAATTACGTGAGATACGGGGGTTCTTCCATGAGAAGTGAGACAAAATTTGATTTTTCTGAACTGAAAATCTTCTAGGAAAACTTTGAATAGTTGGTAACTTGGGCGTCCTGATTCCGAATCCGACTTGATTTTCAACCTATTTTGACTCCTAATATCATTTTCCGGAAATTGGGGTGGTTTCATGGCTATTGGCGAGCAGTGCATATCACTGAAGATGACCCCACTTGGTCATAGAGTGCATTTTTGGTATATCTCTCGCTCCAGCAAATTTCAGAATCCTTACCCAACGATTACGTAAGATACAGCAGGGGTGGTTCCATTAGAAGTGGGTCACACTGTATATGCTTGTACCTTAATATAAAAACTAGTGTTGAAAGGAATTGAAAGGCCTTAATTATTGTTAAGAAATAGATAATTTCTTGAATTTTTGCTCGATTGAGACCCTAAAATTTAAATAGAAAAATTTCTTATAAACGGGAAAAAGAAAACTCAAAGTCGTCTTCACAAGTTTACTGGCGAAATGTGCAGTTAATTCTGCTTCATTACTTTTGAATGATACATGTTTCGACCATTCAAATGGTCATCATCAGTCAAAGTACTAATAAATTAAATAAATTATCGTTTTACATCACCCACTGCTTCGCACATTTTTTGACGTTTGTAGAAAAATAATACTTCACGTTTTGTCAACATCACACATACATTGGCCGATTTTTCTTCAATACCTGCATTCATTCTCTACAATGAATTCATTCTTTATATTAACCTACTGTAGTCCATGTTGTCTTAAAGTGGAGTGAACTAGTTCATATAGTAATACTAGTTCAAGTCGTCTATCCACAACTTTTAATATCATCAAATCATAAATGGAAAGGGGACATGTTTCGGATCTATGCAGTATCCATCATCAGCCGATTAAAAAAATTATTCTACAAAGAACAAAGCAATAATAATAGGGTATCAATGGTAAAACAATGATAGTACTCACGAGGGGAAGAAAAAATCAATTGTAATCACATAGGGAGTTACAAAATGATTTAATGATTTTTTTTTCAAATTTTTTTTGTTATGTTCAACGAGAGAATACTTAAATGGATGAAATTATGGGTTGAGAAGGACAGACGTTTTTAATAACACAAGATGATTCAGTTGCAAGTGCCATGAATTGTCGAATTTCAAGCTCAAAATGTAGCTAGTCGATACTTAATTCGAAAAAATCAAAAGAACAGAAGACATTATTAGTAAAATTTTTGGTTTACCTCAGAATCACCTCGAAGTCCTGCTCCATATACTGTTATCGACGTATGTCTTTTTCCTAATAAAACACCCTGTATATATAGATAGTTGTTTCACACCTGTTTTTCTCTTCCAGGATTATGATATGTTTGACACGGCAAATGAAATAGGTGAAATGAAAAAATTCCTCAGACTGACAGATGGCCATGAAGGAACGAACATTGAAAATATTTCTGAAATAAATCTTATAATGAATAAAACTATGAGTTCCTATTGTGAAAATGATGATAAACATGTTATTAAACATTGAGGTACACTCATCGTATTATATATTTATTTACTTGTCGGTTTATCGGGCGTCCCAGAAATAAATTCATCAATTTTTGAAGATTTATATTAAAAATAAATGAAAGAACTCTTTATAGGAGCAAAATGAGAATAGGAAGTCACTTCAGGTTCAACTGAAATGTATATTTTTGGAATGTATAAAACACAAAGTAAATATTCTCAAACATTTATTAAGATTCATTATCATCTGAATACCCAACATTTGGATGTTTCTACACTGAACTAAAGTATAAAATCAAACTTTGGCAAACTTTCCATAATTGGAAATTTTATTTCACAATACAGGGTATGTCACGACGAGCTTACACTATGTATCTAAACTGGTCAACATTGATAACGTCGTGCTCCAAAATATAGCCTGAATTCAAAGTAGAATAACTCACGAATTTCCTCACCAATTTGAAATCGGTTTTCATCGATGATTAGCCTAATCTCTTGACAGTTTGTTGTGGCAATATGAAACTTCTGTAATTTCAGATAACATTGCTACAGGGTGATAATTGAATGGGTGTAAAATTGCATCGTGGTCGTCACCTTACCGTTTGAACAGATAATTTTTTTCAATTTTTTTTTCTCACCTGTATCCTCTTGATTGATGCTTTCTCTCGAAACATTTTCGGAATTTTCAAATTCAGAGCTTTGATAATCGTGTTATAAATATTCATACAGAATGATGCATTTTTTCGACGATAAATTGAATGAAATTGAAAGTTGGTATTCTTCTCCGAAGAATCGACGTTGTATATACAGGGTGTTGCGAAATTCGACCGACAACGCTTGACAGGAGATAGCCCCCGTGATTTCATAATCACTGAGATAGGGATATACGGTCTCCAAGTGTTTAGTTCTCGAGATACAGGGCGTTGAAGTTGAGAAATTAAAATAGTTTTCTCGCAATATTTCAAGAAAAAATTAATATAATGCATTCGAATTCGGTATATGGTTTAATCTTTCAATGGTTCATTTTTTGACCAGGAAGACATTCCGAAAATTGTATCCATAGGTGCGATACAGGGGGTTATGATAACTTTTCCTCCCATATTTTCTACGCCACTGACGAAATTTCGATTATTTCCAATTTCTCGAATTGATTGTTCAATTATGTTGAAAAAATGCATTACCTTCCACTGAGCTAAAATGAACAGTTATCGAGATATTTGACCCAAAATAGAAGTTTGCATAGTAATTTTTCATCTTCCTCAGTTGTAGAAAATTGCAAAAATGTTTGTTTTCTCTTTATGCGTGGAATAACTATTTCTGTTCAGCTACAGGATGAGATCTGAATAGTATCTAATCTACTCAACACCAGAAAAATATTTCTGCAAATTTCTACTACTGAAAATGATGAAATATTACTATGCAATCTTCTATTTTGGGTCGAATATCTCGAAAATTGTTCATTTCAGCTCATTTGAAGGTGATACATTTTGTGAACAAAATTGAACAATTCATTCGAGGAGTTGGAAATAATCGAAATTTAATCAGTGGCGTAGAAAATATGGGACGAAAAGCTACCACAACCCCCTGTAGGGCTCCACTGGATAAAATGTCCGGAATGGCTCTCTGGTCAAAAAATTACCCATTCAAAGATGAAACCATATACCGAATTTGGATGCATTATATTAAATTATTCTTGAGATATTTCAAAACAACTATTTTTATTTCTCAACTTCAACGCCCTGTATCTCGATAACTGAACACTTGGAGACCGTATGTCCCTATCTCAGTGATTATGAAATCAAGAGGGCTATCACCTGTCAAGCGTTGTCGGTCGAATTACGCAACACCCTGTATAGTCGTCGGATATGTGATCGTGTTCGAACACAAAAAATTCTGAAAAAGTCTATACAAAGTGATACAAGAAATACTGAATGATGGAATGGAGATTAACGTAGTCTTCAGTAGATGAAACATAATTTTCTCTGTGTAACTAGTGGAATAATGGAGTATTACTTCGTCATGAGGATGTCTGGTGTCTGACCTCGAAATGATTTTGTAATTTCTTGGATCGAAGGTCATATAATGAAAGTACGCATTTTAAAAAATTTTAAAAATTACGATTGTAGTTCGAGAAGTATGAACACCCTGTAGCAATGTTATCTGAAATTACAGAAGTTTCATATTGCCACAAAAAACTGTCAAGAGATTAGGCTAATCATCGGTGAAAACCGATTTCAAATTGGTGAGGAAATTCGTGAGTTATTCTACTTTGAATTCAGGCTATATTTTGGAGAACGACGTTATCAATGTTGACCAGTTTATATCGAGAATCAGTCGGGAGAAATATATGAAAATATACATGCTTATATTTTGCAATACGCTCTCTTGTTTTAAAATAATTTCAGCAATGCAGTGTTGCCACTTCTATCAGAAAGTAGCAACAACTTTGTTATTTCAAACAGAATACCCTGTAGTTTATTGCATTTGTAGATTCTCCCTGGAGAGCTGATTTCATCGATACATCACACTTGGGGTCTATCGGAAATGATTACAGAGATATAGGGTGTTCAAAATCGAGATTTTTCTACTTTAGGATTTGTTTGTGTCGAAACTATTTATTATCGACCAAAACGGCTCACATGTCCCTATCTCAACTCTTGATCCACTATTCACTGATATTCAATCGGAACAGATACAGGGTGATCAGAATTCTGAATCTTGAACCACCGTGTATCTGTTCCGATTAAATATCAGTAAATAGTGAATCAAAAGTTGGGATAGGGGCATGTGAGCCGTTTTGACAGATAATGAATAGTTTCAACACAAAAAAGTCTTAAAGTTGAAAAATTTCGATTTTGAACACATCTTTTTCGATAGAACCCAAGTATGATATATCGATAAAATCAACTTACCAGGGATAATCTGAAAATGCGATGAAATACAGGGTGTTCCATTTGAAATATCAATGTTGCTACTACTTTCTAGAAGAAGCGGCAACACCGGATTGCCGAAAATATTTTAAATGAAGAAAGCGTATTCTGAAATATAAGCACGCACATTTTCATGGATTTTTCCCGACTTCTAGTGATATAAAGATAGTGTAGGCTCGTCGTGACATACCCTGTATAAGTTTCTGTAGCAAATAGGCCTAGTATTTCCAAATGAAGGATCAGTAAGTTATACACTGTCTCATCATTTGGTTTTCTCTTTGAAGCTTTTAACGATATTTCAAATTCATTATTTCTGAATGAATTTCCCTCTTTTAGGTGTTACCTATATCTAAATGAAATACAGTGTCTCACGGTTCAGCTTGTCTAACATCGTCGCAATCGATAGAAAAATTGATAATATTATATACCTACGGGTTGGTCACATGGTCCTTCTACAAGAAGTACGAATGGAATCTGCAATCAAACCATCGGACATAATGCCAGCCAGGCTCAGTTTCGATCATACCTCTGAAGTGGTTATACACTGATGGTTCGAAAATGGAAGAAGGGGTAGGCACGGGTGTATATGGACCCGGATTTAGGCTATTTGAAGCCTTAGGTCACTCCCCCACTATCTTCCAAGCTGAAATACATGCCATCAACCTTTGCGCCCAAAGGTGCCTGAGCAAAGGTCTGAGGGGTGCCAACCTATAAAGTATGATGCAAATGTATGGAATAAATTCATTATTTCAGAAATGGGCGGCATTTGAAGAAATTCCAAAAACACGTGAGTTTTAATTTTTGAAACCTCATCTCATGACATTCATATGAGAGATGTTACGTCACCGGTGTTGGAGTAATGACGTAATGGACGGTTTTTTTTAAATACAAACAGGGGTCATGTGACACCTCGTTTGAAAGGTCTACTGATCGTCTATCCAACAGTCAAAATTCTGCAAAAGAAGATTGAAATCAAAATGGATTATCATTTGATTAACTGAATCTTGCAGAGATCTTCTACTGAGAATTGAACATCGAAGGGTCGTCTAGTTGAAAAAATACATCGATAAAAAAGTTCTGAACTCTACTTTTTGGATTTTTTTCGGAAGTCGTCTTGTTTTGAAATGAATTTATTCCATACATTTGCATCATACTGTATATCTGCTCAGACAGCCAAGCCGCACTAAAAGCCCTAAAATCATTCGTTTTCACATCAAAGATTACATGGGACTGCTTTGAAACACTCATGCAACTGGGAAAGGACAACAAAGTCACACTTATGTGGGTTCCAGGGCATGAAGGAATCAAAAGGAAATGAGGCAGCTGATCGCCTTGCAAAAAAAGGTGCAGCATCTGCACTTTTTGGTCCTGAGCCTTTTTGTGGGATAAGCAAATGTCACCTAAAGGGAGAACTCAGGAAATGGGAAGAAATTGAAAAGTCCTCCTACTGGAGAGCAACTCCAGGTCTACGACAAGCGAAAAGGTTCATCAACCATTCGTAGAACCGAGCCAAAGAGCTACTCAGCCTCAGCAAACCAGAGCTAATGCTCATCACAGGCTTTCTCACAGGACACGGCCCTCTGAGGTACCACCTCAAAAAGATAGGCTTGACGGAGACTGACACTTGCCGCTTTTGTAACAATGCGACCGAAACCGCGGAACACATACTTTGCTCATGTGAAGTATTAGTCCGCCAAAGGCTGAACCACCTAAAACAGGTCTATCTCACCCCTGCTGAAGTGGAAAATTCAACCGTCAGGAAAATCGTAGGCTTCATCAGAAGTCTAGGGTTAGAGGACCAAAACTAGATAGGGGTAATCACAATAAATCTTCTAGGTCGCAGTGATCGAGAGGTCTCCCAGCCTATACGACCCATCTACAATCTACAATCTACCAACGGGTTTTTCCCTTTTGTCGTGGTTATCGATATACAGGGTGTTGAAGATCTATTAAATTCTTGGTTTTACATTTTTATCTTTGTACACGTTACTATCAGCAGGATGAATCATTATATGTTGAAAAAATCAATTTAAAATGTTAAAAATAGATAATTTTTGTTTCAACAGGGATATTAACTTGGAACCAATAATTCAGGCGATCTTCAACACTCCCCGTATATTAGAAACCAGTTTCTCCACGCCAAAAAGAGAAAAACGGTTATATAATATTTTCAATTCTTTTATCGATTGTCGAAATTGAACCTGAGGCACCCTGTATCTTTTCATAAACAGTTTCATTCCATCATAAATTTCATTCCTCATGGACATTATCGAGAGAAACATGTTTTACCAGTCTTTCAAAAGCTGGAAAGCTACTAAAAATCATCAGTTGAAATGAAATAGTTTATTTTCAAACATCTATTCAATAAGCTTTTCCATCATATTTGATAAATCTTATTGTCCTTTATAACTAAGGCTACTAGTTTTTTTTTCCTTGATTTTTTTTTAAAGAGTGTACATTGAGACTCAAAACACCGATTAAAATTCAACATGTATACATATTTTAAACTTAACCATGACAACAAAATATATGTAAATGTGTATGTAAATTCTTCATGTTGGTACAAAATGTGGTTGAGAAAATTCGAAATATACAGGGTGTTTCATAGGTAAATTGAAATATTTCTACGGTAGATATAGGGGTCACCCAGGTGGTTCTGAAAATACCATATTTGATAGGTCTTAGAGTTTTCATAACGGAGATACAGGGAGATTTATTGATTTGGAATAATTATTCATTCGTCTATATGTATTGAGCTACCCAGTATATTTTTCTCAAATTTGGTAAGGAGCTTATAGTTGGGACGTTGAATTCATTCACCTATTGGGTGAAGTGAAAATCCAGGTTCGGCTTAAGGAAGAATTTACATTTATTCGAAATATTAAAATAACACACTGTATTCAATAATTAACACAGCACATCAAAAGAATTGTGAAGAGGAGGAAGAAATGAATTGTGTATGATGCTTTTTGTTTTCCCGCCACCAATTCTCATCGTAACAAACATAAACAGCAAGTTGAAAGTATTTCAATTTGAAGAGTATTGGAATTATGAAACCAGTGTCAATTATGATAATTTGATATTTCAGTCAAAAAATCGCTCGAAAGAACTCACTAAGTCTCACAGTCTCCATAAGTCTTAAAATACCCAGTAACTTTTTCTCAAATTTGGTAGGTATGTAGCTTACTTGGGACGATGGATTCATTAACCTATCAGACGGAATAGAAATAATACCAAATAATTATAATTCGATAATTCACCCTGTATCTCTGTTATAAAGACTATGATACTTTTCCTGAAGCTGAACCTGTATTTCCATTCTGCCTGATAGGTCAATGAATCCATCGTCCCAAGTAAGCTCAATACCAAATTTGAGAAAATATCACTGCGATGGGTAGTCTAATACTTATATAAACGAGTGAATAATTATTCAAAACCGATAATTCACCCTGTATCTCTGTTATAAAGACTGTGAGACTGAGTAAGTTCTTTCGAACGATCATTTAACAAGAATATATCAAATAATCATAATTGAAAGTGGTTTCATAATTTCAATACTCTTATTCAAATTGACATACTTTTAGCTTTCTGTTTATGATTGTTATGATGAGAATTGGTGGCGGGAAAACAAAAAGCATTAAATCCAGTTCAGTTTTTCCTCCTCTTCACGATTCCTTTGATGAACTTATTTTAATATTTCGAATAAATGTAAATTTTTCCTGAAGCCGAACCTGGATTTTCACTTCACCCGATAGGTGAATGAATTCAACGTCCCAAGTATAAGCTCCATACCAAATTTTAGAAAAATATACTGGGTAGGTCAATACATATAGACGAATGAATAATTATTCGAAATCGATAAATCGCCCTGTATCTCCGTTATGAAGACTCTAAGACCTATCAAATATGATATTTTCAGAACCACCTTGGTGACCCCTATATATGTACCATTGAAATATTTCCCTTTATCTGTGAAACACCCTGTAGATATCTGTTGAATGGAATTGGAAGAATATTCATAACGTGACCTCCACCCCCTCTTAGTCAACTCATAAACGGCTAATATTTTCAATCGTTGATAGAAATTTTGTTTTGGATGAATATCTCGGTCTGAAATTCTGGTAACCCAAAGAAATATTCCAAAAATCTTTCAAAATGGCGCCCAGATGCCATTTCCAAATTTACTTTTTGATGTAGCAACTACCATTAGAGCAAAACATTCCTACCGTTCAAAAGTAAACAAGGAAACGAAATACTTTATGGATACCATGTTATATCTATCTAACTTCCACCAATTCCTCCTCAGAGAAAGGAACAATTGATATGATTCTGTATTATTTTCACTTATACACATCTACCCAGTGTCCTAATATGGGACACGATGTAGAGAAGCTCCTGAATATTTCTCATTTTCCAAACCACCAACATTTAGAAAAAATCGAGAGTTTCCTCCTGGAAATCCTCTGATAACGATAATAAATTAAAACTTTTCCGAACAAAAATTCGTTCAAACTCAATAATGGCAATAGACGCAAATTATCAAATATTATTCGAACTCCACAATTCGGAAGCTGTCCAAGAACGGGACCTCAAGTTCTGTAACGACACTCTGCAGCGAGTGTCATGAATTGAGGTTATGTATTGAGACAACTGATAAACGTTGCATCACGACGCATGACATTTTTTGGCTGAACAGTTGGGAATAATTATTTCATGCTTTGTTTCTATGACAACGTTTTGCGGTGTTTATCTTGCATATCATAACCTCCCAACCCTAGGAAATTTCAAGCATATTTTCATTTATTTGGCGCGAATAAATTGAAACATTTTAAACGTCATTTGATGTAGCCAATCAGAAAGAGCAATGCAAAACGTCACCATGAAAACAAAGCTTCACGCTGCTTTGGATCTTGACCATATTTCATACCTGGAAAAGGTGAGACATTTCATATTATTTTGTTGGTAGCAACCACTGTCACAACTTCCATATTTAGTACAGGGTGATTCACCATAAATGTCCTCCTCCCCTCTAGCTCAGTTATTTTTGAACCGATTGCAAAATTTTAAATATCATCAGAAAATACAAGGTTCTCGGAACAAAAGATCTACAGGGTACTATTTGATTTTTTTAAATCGAACACTCCATTTTTCATTGTATTTTCAGATTCTCCCTAAAGAGCTGATTTCATCAATGTATCACACTTGGGGTCTAGCGAAAATGATTACAGAGATATACAGGGTGGCCCACGGTCGATGGTACCTTAGACGTATACGGAAAACGGTACATTGGATTATCCTGAAAATTTGGTTACTCTAATAAGCGTTTGTGATCTAACGATTCGAAATATTTTCAGCGATGCAGCTTTGCCACTTTTACCAAAAAGTAGCATCATCTTTGTTATTTCAAATGGAACACCCTGTATTTCATTGCGTTTTTAGATTCTTCTCGAAGAGCTGATTTCATCAATGTATCACACTTGGGGTTTAGCAGGAATTATTACAGAGATATAGGGTGTTCAAAATCGAGATTTTTCAACTTTAGGATTTGTTTGTGTCGAAACTATTCATTATCGGTCAAAACGGCTTTCATGTCCCTATCTTAACTTTTGATTCACTATCTACTGACATTTAATTGGAACAGATACAGGGTGATCAAAATTCTGAATCTTGGACCATCCTGTATTTTTTCCAATTAAATGTCGGTAGATAGTTAATCAGAAGTTAATATAGGGACATGTAAGCCGTTTTGACCAATGATAATTAGTTTCGACACAAAAAAATCCAAAAGTTGAAAAATCTCGATTTTGAACACTCTATATCTCTGTAATAATTCCTGCTAGACCCCAAGTGTGATGATTGATGAAATCAGCTCTTCGAGAAGAATCTAAAAACGCAATAATCTACAGGGTGTTCCATTTGAAATAACAAAGATGATGCTACTTTTTGGTAAAAGTGGCAACGCTGCATCGCTGAAAATATTTTGAATCGTCAGATCACAAACGCTTATTAGAGTAACCAAATTTTCAGGATAATCCAATGTTCCGTTTTCCGTATACGTCTAAGGTACCATCGACCGTGGGCCACCCTGTATATTCAAAATCGAGATATTTCAACTCTAGAATTTTTCTGTGACGAAACTATTCATTATCGGTCAAAACGGCTTTCATGTTCGTATCTCAACTTTTGATTTACTATCTACTGACATATTTAATATTTGAAACAGATACAGGGTGATCAGAATTCTGAATTCCTAAATTCCACTAGATATAGTGAATCAAAAGTTAAGATAGGGACAGGTTGAACATTCTTCATCTCTGTAATCATTCCCGCTAGACCCCAAGTGTGATATATTGATGAAATCAGCTCTTCAGGGAGAATATAAAAATACAATGAAATACAGGGTGTTCCATTTGAAGAAATCAAGTAGTACTCTGTAGATCGTTTGTTCCGAGCACCCCTGTATTTTCTGATGCAACAGGAAGAAAATTTCTGAAAAATCATTTTAGATGAGTTTTCAAATTTTTGAATCGGTTAAAAAATATGTGAGCTAGAGGGGGGACATTTATGGTGAATCACCCTGTACCACCTGTTGAATGTCTTATCATTTGTCAATGTCCACCCAATGTGAAAAAACAAACAGTCCAAATAATCATGTTTGCTCTGCTTTACGATGACTAATAATCCTCAATCTACACTCGATCCGAAATGTCTCACCCTCGGAAATATGGTCAATAGGCCGCCCTTCTTCCTCCTCTAGTTTCCTCGCCTTAGACCGGGCAGGGCACTGCCTGCAGGGCGGGCTGGATGATGCCGCCCGGCCCTGGCAGGGTAGACCTGCCCTTCTGCAGGTACTCGTCCACCGCCCTGGCCGCTTGCCTGCCCTCGGAGATGGCCCACACCACCAGCGACTGCCCTCGGCGGCAATCTGGAATACAGTGTTGCCCGTTCAGTGATTTTATGCTAGACTCAAGGTGAGTTCCCGATGCGTTTTTTTTTACTTTTCGCGTCATGCGTCACGCAGTCAAATTGGTGACGCGTAATTGAAAATATCTTTTCCAGTTCTCAAAGAAATTTCCTATCATTGTCGCTTCGCTTGCAGTTTGCATTTAAAAATCATGAGAATATGTGAAATACTTTTTTTTATGTGCTGGTTCCCACGAAAAGGGATATCCTGTAATATTCAGAGAACATCGTGAGAACCAAGGGAAATAAGGTAGGGATTGGTGTTCTTCTCAAATTTCTGGAGGTTATATGCCTTGGAGAACACCTCCCTTGGCAATGTGTTCCAGAGCCTCGCTGTTCGTTGAGACGTTCTGCAGGTCTCCAAAGTGACCACGAAGGGGTGCGAAGCCTCAACTCGACGGGTTAATCTCGCGGGGACTGCCAAGGCCAAGGGAGGAACAATTGTTGATATTTCAGAAGAGCTTCGTCCATGAAAATATCTATAAAATAGAGCCAGATCGCCAACTTTTCTACGGTGTTCCAGAGAAGTGAGTGAGTTTGTGAGCGAGGCATCACCCAAGAGACGAATTGCCCTATTTTGGACAGAATCCAACAGTTTCAGGGTATGTTTGGGTGATGCACTCCAAATATGGGAACAGTATTCCAGGACAGGTCGGATCTATGCCTTATAGATCATAAGCAGCTGACTGGAAGTGAAATAGCTCCTGGCCCGAAACAGAAAACCAAGGTTTCGAGATGCAATTGATCTTACGTGATTTTCCCATGAATGGTTATTGCTGATAGTAATCCCAAGCATCGAAATGGATGTCTTCAAAGGTATGGTTACTCCTGACAAGCTCATGAAAATATAGGAGTGATTGCAAGATAAATAGAGCCGTATCAGATGGATGATTCATTAAAGAACAAAAAAAAACTCAGTAATAATGGGATAATTAAGTTTAGGTATAGGTACTTCGGTGATACTGCAATTATTTACTATCTATGAGATCACTCTCAGAAATGAGGGTTAACGAAGTTGCATTCAAAATTTCTCCATTTTCATAAATGTGTGAGAGGGCTAATGGAGAATAAAAACTTTTCTGGAACATAACCTCAACTCAAGCCCAAACCTCAATATAGTTGAAGGACATGTAAAAGTGATCAGCACAAAGCAGCAACGCTAAAAAATTAAAACATTTTAACTTCATTTCATCAAAGATTTTTCGAATTCAGTGTCACCAATCAGGTTGCAGGACGCGCGATGCTTAAAGCTGTCTTGAGGTGAGGCCTCACCTTCAACTTCAAGTTGAGATCACCTGATAATTCTCAAATTGAAAATAATGACACATTGGAATCGCTAAACACAATCAAGTCGAGATTAATAACTTTCATCAAATTGAGAATAAACACCCTTAAAATGATGAATACACTACAGTGCAGACTCGATAATCCGAACGTTCAATAATCCGAATTCTTCAGTAGTCCGAACAAGCATTTTTAATACATTGAGTACTCTATAATCCGAATTTAATAGTACTCGATAATCCGAACCTAAAGGTAGGCCTATTTATTTCCTATAGAAATTGTGAGTGAAATGTTCAGGGATTCCCCTAATTGTTCTTTTGTTAGTATCTGGGATTCACATTACGCAAGGAAGAAAATAATATTCCGTTAAATGATATTCTTGTACTTCAAAGATTAAAAGAAATGGCCTTTATAAATAATCAAAGATGTGTTAAGCAAACAAAAATTACAAATTACTTTAGAAACTAGTATTATATTCTTACTTTTATGCATATTTTAGTGTTACTTTTTTCGTATTTATGTTTTTTTTTGCATTTCGTAATAAAAAATTTAAAAAAAACTGCTTCAGTAATCCGAATTTTTTGGTAATTCGAATCGCCTTGGTTTTTATTAGTTCGGATTATCGAGTCTGCACTATATCAAATTAGGGAAAAGCACTTATAAATAGAGAATTGACTCAAATATGAAAACTAAACACATTAAGAATAGGTACAAGCATGTTCAAATAGAAGATAAACACTCCTGAATTGGAAGTTAACACTTAGAAATACAGAATAAACTCTCAAATTGGAAACAAACATTCCCAAATCAGGAATGAGCACTCGCAAAGAGAGAAAAAACTAAAAGATTTAGACTCACCATGTTCAAATTAGGAATGAAAGATACAATTATAAACTCTCATAAATTTGGAAGAGAACACTTAGAAATAGAGAATGAACTCACAAACTGGAAATAAACACTTTGGAATTGAAAATAAGCATATCCATATAAGGAATTGGTAACAAACATCAACACTTAAAGAATAACCTCAAAACTGGGATTGAACACTCTCAATTTGGGAATGAAAATATTCGAATAGAGAAAAATGAACACATTCAAGTCTATATAAACCACAAATTATATAAACAATCATCGGGAATTGGAAATCTGAAACTGCAAATATAAATGGTCAATATAAAAAATATGAATTGATAATTTTCAATTTTGAGCTAGCCGAAAAATATCAGTTAAGACTGATCATAAGAATCTCTTAGAATACTTGGACTCGATGGGACTCAGAGGCATTGTTAAAAATCTTTTAGAATCTTATCTTGCGAATAGGACAATCAGCACTAAATGTATTATGTCAGAGTCTAATAAATCTGTTTTAGGGCCCATCTTGTATTTATTATATATTCAAAATATTTCTAAAATTGGATTGTCAGGTAATTATACTATATATGCAGATGATACTGTACTTTTATACGAAAACAAAAACCCCATCATTCTAGAAAATATTATTAACGAAGATTTGAAAAAATTTGAAAAATGGCTTCATTCAAACATTTTATCAATTAATACCAATAAAACTGAATATATAATATTCCATCAAAAAAATAAACAGAATATTAGTCTCAATCTCCAAATTAAAAATAAAGTATTGAGAAGAACTACACAAATAAAGTATCTTGGTATGTGGATTGATGAAAAATTGAAATGAGACAAGCATATAGAGGTTCTGATACAAAAAATATCTCCGATCATTGGAGCTTTGCGAAGATGTCCTAAACTTGACAAAAAAGTCATGAACATATAGTACTTCATTCTCATATACTCAGTCGTATTACCTATATGATAAACGTTTGGGGATCTTGTTCTAAAAATTATTTCAGTAAAATATCTGCACTTTATAAGAAAGCACTGAAAGTATTGTATCGCCTCTCATTTGATATCCCAACAAATGATCTGTATGCCATAACAGTGAAATTTTCATTGGATGAATTGTATAAAATAGATTCTCTTAAAGTTTCATATAATATAATAAACAATAATCTGAAATCCAATTTTATTTTGATAAGAAACTCAGAAATTCATGGTCATCACACGAGACAATCAAACTTATTTCATCTTGATACTGCTACTTCTATAATTGGCCAAAAAAAATTTACTCACACTGCTCTAGCTGAATTTAATAAATTACCACATAATATAAAAAATTGCAGACATATTTCAAAATTTAAAGTTGAATTAAAAAAACACATGATTTCATTATGAAATAGATAAAATGTATACTTTGCCATCTACTGATTAGTCCCTGTGGCTATTTTTATGACTTGATCGATTTAGCATTTTAGATTTTTTAGATATTTTTGTTGTTGTTGTTGTTACCTTATATTATTTTATTATTGTTGTTTGTAATCAACTTCCTCATACCAGAATTTTATTTCTGACTGGAAGCTAGTTTTTGAATAAACAATAAACAATAAACAATAATAATAATCAATACATTTTGATACTTTCAAGTTAAACTGTTACTTTTGGGAATTTGAGAGGAGCTGAGCTCTTATACAAAAACCCGGCCCTTGAATGGAAGCATACTCCATTTTTACAATATAATGGATATGGAGTTATTCCTCAACTATTCAATTCAGAGATCATTATATTTTCTTGCATCCCAGATTTATGGGCACATGTTGTCCAATGTCTTTAATGACTATTTTACTATTTAATTGACTGATGATGGGCTTATATAAGCTTGAAACATGTTCCTCTACCGATGATCAGTTTGATGAAAGTTGTGTATGGAGTTTTCACGCCCTTCCACTTTTTCCAAAGACAATATTTTTTCCAATTCAATAGTAATATTCTTTTAACCAACTTTGACTGAGATGAACCAAGATTCTCAGTGCAGCTCAATAGCTCAGTTGTATTACATGTTTCATTTATCTTAGTCTGATGTGAGTTGTATTAAGAACTTATTGAGACTATTTCTTTCCCCTCACCCCAACTGAGCTTGCTATTCATCTGGTGTTGTAGTGAGAAAAAGGTGAGACTGGATTAATTCTAGTAATTCTGTGGTTCTGTGCTGAAAATTGTGAGGTTATATTTTCATTTTGACATGCTTTCAGCTTTGAAGTTTCAGTCCACAGGTTGAATCCTTTGAATACTCAATACAATAATATTTCTATGCTCCTCATTAATTTCCTCAGCCATTATACATTTTGGTTGAATTATGTTGGGTTGTGTTTTCTTCCCTTGCCCTTCCTGACAGATAAAAACGTGTTCTTTTTATTCAATCGACTACTCAGATCCGTCTCACCTCCTTCTAACTCAATTGATCTTAGTAGTGAGAATGTAACAAGGTAAAAAGAATATTGCTAATCAAAACTTTTTAAACATTTCGTCTCACCTCCGGCCGCAAACACGTTATCCACGTTGGTCCGATACTCCTTGGCGTCGAAATTACTCCGGGCGTCCAACTTCAACTCGAGCTGGTCCCCGATGGCCCTTTCAGGCCCCAAGAAGCCCATCGCGAGCAGCACCAGATCGGCCTTGAACGTCCTCTCAGTGCCGGCTACCTGCGCCATCTGCCACCTGTAATAAGCATACGATCATGAACACACTGTATTTATTCATTTTTAAAATAACATACATATCAGCAATTTTTGTTGATCTCAAGAAAGCTTTCGATACAGTAGACCACATAACACTTTCGGAAAATCTCATAGACTACCGATGACTAAAGGTGTCCCTTAAGGATCTGTTTTAGGACCAATTTTATATTTATTATATATTCAAAATATCACGAAAATTGATACAGAATGTAATTACACTATTTATGCAGACGATACGGTACTTTTGTATGAAAATAAGAATCCTATCATTTTAGAAAATATAAAAAACAGAGACTTGATGAAATTTGAAAAATGGCTGCATTCAAACCTCTTATCAATAAATACTGATAAAACTGAATATATGATTTTTCAACAAAAAAATAAAAAAAATATAAATTTAAATCTCAGAATTAAAAATGACTCTTTGAAACAAACTAATGAGAAGAAGTATCTTGGGATTTGGTTTGATGATAAATTAAAGTAGGACAAACATATAAATGTTTTGAAGAAAAAAATATCTCCTATTATTGGAGCCCTGAGAAGATGTCCCAAGCTGAATAAAAAAGTTGCAAATATAATTCTATATTCTCATATACTCAGTCGTATTTACTATTTGATAAATGTTTGGGGATACTGTTCAAAAAACAATTTCAATAAAATATCTGCATTATATATAAAGACATTGAAAGTACTGTATCGTTTACCATATGATACACCAACAAATCAATTATATAAAATAACTGAATCATTCTCATTAGAAGAAATGAAAGACTGAAAATTACATACAATATCATAAATAGAAGATTGAAATCTAATTTTATTTTAACACGAAACAATGAAATTCATAATTATCAAACTAGACAACATGGTTTATTTCATCTTGATATCGCTAATACTTCTATAGGCCAAAAAAGATTCACCCACGCTGCTCTCTTGGAATATAACAAATTACCAGATGATATAAAAAATTGCAGAAATACAATAAAATTCAAATACCATCTTAAAAAATTTATCATTTCTGAACGAAATAGATGACTTTTTTTTTTCAACTTTTGATTCATATTCAAATTGATTTTTGCTCACCAATATGAAATGATTTGTCAAAATTTAATAATTAATGTATTCAAATATTTTATTATTCATTAGTTTATTATAATTGTATAGTTTTAGGTATTATTGTTAACTATACTTCCTTATACCAGAACTTGATTCTGACTGGAAGTAACATTTTCGATAAATAAATAAATAAATAAATAAATAAATAAATATTAATAATGTTATTGTTAGCGACGATGTTCAAATCACCCCGTGAATGAGAAGAACGCCTAAGGAATGCCTTATCACAAGCGGCGTCGACGACTCATCGGTATTCGTAATCATCGTGTGATCGAAGATAGAAGCAGGTTCAGTCGATGAGCATCGTAGCTTCAGAACGAATCACTTGTCGTTGTTGTATTTTTATAAACGGTCATCTTTGTACAAGCCGTCCCGAGTGAATAAAAATGTGTGAAATTGTGTCTATCTACGATGCCTCCATTTAGAACCTTATAATATACATTTTTTTCATGTTCTGGTTCCCAAGAAAAGGGATATCCTGTAATGTTCAGAGAACATCGTGAGAACCAAGGAAAATAAGGTAGGAATTGGTGTTCTTCTTAAATTTCTAGAGGTTATATGCCTCGGGGAACTCGTCCCTTGGCAATGTGTTCCAGAGCCTCACTGTTCGTTGGATGAACGAGTCTTTGGAAAGATATGTTCTGCAGGTCTCCAAAGTGACCATGAAGAGGGTGCGAAGCCTCAACTCGACGGGTAATCTCGCGGGGACTGACAAGGGAGGAACAATTGTTGATATTTCAGAAGAGCATCGTCCATGAAAAAATCTATAAAATAGAGCCAGATCGCCAACTTTTCTACGGTGTTCCAGAGAAGTGAGTGAGTTTGTGAGCGAGGCATCACCCACGAGACGAATTGCCCTTTTTTGGACAGAATCCAACAGTTTCAGGGTATGTGTGGGTGCTGCACTCCAAATATGGGGACAGTATTCCAGGACAGGTCGGATCTGTGCCTTATAGATCATAAGCAGCTGACTGGAAGTGAAATAGCTCCTGGCCCGAAACAGAAAACCAAGTTTTTGAGATGCACTTTTAGCAATTGATCTCAAGTGATTTTCCCAAGAAAGGTTATTGCTGATAGTAATACCAAGCATCGAAATGGATTTCAAAGGTATGGTTACTAGTAACAAGCTTATGTTGGGCAGAGTGAGATCGGTTTTTCTAGAGAAAAGGCAATAATAAATGAATAATAAATTTAGTGGCTTTGGTTTCGTGTATTGGCGTCCCTGACATGACATATTGCTGTCACGTCACATTCATTGGCGTTAAACGTGATCTTACAAAATTTTAATATCCTACTTTTTCTTAATAGGACATTATTCAATTCTGTTTTGGAAGGATGGTGAAATGTGCTGCGTTAGGCTGTATCAATCAGGTGGATGGCAAACTTGAATTTGTCAGCTTTCCATCAAATGCAAATGAACTTGGAACATGGAAAGTGAAGTGACCGATTGGGGAAAATTATTAACTACATCAGCAAACATATTCGAAGTAAAACTAATACGAAATCACATATTATACTTTCTCATTGTGCCCATAATTATCCACTCCACAAGTTTTTGAATGCATTTTAGTATAAACAGTTTTGATTAAAACGGAGGATTAAAAGAAGAGGCATATGCCCTACCATTGAAAAATTTATACCTACATTCAGGAAATGTTAAGTGTTCGTGAAAAACTGCAAAAATGATTCCCAACATGAATTTATACAGCACACATGACATATGAGCATATCCGTTTGAATACCTACATAAAATGTTTCACCATTTCTTAACCATAAGGCTTAGTCTGATATCAAAATTAATTTATTGATAGGTACTGCCTAAGAACAGTCCTATTTGGTGAAACGTATCAAACTTTCAGAAAAATTTGCTCACTGCCTCACAAAGATTATGCTGGAGTTGAAAAATCAAAAACCCGAAAATTATCATCATCATTTGGATACAATATGTAGAGTTGAATGAGAAATTGCATATGGAAATTACGTATGATACGCCAATGTCCTCAATATAACCTAAAAACCAACAAATGTCAGAATTCTAGTGTTTATCCCCAGAAATGAATAAAGATGGAATGAAATATAACTTTAATCTTAAGAAACAATATCAATTCGTTTCCACTGAGTCGACTTCATTAGTTAACCCTTTATTATTATTTTTTTATTTATTTATTTATTTATATTCACACAGGCCTATTGGCCTAATTACATGAATATATATATATATATACAAATATTGAAGAAATACAGTTGATTCTAATGTGTTACAGAAGAGAGAAAAATATAAAAAGAAAAAACAGTAGAAATGTGTGGGACAGCAATACGAAATGAAAAGTGTTGTTGATATCTATAATAGCACATACAAGTGGGTCAGTATGATAACATTTGTTGAAAAATTACTTTTTTAAATCTGTTGAATGTCATAGACCAATCTAAATCAGTTAATGAATTTATATAATTAGCTAATTTGAGCATATTTACAAGAGGGGAGTGGGATGTTGTGGATATTAACGTGGTATTAAACATCAGAGGAAATCTGGTTCTGCGGGCCGACACATGAAAAGATATCAGAGCTAAGAGATCCGAAGAATTGATCTGATAATTTATAATTTTATACAAGAATGACATCATACTCACTTTAATTCTGTTATCAATTGAAATAACACCAAATTCTGACCTGAGCTGAGATGATCGAATAGTTACAAAGTCTGGCCATCTTATATATTTCCTGAAATATAGGTGCCTCAAAAAACTATTTTGTACTTTTTCTAAGGATTTCAGAGTAGTTTGCGATTCTCCATTCCAAATTACTGAGCCAAATTCAAGTTTTGACCTCACAAGAGTGTAGTATAACCCGATTAATGTTTTTACATGTCTAAAGTTAGAACCTTGTCTAATAACGAAACCAAGTGTTCGTGTTGCAGACTTTGTGGTATTTTCAATGTGTTTTTTAAATGACAATTTATTATTGTATGTTATACCAAGATCTTTGATTTCAATGCATCTCTTGAGATAATCATCAGCTATTTTGTAATCAAAAATTATTTGTTCTTTAGCACGAGATATTGTCATTACTGAGCATTTTCCAACGTTGAATGGTAATTTGAATTCATCGCTCCATTTGTATAAAGCATTTACATCTTTTTGAAGTAAGACACAATCTCTGACTGTTTGGATTTTCTTGAATATCTTCAAATCATCTGCGAATAACAAACATTCCGAATATTGGATCACCGAGGGTAAATCATTAATAAAAAGAATGAAAAGTAAAGGCCCTAGGTTTGATCCTTGAGGCACTCCTGAGTTAGCATGGAATTTTCCGGAAGTATTACCATTATACCTAACTATAAAATTTCTGTTTTCTAAATAGTTTTTCAAAAGCTTCAAAATTTTTGCAGATAATCCAAACTTGTAAATTTTTTTCAATAGAATATCATGATTTACTTTATCAAATGCTTTACTAAAATCTGTGAATATGGTATCCAATTGCAAATTTTCATCCATGGCATTATTAGCAGTATTTGTGAATAAAAATAAATTCGTATTTATTGATTTTTTGCTCATAAACCCGTGTTGTTCGTTCACTATGTTCATTTCGACATGTTTATAAAGTCTATTATAAATAATTTGTATTCATGTATCCCTATCATAAACAGAAATGTTTCTTGGGGTAATAAAGACAATCAATCAATCAATAAAACTGTTTCACAAACACTTTAGAGTGAGAAGAGACGAGGATCTGTCTGTTAAGATGACAAATACGTCAATTTACATCAAGGGACCCTAGGTATATGGCATAAATTCGACTAGTGTGTACAACCCCATATTGATCCCCCTTATCCTAACATTACGCACCTGCCGCTGTCGTCCTTCTGCCATTCGACGTCCACCGTCCGGACGCCGGCGACGCGACCGGCGCCGTCGTCGATGAACTCCTGCGTCATGACGCTGAAGACGCGCGGGTCGGAGCCCAAGCGCACTTTCACCTTTGGAACGAGAAAGAGAAGTTATGTTAGGTTAGAGTCACTGGATGGTATTAGTGTGATAAGAGTTCGGACACAGAAATAACAGCTATTAATGTTTTTGAATGTTTAGATTTATTAAGTTATACACCTTGCATTTTGACAAGAGCACCATAGTCGTCCCGCGCGTTTCTATACAAAATTATTTGAATTTGACAAAAAATACTATGAACGTCAGAATTGAAATATAATTTTCATAAACTATTGAGAATTGAAAATGTCCTGCTGTGTAATGGATTATGGGAATTCTGAAGAGAATATGGTGGAAGGAAAATTAATTTAAAAACTTGCAAACTTTGTGAGGTAGGTTCAAATTTAATTCTTATAACATTAGCAGATATTTTAGGGCAATTTTTGAAAAGAGGATTTTAAGATCCGTTTGAGAGAATCTGCTGATCCATCCATTTACAAAACAGACTAGTTCGAGTTCAGTTTCAGATACAATAATAAGGAACTAGCTATAAGTATATATCCATGTGTGTCTATTTTTTCACATTAAAATGTTATTACATGCATTCTTCTCATTTTTATAACTGTTGTTCTGCGATAAGTGTATTGTTATAAATTGAAGTGGGTGTTTATACCCTATTTCCAACTACGACTATGATTGATTTGACAGAAAATCTAACCTCTAAAATGGTATCTGACAAATAGGGGCAACTAGGGAAATTGAAAAAGACAAAGAGCAGAATATATGTCTTATTCTTTCATTCACTCAAACCATGGTGATATAGAAAATAGAAAAGGACAGAAGTTCAGATGTGTTAGATCATTGAAACACAACCTCACTTTTCTTATTTGTTCACAACGAACGGATTGAAATAGTTTTTCACAATTATTGTGGTGCATACGAATCATGTTTTTCGGCTATTCATTAATAATTCAAGCATGCCATCACATTGTGCTGTTATAAAATGCACAAAAAAATGCAGCGAGAGACGAAGGAATCCGATTTTTTAAGTAGGTACATACATTGTGATCTGAAGGAACTATAGTCACTCACATATAGTTTTCATTTTGAAATTTTTTCATTTCTCATTGGAATTCCTTCGGCAATAGAAGCTAATACAGGGTTTCTATAAATGATCGTAACATCGTAGTAGCCGTTGGAATATTTTCTCATTTATGGAAATTCACACATTCGAATTTAATTTCTGACATCAATCATTATACTGTCATAGCTGATAACAATTGTCAGTTTTTCGTTACAATTTTCAAACGATTCTGTTTTCTACTTCGTGATTGTCGTGTTGAAAAGAGAGATGGTTTATTCCTCGGAGCAGAATACATTTATTGTAATGTCTTATTGTCGAAATGGCACATTCATCAATGGTGGATAGAGTTACTCGGTAGTAGCCTGCAAGGATGAATACCTGGCGAAATATCCTAATTTACAGATTCAAGAATCTTCTTTGAAAGCCCACATTTGAACAGTGATCAACAGATTCATCCAAACTGGAAACGTTAATAAAAAGAAATCAACAGGAAGGCCCCAAATATCGGAAGAAGTTGCCAAATGGCGCGTGTTGAGCCAAACGTCATTGAAGAGATTATCTTTACAATCTGGTGTGCCACTAAGTATGCACCCTTACAAGACCAGTGTACTACAGCAACTTCTGCCAATAGATATCCCACGTCGTCTGGAGTACTGCCAATGGTTCCAAAATAATCTCACCGATGACCAGCTATTGAACCTAACATTTTTCAGCGATGAGGCTTGGTTTCATTTGTCGGGATACGCGAACTCACAAAATTTTAGGTTTTGGAGATCTGAGAATCCCCACAATTTCATTGAGACTCCACTACATTCTCAAAAAATAGGGATGTGGTTAGCAGTTTCTCGTAGGCGAATATATGGACCGATTTTCTTCGACGGCACTATCAATGGTGAAAGGTACATACAAGTGATCTTAGAACCATTCATCAATCAACTTGATGATGAAGAAATTCGAGTTGGCTATTTTCAGCAAGATGGGGCCACTGCCCACACCACACGTGCAAACTTAGAATATTCACAAGAATCCTTATTTTCCAACACGTTTTCCAGAGTTGACGCCTTCGGATTTCTGCCTTTTTGGATATTTGAAAGACGAAGTATTCAAGAGAGACAATAATAACCTTGCAGAGCTACAAGCCTCAATAACACATTGCTGCCAAAATATTGGCCAGGAAATGCTGAGGAACATTTTCGACAACAAACGGCTTGGAGAACAACGGAGAACATTTTGACTATTTGATGTAGGTAAATGAAATAAACCGTTATTTATTACTTCTTTGATAAATAGTTTTGATTTGTTCCATTATTTTTCAAACTCCAATATTGGACTCTCCTTTCTTTGAGATACATTTCCATAGTGTATGCGAAACGATATAAAAAAAGATCCTGTATATGATCACTTCCTCTCTTTTTGGTCGTTAAATGTTGTTAACAGCATTAGTAGAAAGCGGCAAATGGAAGAAAATGTCAACAGCCACTACGATGTTACGATCATTTATAGAGACCCTGTAGAAATACTCGTGCGTGAAGTTTCTATTCGTGTTTTTCTTTACTAAAATAGGTAGATAACGAAAACAAATGTTCAAGATAAAAATCCATCACAAGTGCAAAATCCCCCTAACCCGACCCCACTAACCTCCTCGTGTCCGTAATCCACCCGGAACACCCTAGGCCATTGCGGCCACGGATTATCATTGGACCGTTTCGGCCCCGGCTCGGGCAGGATCTCGAAGGTGGTGATGCTGGCCGCCCCGTGCCTGAGCGAGGTCGCGATGCAGTCGCAGCCCGTGTCGCCGCCCCCGATGATCACCACGTGCTTGTCCTTGGCGTGCAGGCCGCCCGCGGTGCCGCCCTCCGCTGGCGGGCCGCCCATTTGCTTCTTCTGCCAGCTCTCGAGGAACTCCATGGCGAAGTGGATGCCGCCCAGCTGACGACCTGAAAGGGCAAGAATCGGACGATATTTCGATGGTTGTGACTTTGAAAGAATCAAGTTTTGTCGTCTAATGTCAGAAATTGTTGACATTTCGTGTGTCAGGACGCAATAAATCCTAACATTTGCGAGAAAAGTTCCTCACACTTCATGGGTTCCTCACTGCTTCAATGGACGCAGAAACTAAGCCAATTCTTCTGTCAGATCTTGAGGAACTCCATGGCGAAGTGGATGCCGCCCAGCTGAATAGGCCGATATTTCGATGGTTCTGACTACTTTTTTCCCGGATATATTGATTGATTGATTGTCTTTATTACCCCAAGAAACATTTCTGTTTATGATAGGTATACATAAATACATATAAAAAAATAATAATAAAGGGTTAACTATAATGAATTCCACTCAGTGGAAACGAATTAATATTGTGTCTTATAAGATTGAATTTATATTTCATTCCTAAGTAATCAAATCATGCCACATATTTTTCATTCAAATTGTCCTGAGCAAGTATTTTTTAAGATTGATTTTAAACCTTCTCGCATCATGTATATTTTTCAACTCATTCGGTAATGAATTGTATAAAATTATTCCATTGTGAAAAACAGATTGTTTGCCAATGTTTGACAAAATGAATAAAGCAACATATTTTGAGTTTATATAAGGAAATCACGTTCAGAAAATGTCTTGGTTTGTATAAATTTATCGTTGGTTCTAGAAAATGTAGATGAAAAATGCACTTAATTGATTTGTTTTGTAATTTCATTAGTGGTTTCAGACGTGAAATATTTGTACTCCCCCAAATAGAAATTAAATATTGCAAATTTGAATAAATGAGGCAAAAGTATATACATTTCAAGTATTTTATGGGAATAATATTTCGGATTTTGAATAAAATGCCTATGATCGGATTTATTTTATTTCTCAAATAGTCTAGATGTTTAGTCCATAATAATTTTTCGTCGATATAGAGACATGAAAATTTTGTCACGTCTGTATATTTGATTAATCTATTGTTGAGTTATAGCATTATTCGAAATATTAACTGATTTTTTGGAAATATACATATATGAAGATTTGTTATAATTAAGAGTCAACTTATGATCCCGTTCCCGTTCGATATCATTTAATTCTTTCGATATATAAATCAATGTTGTATCATCCGCAAATAATTTTAGCTTTCCTTTCAATTTCAGAGTTGATATTGAATTAATATAAATTGAAAATAAAATTGGTCCCAGAACTGATCCTTGCGGTACTCCACATGTAATATTCTTTAGTGAGCCAGAAAGATCATTCACTTCAACATACTGCTTTCTATTTGTCAAATAATGTATGAACCAATCATGAATTCTTCCTCTGACGCCGATTGAATATAATTTATTTAGTAAAATTTTATGATCTACAGTGTCAAATGCCTTACATAGGTCCAAGGACAAGAAGCCACATTTATAATTTTCATCAATCCGTGACTGGATATCCGAAATTACATCCATTACAGCTATCTCTGTATCCTTCGATCTACGGAATCCATATCGACCACTGTACCAGGTGATTCAATAAGGATGACGAGATTCTGTATCTGAGAAGCTAAGAATTTTGTCAACAAGGACTGTATCAAGAAAGGAATATTTGACGAATGAAATAAAAAATCATACATGTCATTCTGGGGTTCTTACCGTCCTTACTAAGGGGCGTGTTTCATAGACTATTAGTTTCTGAGATACAGTACCTCGCCACCCTTATTGAATCACCTGGTGCAATAGATTGTTATTTTCAAGGAAGTCAAGAAGACGATTATTCATGATTTTGTCTGTAATTATTCATATCGTCTCTCTTTACCAGTTTTGTATATTGGCAATACTTTGGCAATTTTCATTTTATCAGGAATAATACCAGTTTCAAAAGATTTGGAAATAATTTTCAACAAGATGGGAGTTAATTCAGATTTGATTACTTTTACAATTTTTACAGTTATGAAATCAAATCCACAAGATTTCCGTACATCCAAGTTATCGATTATATTTCGAATTTCTGGAATATTTGTTGGTAATAATATGGACGACTTTTGTGTTGGTTTCCAAAAAAACATTTTTTTCATATATAACTCACCTGGCAGTGGCAAATCCCTGGGCCAGGTGGCGCCCGTGGTCAGCACGAGCCCGTCGTACTCCTCGCTCAGCTCCTTGGCGGAAATGTCTTTGCCCACGTTGACGTTGGTCTTGAACGAGATGCCCTCGGCGGACAACAGGTCCACGCGGCGCTGCACCACCGCCTTGCTCAGCTTCATGGTGGGGATGCCGTACTGCAGCAGCCCGCCCACTCTGTCGTTTCTCTCGAATACCGTCACCTAGGAGAGAAATATCCTCGAATCAACTCATTTTTCTAAAGAAGTTCAACAGGAAATAGATGTTTTTCCAATTTTGACATATAATTTGACACTTCTCAAAACTGTACGGAAGTTTTGAAGGCGACGTTCTCGGTCGCCAGCTTCATGGTAGGGATGCCTTACTGGAGCAGCCCGCCCACTCTGTCATTTCTCTCGAACACCGTCACCTAGGAGAGAAATATCCTCGAATCAACTCATTTTTCAAAAGAAGTTCAACAGGAAATAGATGTTTTCCTAATTTTGACATATAATTTGAGAAGGGGGTGTTTCCATGAAAAGTGAGACAAAAATTAATTTTTCAGAACAGAAGAATTTTCAAGGAAAAAATGAAAAGTTAGTGAATTGGGCTTCCTGATTACGAATCCGAAGTGATTTTCAACATATTTCGACTCCTAATATCATTTTCCGGAAATTGGGGTGGTTCCATGGCTGTTGGTGAGCAGTGTAAATCACTGAAGATGACCCCACTTGGTCAATGAGTGCATATTTGGTATATCTCTCGCTCCAGCAACTCTCAGGAAAGTATTGTATCGCCTCTCATTTGATATCCCAACAAATGATCTGTATGCGATAACAGAAAAATGTTCATTGGATGAATTATATAAAATAGATTCTCTTAAAGTTTCATATAATATAATAAACAATAATCTGAAATCCAATTTTGTTTTGGTAAGAAACTCAGGAATTCATGGTCATCACACGAGACAATTAAACTTATTTCATCCTGATTCTGCTACTTCTATAATTGTCCAAAAAAAATTTACTCACGCTGCTCTAGCTGAATTCAATAAATTACCACATAATATAAAAAATTGCAGACATATTTCAAAATTTAAGATTGAATGAAAAAAACACATGATTTTATTACGAAATGGATAAAACTGATACTTTGCCATCTACTGATTAGTCCCTGTGGCTATTTTTATGACTTGATCGATTTAGCATTTTCAGATTTTTTAGATTTTTATTGTTGTTGTCACCTTATATTATTTTATTATTGTTGTTTGTAATCAACTTCCTCATACCAGAATTTTATTTCTGACTGGAAGCTAGTTTTTCAATAAACAATAAACAATAATATCAATAAAGAATAAACTGTATCTGAGAATATTCCTTTTCGAACATTCGATATTTTTCGAAATAAATACTCACCGAATGTCCCGCCTTGTTGAGCTGATGGGCGCAAGCGAGTCCCGCCGGCCCCGACCCGACGATCGCCACCCTTTTCCCCGTGCGCACCGAGGGCACTTGCGGCACGATCCACCCGTTCTCGAACGCGTGGTCGATGATCGCGCACTCTATGTTCTTGATGGTGACGCTCGGCTCCGAGATGCCCAGCACGCAGGCGGCCTCGCAAGGGGCGGGGCACACGCGACCAGTGAACTCGGGGAAGTTGTTTGTTTGCAACAGGTGGTTGAGGGCTTGGCGCCACTGGTTCTGGAATGGAAGGAATCGTTCATTCACGTCTCAGACTGAATAACGATGGATAGATACCGCGATTCAGTCATTAACCATTAGAAAAGTATATTAGAGAACTGGTGAAAGATATATACATAATATTGATCTGCTATGACAATTGTTCACTTCAATGTTTAATGTACTGTTTATTGTCCTTTTACACTCTTGATGAGTTTATTCCAATCTCTCTCTTTCTCTCCTTCTCTCCTTCACTCCTTCTCTCTTCCTCTCCTTCTCTCTTCCTCTCCTTCTCTCTTCCTCTCCTTCTTTCCTTCTCTCTTCCTCTCTTTCTCTCTTCCTCTCTTCCTCTCTTTCTCTCTTTCTCTCTTTCTCTCTTTCTCTCCGTCTCTCTTTCTCTCCGTCTCTCTTTCTCTCCGTCTCTCTTTCTCTCCGTCTCTCTTTCTCTCCGTCTCTCTTTCTCTCCGTCTCTCTTTCTCTCCGTCTCTCTTTCTCTCCGCCAACATTCCTTAGCGTGTAACACGGAGGTGGTTGAGGGCTTGGCGCCACTGGTTCCAAAATGGAAGGAATCGTCCATTTAATCATTTGAGAAGTTTTTTTTTTGTTCTGGTTACCACGAAAAAGAATATCCTGTAATGTTCAGGGAACATCGTGAGAAGCGAGGTAAATAAGGTAGGAATGGGTATTCTTCTTAAATTTCTGGAGGTTATATGCCTCGGGGAACATATCTCCCTTGGCAATGTGTTCCAGAGCCTCACTGTTTGTTGGATGGAAAGAGATGTTCTGCAGATCTCCAAAGTGACCACGAAGAGGTGCGAAGCCTCAACTCGACGGGTTAATCTCGCGGGGACTGTCAAGGGAGAAACAATTGTTGATATTTCAGAAGAGCATCGTCCATGAAAATATCTATAAAATAGAGCCAGATCGCCAACTTTTCTACGATGTTCCAGAGAAGTGAGTGAGTTTGTGAGCGAGGCATCACCCACGAGACGAATTTTGGCCTTTTTTGGACAGAATCCAACAGTTTCAGGAATTACTGTCTGATCATTCATGTCATTCCTACTAGAAAATTAATTATACTTTATATATTATTTGTATGAAATGTATCAATGAAGAAGAGAATGTAATGCAATAACTGAAATAAATAAACTTCAAATGAAAAAAAAAATAAAATAAAATATGGGAACAGTATTTCAGGACAGGTCGGATCTGTGCTTTATAGATCATAAGCAGCTGACTGGAAGTGAAATAGTTCCTGGCCCGAAACAGAAAACCAAGAAAGGTTATTGCTGATAGTAATACCAAGCATCGAAATGGATGTCTTCAAAGGTATGGTTACTCCTGACAAGCTTATGTGAAACACGGATAAATGAATGAAATCACGAATGGTGGGGATAACTCTGCGGAATAATTGCCAGAGAATCGAAATTCTGTATCGATATATTTATAAATCAAATAAATCGGAATTTTTTTACCGCAGGCGGCCTCGCAAGGGGCGGGGCACACGCGGCCTGTGAACTCGGGGAAGTTGTTGGTCTGCAACAGGTGGTTGAGGGCTTGGCGCCACTGGTTCTGAAATGGAAGAAATCGTCCATTCACGCCTCAGACTAATAGATTGTTGGCCCGCGACAAAGGGTTTATCGATGTTCCAAGTCGGTATACCATTTAAGGTCCAAGTTAACAGGAAAAAGTGCCTCGGAGAGTCGCAACCCAGTCCTTGCCCCGGACCTGACCTCACCTTTCGGTTGGAAAAAAGTTCGAAATTTTGTTTAAGAAGAAGCTCGGCAATGAAGTGCTGATCAATCGAACCGCATCAAGCACATTTTCGCTCTAAATTCAACATTGCATATTTTCGCGAAAATTCCACTTATTCGTGTATATGACAGATAGACTGCTGATGGGAATACATGGTAACCTCTGGCTATACAAGGTGACAAACAAACCTCTGCAAAATATTGAAACATTCTCCATACCCCCAATTTGATGGAAAATTTTTGAGATTATTTTCAAGCATACTTTTATTATTCTCAAGCATATTTCTCGAGATGGTTTCGCAATTTTTCTCTCATCTTTCCAGATTTTCGAGAACATTTTTTTTTTCGAAAAATGTGATAATTTGTACAACTGACCAGAAATATTATTATTTGTAGCTCGAATATCACAGATTTTCTCTTGGATGAGCTATTGTGACCTTATTTTATTGAATGAAATCTCATATTGTTTATATACACAGTGTTTGGCAACAATATTTTATAGATATTATTGAAGAAAGACCGAGCACAACACATTAATCAACTTGAATAGTGTGCGAGATTGAATGACAGCAACTTTCCCCAAAGTTGCAGAAAAAAACGGGAGAAAGAATATACAGGGTGATATATCATGCAAGGATGAGCAGGTTATTGTGAATCACCTTGTATATTCTGCACTGAGCAACATTCCAATGACGAGAAAGACTAAGAGAGATGAGTAATAATTCATTCATATATCACATACATTTTTGAACTCTCAAAGTTTCATTGCATGAAACTTCCACCAATCTTGGTATATCACCCTGTATATTCTTTCTCCCGTTTTTTTTCTGCAACTTCAAGAAAAGTTGCTGTCACTATACAAGTTGATCAATGTGTTGTGCTAGGTCTTCCTGTAATATCGTTGCCAAACACTCTGTATATGAACAATATAGGATTTCATAAAACAAGTCACAATAGCTCATCCAAGAGAAAAACTGTGATATTTGAGCTACAATGAATAAGAATATGTCTGGTCAGTAGTACAAATTATCATAATTTTTCGATGAAAAAACTTTTTCCCAAAATTATGAGAAAATAAGAAAAAAATTGCGGAATCATTTCGAGGAATATGCATTATGAAACTATGCTTGAAAAACATCTCAAGAATTGGGAGAATGAAGAATTTTTCAATATTTTGCAGACGTTTGTTTGTCACCCTGTATACCCAGAGGTTACTATGTATTTCCATCAGCGGTCTATCTGTCATATACCCAATGGAGCAATCTTCAGAATGAAGAAAACCGCATCCGCATAAGTGGAATTTTCGCGAAAATATTCAATGTTGAATTTAGAGCAGGAAAGTGCGTGATGCGGTTTCGATTGATCAACAGTTTACTTCTAGGTGGTTTGTTGTTAGGAGATTAACACAATGTATTTTTACTTATAATATCACGAGAGCTTCAATTATTTCCGGAAATATTTTCGAGAACACGAATATTTTGAGTCGAAGACGAAAGAGAATTTCCTAAATATTCTTGTTCGTGAAAAAATTGGTATTCGGTAAGAAAATTTCACACTGAAATATTATATTGCAAGTATACCTACATGATATTGGTAAATGATTTTTATTTATTGACTTATAAAATTAACTCGAAATAATCTGAATCTATGGTAACGATACGAAATACAGGCTTTGAATCGATCGAAAATGTTTGGTGTGAAATTTTCATTCAAATACTACGTACCTGGAAGACCAAAAGATTCCACTTGGGGATGATGTTGCCCAAAGGGCAGCCGTGCGAGTTGGACTGACAGAAGGGCACGCCGCACTCCATGCAGCGGGCGGCCTGCACGCGCAGCCCTTTGCGCACGTGCGTGAAATTGTAGATCTCGTCCCAGTCCTTGAGGCGTTTCTCTGCCGGCCGGTAGGGGGCCGTTTCTCTCGGGTACTTCATGAAACCTGTGCAAAAAGTCCATTCCGATCTACAAAACCTTTTATATTTTTATAAATCAAAGCATCCAGACTCACTGACGAGCTCAGTATTGTTTGTAGTTTGAAAGAATATCAAGAATAGATTTAAACCATTTTCTTTGCCAATCTCTCTCAGTTTGGACATGTTTTCAATCTTGCATGGCGATTCAGAAGCCAGACTAGTGGTTTTAAAATAATTCGACTGTCCACTTGACCAATCTCAATGTGAGAAGTTTCCTTCGGATGAATTTGCATCAAATCAGTATCACATTGATTAGGATCATGCTTCTGCAATCTATAATGACAATTGAAATAAACCAATTATATTTTCGAACTTAAGGAATTGAGGAATATTTTGGGGGAAAACGATGACATAAACGGTGAAACTAGTGGACTTGGGCATAATTACTTTGGCTGAGATACAAATCACCGAACAAGCCCGAACTGAAAACGAAGGAAAACAATCAACTTACAACTTTAAGACTTACTGAATGAAAAATAAACTGGAGTGTATTTCTTACCATAATTGATACCCAAAAATACGAGCTGATTAGTCTATAAAGATAAAATTCGACTTGAATCACAGAAACTAGATCACAATCAACAAGTGCAAATAGAACCGAAAACAGCGCATAATTAATACTAGACTGTGAATTAAGAAGAAAGTGAAAAACCGTAAACAACAATACCAATGGAAACATAACCTCAATAAATTCGCAGATTGCAGCATGGTTTGTTGTAAAACTGGTTTCAGGCGTGGTTGCCAGGTATAATTTAGTAATGTTTTTGAAACAATGAAAATTCACCCAGGATCCCTTGAAGTTAGAATTTTATTTTGATTTTATTCATTTTAAAAATCAAGATAGTTCGTCTAGATTAGGCATTTCATCAAACATCCATAAATAATTGGGTTCACACTTTTCGACTGATAAGGAAATAAAAAATATCATTCCATATTATACAGGAGCCAATTATAAATGAAATCTCAATGTAGTCAATACATACAGAAATTCTTAATACCCAAACATATAAATGGAAACGGCAGCGTCGCAGTCGCGCTAGTGAAATCGCGTATAAGCTCTGTATGCACATGGCAGTTCACCAATGACATCAGCACAATGGTGTAGGATGTAGAATGTAAAATTTTTTGAAGTGAATTCTCAACCTATTGAGAAAATTGAAAATACGTATATAATTTTTCAAAAACTTCACGGAGAAATAGAAATCTCAACATAGGAAACTTACACATTGCAACTCACTCATCAACCCTACATTACGACTGGAAACGTCATCTAGATCCTCTTCAAATGTCGATCTGTATAATAAACTACCCGATAATGATAAAAACCAGAGCAACACCAAACTCAAAACTTCAAACAAACAGATGTTACTGAGGTTCAATTTTTGTTCTATAAGAGAATACTTCTATAATTTCATAACTATTATTGTTCAAGCTACATTTACACAGTTGGTGGTGTTGTCATGAATACTACAGAATTTTGTTATACAATTGGAAAATAATTAAGAACCTTCAAGGTCAGACTATACTATCAAAAACATGTAATTTCGTTATTAAACTGATACACTAGCTGTATCAAGTGGAAACCAGTCCCAAATTTCTGTATGCAAAATCCTACATGGTCCTTCGAGCCGGACCAATTGTATAACAAAACTCTGTAGTATTCGTGACAACATCACTAACTGTGTATATAGAGGGTGAATAATAACAGTAAAAAAATTATGCAATACTTATGTGCCGAAATTACTGATAGCTAAGTAGCTTTCCTCACCTCTGGTCTTGTCCAACGCCCTCTCGGCTTTCTTCTGCTCCACCGTCAAATCCCCAACTATATCTTCAAGATCCTGAATCTTCGGCTCTCCGTTCACCGCCTGATTCACCGGCGTCCCGACGCCCTTCTGCCTCAGCGCCTTCTGGTACTCGTACGGGAAAACCTTCACGAACTCCTTTCTCCGCTGCTCGAACTCCTCAAGGAGTTTCGCGGCCACGAGACTACCGGTGAGCTCGATGAACTCTTCCAGCAGGGTTTTCACCAGTTGGAGGTCGTCTCTGTCTTCCAGCTTGCACAGCTCGACCATCTCCATGTTGCACCTGGTGGAGAATTTGCCGTCGACGTCCCACACGTAGGCGATGCCGCCCGACATGCCGGCAGCGAAATTTCTGCCTGTCAAACCTATGGAAAAAATGAGAAACGTTGTGACTGACCAGTATGAAATCGAATTCTTTTCAATCACCTTCCAAACATTCCACTTGAAACTAGAGTTCCTTGATGTACTTAACCCATCAGTTTTGACGTTTTTGTATATTTTTTATAGTTGATTAGGTAATCCAATGACCTGTCAAACTATGTGTTGGTTGGCACACAATGAAATTATTTTTAGTATAATTATTAATAATCAAGGTGTTCGGTTAATTCGAATAAAACTTTAATTCAGAAAGAAGTATTACATATAAGATAAATCCTTACCTACGATCAGCACCACTATTCCCGTCATGTACTCGTACCCGTGGTCCCCCACTACTTTTCAGACCTTTTCATTTGAGATTATTTGACTGTCAGTGCTTGTCACAGTGTTTGTACTCTCAATATCGGAAAACGTCAAAACGAAAGTGTCAATATTTCCTTCTTTCCAATTAATTCAAATAGAACTTAAGTTCAGAACGAAATTGATAATATGTGTTGTGGTCGCTTGAGTCTCTTGTTGCTACCTGTGAAAGCTCCAGCTGCTAGGCATTCACTGCTACTCCAGCTAGTCTTGAGTAGGGTACCTTGATGCAAACTCACGTATTTGTCATCTAACAGGGTACGGACAAATCATACCTCCTTTCTCTTTTAATCATCTAGTGACTTTGGTTTCGTGTATTGGCGTCCCTGACATGACATTGCTGTCACGTCACATTCATAGGCGTTAAAAGAGATCTTGAAAAATTTCAATTTCATACTTGATCCATTCAATTCTGTTTTGAAAGGATGGTAAAATGTGCTGCGTTGGGCTGTATCACTATCAGTTGAATAGCAAATTTGAATTTGTCTACTTGCCATCAAATGCAAATGAACTTAGAACATGGAAAGTGAAGTGACCGGGACGGAAAATTGTAACTTCAAGGCCCTCTGGAGCCCAAACGATGCAACTTTGTACTGAGGTAATTTTACTTGAATCGAGTTATATTGGTCTAAGGAATATGTGGTATCTTTTTGTACAGACTCTTTACAGACACCCTCTATAATAGGGTCATAAAAGTACTAAACATGTTGTATTAGGGAGATCTTTGTTCTGTGGATCTGATTAATATAATAAAAAAAAGTATTTATAAAATGGCAAATAAATTGCTGCAGGAAAGTCCTTGAAAGTGGTGTAGTAAAATTTTTCCAAATAATATAAAAACATATTTCAGATATCAAATTCTAATGTTAATTTGGCTTATAGCATATCAATAATACAATACAATTTAAATTAAATATAAATGAACGTATACACACACATGATATCGTTTTTGACACATATTAATAAGAAGTATTCGTGACTTCAACAAATTGATGGATTCTCGATCTCGGTTTTTCTTTTATCCATTTTTTCAGTTTGGAGATGAAAAGATTCTGGGCATAAATCAGTTTCAGGTCGACTGGTATCAAACGGTCCCAAGTAAACGAAACTATGTTGTAAGATATTTTTTCGTAGTCTAGGGATTATATAGGAATTTTGTCTGTTTCTAGTGTTGTACGTGTGGTCTGGAAGTCTTAGTTCAGTTCTGTGAATGTGTTGTCTAGCTACAGTTTTCAAAAAGTATAGTTGTCGTATTTGACATACGTGTCCTGTCACTGTATATAGTACATCTGTTGAGAGTGTGATGGGAAGTGAATATGTCATTTTGACTATTCGGTTTTGTTTTCGCTCTAAGGCAGTGGTTCCCAACCTTTTTCCAGTCATGACCCCTTTTGGATTTGCTTAAAAGGTCGCGACCCCCCATTGAAATATTGACATCTCCTTATTCAATATAAAAAACAATTTGATAACATTCATATTATTTATTTGGTATAATTTTAATGAGATGATTGAGCTTGCAGCTGCATAACAAATTTCAAAATTCTTGGTTGAGTGCGTGTCAAAGCCATGGCATCTTGAACATCCGGTTTATTTCTCGCCTTTGTTTTAATTTGCAAAAGAGTTGAAAAACTACTTTCACAGAGATAGGTCGAAGCAAAGGGTACTGTAGTACCCGCAAAGAAAGCAGAGCGACATTAGGATATAAACAATATATGGCACACCAGAATTCAGTCAAAGTATTTTCCTGGAATAGGACACGTGCTGTGGAATCATTTTCAAGATCTAAAAATTCATCTTGTAATTCATCAGGAAAGTCGGCAATATCTAACGAGGCATGTTATGAGTTCCTTACTACTGCAGCTTCTTGGTCAGACAGCTCGGGAAAATAACGTTGACTTTCATTTTCAAGGGATTCAAGGTTGATAATCAATTTCCCCTTTTAGATCCCCCGCAATTCCTGCCTCTGATACTTCAACCATGGTGCTCAGGTTTTCAAACATTGCAAAGTTTTCAAGATTCACTTTACGTCGCCAGTTTCCAATCTTGGACACAAATGCTTCGAGATTATCTTTAAAATAGATGAGGTGCAAGTCCTTTCCCTGAAGTTTCAGATTCAACTTGTTCAACTGACCGAAGATGTCCGATAAATAAGCATAAGCCAAATGTAGAAACATTTAAACATTTACCTATACATATTGTAAATGCTTCGAGATTATCTTTAAAATAGATGAGGTGCAAGTCCTTTCCCTGAAGTTTCAGATTCAACTCGTTCAACTGACCGAAGATGTCCGATAAATAAGCATAAGCCAAATGTAGAAACATTTACCTATACATATTGTAAATGCTTCGAGATTATCTTCAAAATAGATGAGGTGCAAGTCCTTTCCCTGAAGTTTCAGATTCAACTCGTTCAACTGACCGAAGATGTCCGATAAATAAGCATAAGCCAAATGTAGAAACATTTACCTATACATATTGTAAATGCTTCGAGATTATCTTTAAAATAGATGAGGTGCAACTCCTTTCCCTGAAGTTTCAGATTCAACTTGTTCAACTGACCGAAGATGTCCGATAAATAAGCATAAGCCAAATGTAGAAACATTTACCTATACATATTGTAATGTTGTTGAAACTTGCACTGGTCGAAATTTTTGGGCCTAATGGCGACCTCCCATATGTACATCGCGACCCCCAAGGGGGAATCACTGCTCTAAGGGATTTATATATTTATCGGTGGCGGAACCCCATGCTAATATTCCATAACGTAAATGGCTCTCTGCTTCCCAAAAACTCGGATTCTTGTTCCGTGCGAAAAGCTACTTTACACCTCAACAGCTTCTCATGATCTACAAAGCGCAGATACGGCCTGTTCTAGAATACTGTTCCCACATATGGGGTTCAGCACCAAAACATACGCTGATGCTCTTAGATTCCATCCAGAGAAGAGCCATTCGCCTGGTGGGTGACGCCACACTCACTCACTCTTTGACATCATTGGAACACCGTAGAAAGGTCGGCGACCTTTCACTTTTCTATCGATACTTCCACGGGAAATGTTCTTCGGAAATCTCTGCTATCATCCCTTCACTAGCAATACCAATCAGACGAACTAGACAAGCCCAGTCAGCACATCCTTTCGTTGTCAACCTCGAAAGATGTCGAACAGCACTTTATCAAGACTCCTTCATCCATAGAACGGCTAGGCTCTGGAATTCATTGCCTGTGGAAGTATTCCCAACAACATATTATAATCTCCAAAAGTTCAAAAAAAAATCCAATACCTACCTCCTGTCCCTATCCTCCCTAGGAACGCACGATGTTCTTTGAACATTATAGGGATTCCCTCTCGTGCTCTCCAAGCGATAAAAAAAAATTCTAGTATTTTATTGAGGTACTTGAATTTAGATAAGGTGAATCTCAGTTTTTTTACCAATTTATTCATTTGAATATCCCATTTCAAGTTGTGGTAAAAAAAAACACCAAGGTATTGTATGTGCGGTTGTGCTGTTATAACTAAAAGATGTATTTTGATCAATAATATCAAGTGTCTCGTAAGATGGCAGGTGCTTAGGATATGAGGAGAAGGGTACAAAATATGTTTTGCTGAAATTAACAGTGAGCAATCGGTTGCTGAAACAACGCATAATTTTGACAAAATCTCTTTCTGCTTTTATTTTTACTTCGTTCCAGTCGGCTCCTTTATATAATATAACTGTATCATCAGCAAAACTCACCACGTGATCCTCCGTATCAATTTCAAATAAATCATTGAGATATATGTTGAAGAGCATTGGACCGAGGACTGTTCCTTGAGTAACGCCGTATTCGACTACTGTTTCTGTGCTAATACTATTACCATTTTTAACGTGTTGTTTTCTGTTTGTTAAATAGCTTTTTAGTTAGGTGAAAAACAAATCATTGAACAGTTCCTCACCTAAGATGAGCACCACTCCTCCGGTCATGTACTCGCACCCATGGTCCCCCACCCCTTCTACCACCGCCACTGCCCCCGAGTTCCGGACGGCGAAGCGCTCCGAGGCGATGCCGCGCATGTACGCCCTGCCCAGGGTGGCCCCGTACAGACACACGTTGCCCGCTATCACGTTCAGGTGCGATTCGAACGGGGAGGTCTTCGGGGGGTAGATGACGATCGTGCCGCCCGACAGGCCTTTGCCTGAAATGACATAAATACAATGTACAAATTCATACTATTCGCGAGATTCACGAAGTGGGCGACATCTAGGTTACATAATACAAACTTCAAACTGGAGGAAAACAAACTGTTGTCTATGGGTAAAGTGCATAGACTACATTGCATACAGCTTGCTGTAGCTGTAGCTGTCAAACTTGTCAATGACATAAAGTGTTGGCACTGTTGGTAGTGATGATGGTTGAGTTGGTAAAATTTTTTACATTATTACATTTTTATTAGTTTAGTGAAAAGTGACCGGGTGGAGAATTGGAGATAGTTCAAACAATTCAAACTAATTATGACGAGCAAATCAATTGACATATAAAAGAACAGCTACAACATGTTTACAATACCCAGATTGTCCTGGTTTTCAGGAACAAATACAAATCCATTGTTCTACAGGAGTTCCTCTGGACCCCAACTTCAATTTTACTTCAGTGGGGAAGATTTCATCGCCGAAGTTTGTAGACAAAGTGCAAAAATGTGCCTTTTGTTGAAGTCTTCTGCCTCACACAAAATCACATGATCAGCACAGAGAACTGCTTCTCCTTTCACTACTGGTCGGTTTTTTCCATCTAAATAGAGCAAAATATCTGCCAAAAGAACATCTACAACCGGCGTTATTAGCGTTTTCGATCGAATATTGACAATTAATGTCAAGAAATTTAAAAACTTATCACTCTTATTAGTACACAGTACACCAGTTAATGGCACTAATGGGATTGAGTGAGGATTGAGTTTGTTTTCCCCCAGTTTTGACGTGGCTTTGACATGGAACGATGAAAACCGAGCGCCACCTGGTGACATTGATTCCCGCGAATAGAGGTATAGAAAGTCGATGCGAAATTTAAAAAAAAAATAAAGTACGGAATGACAAACGTCAAGTCAAAATCATGAATTGTTTTGATTCGAAGTGACATAGGAAACAAATTATGTTTAGAGACAAAATTCGAGGTCAGATATGTGTTTTGGTGCTCTATAATTTTGAATTTGAATGACTAATCTGTATAAATGAAAGAGGGAGGGTTTCGGGTGGGTATATGACGATGTAATAAAGGTTCAAATAATATTTAATGGACTTACCAACATAGTCATTGGCATCTCCTTCTAGAGTGACATGCACACCTTTGGCGGAAAAGGCGCAGAAACTCTGGCCAGCTGATCCAGTGAGTTTGATGTTTATGGAACTTCCTTCAGGTAGACCATCTTCGTTATATTTACTGGAGAAATGGAAACAAACTATATTGATAGAGTTTGTTATTGCTTACATGTTGGAATCAAATTTTAACTAGTTTCACAAGTACCTATTTCAAAATCCTTGGATAGATACATAGGTCGAACTAGGAGACCCATAAAACTCTGTTCAAAGAACATCTTGCACCCAAGTACAAAAGTGCAGTAGAGTAGATTATCACTCAGCTGGTTAATGAAAGTTCAAGAGACGAAGATTGTCCATAAACTAGAGATTATATCAACATTATGACCAAATTTATTCTTCTCAAGTATTTGATATTAATTTTTTGATCGATATTTTTCAATTATTTTTTCATAATCATCATCACTGATAATATATCATCTCACAATGTATTTCTGAGACTTATTTGGGGTTGAAGGGCTGTTCGCAACGAAGTTGAATACCGTTTTTCTTTGTTTCATGATAATTATTATTGCAAAGTTATTAGCAGTAGACACACAACTAGTATGGGACGATAATCAAAATCCAATTTCAATAGATATGTGGATAAGAGGGACTCTTCCCTGATTCGAATCAGATAAAAGAAAGATCAAATAAAATGAACAAATTCATTAGAGCTCATCGATAAATATGATAACTCAAAGTCGACCCGAATGCCCTATCCTCATTGAATCGACTTCTTCAGCCCCCCGATGACAGGCCACGCCTACTCTAGGCGCTGCTCCAGCTTAAGTCCTGACGTAAAATGTCACGAGGATTTAGGATCTAAACATAATTTTGTCCTAGCTCCAAAGGATTCCAGAGTTGTATATTTCCTCAGCCAAAATTCAAAAAACTGCTTCTTACATGTTTATGGAAAGTTTGTTATTGCTTTCAAGTAGGAACCCTAATTGGGAAGACGACGAATCAAATGAGACATCTGATGAACATTTTTGAACTGGATTCACAAGTAACTAATTCAAAATTATTGGAAAGATACGTAAGTCGAACTAGGTGATTGAATAAAACTCGGTTCACAGAATATCTTGCACATTAGGGTCGGTTTATCAATCATGAGCTGACAGCTAACATTGACTAGTAGTCAAAGTTATTGTCAAGACACCTACTGTTTACCCACTGCATATCATTCTTCTAGCTGGGCAACTCCGAGTTATTAGAATACATGATTTGCTTCTAGGGACAATCCTCTCAGAGTTAACCTCTAATATATAGGTGTCTTCTTCACCGATATAGTAGTATTATATAGGTGTTCAACTTGCTTCGGCGTTTCCATTATTATCAATATTGTCAAAAAAGTCACGAGATGGAAATACACCTCAAAAATATTGAAATATTAGCAGACTTGGAGAATGAGAGTGATGAACAGTTTCTGAAAATCTTATTGATAATGAATATAAAAACTAATGCAGTGACTTGGAGACAAAAAGAAGCAACTTTGTTCGCTGCTTGTTGCCACCTGTGAAAGCTCCAGCTGCTCGGCATTAACTGTTACTCCAGAGTCTTGAGTGTAGCTCTGTATCCCTTGTGAAGAAGTTTGCAGTCTTGGAGGTTTGATTCGAATAGATCCGGCTCGAAGGACCAATATGTTCGATGCTTGAAAATTAATCAGAACTCACCGAGAGATGTGATAGCTCAAAGTGGACCCGAACGCCCTATCCTCATTCCGGATCTTCATCTCGACATTTATCGACTTCTCCAGTCCCTCGATGACAGGCCACGCCTGCTCGATGAGCCGGTGCTCCAGGCGCTGTTCCAGCTGGAAGTCCTGCGATTCGGAGCCGCCTTTGATGTTGACGCCCGGCCTCATGTGAAGGGCGTTTTGCAGGATGAGGTTGAGGTTGAGCAGAGTGGCTTTGTGGGAACCAGTGTCGATGGCTCGCAGGAGATCGGTGCGGCCGATCAGTTCTTGGTAAGTGCGAACCTGACAACGAAATTCATATTTATGTAACCAACTAGGAAACGCGTCGTTTTGTGTGACGATGAGATTTTAAGGGACGATCGAAGCGTACAAGGTGGGCAAAATTAGGCATTTTCACAAGCTATCTCAATAACTCATGGAGTTTTTTTTATGTTCTGGTTCCCACGAAAAGGGATATCCTGTAATATTCAGAGAACATCGTGAGAACCAAGGGAAATGAGGTAGGAATTGGTATTCTTCTTAAATGTCTGGAGGTTATATGCCTCGGGGAACACCTCCCTTAGCAATGTGTTCCAGAGCCTCGCTGTTCGTTGGATGAACGAGTCTTTGGAAAGAGATGTTCTGCAGGTCTCCAAAGTGACCACGAAGGGGTGCAAAGCCTCAACTCGACGGGTTAATCTCGCGGGGACTGCCAAGGAAGGAACAATTGTTGATATTTCAGAAGAGCATCGTCCATGAAAATATCTATAAAATAGAGCCAGATCACCAACTTTTCTTCAGTGTTCCAGAGGAGTGAGTGAGTTGACATTAAGAAAACTAAGAATTGAAGATACCTTTTATATTGATTATTTGTCAACGACTATTGTACTTCCTCAAGAAAACGTTAGCCATTTTTCTCACCAGTGAATAATAGCGGTGAATAAACATTATTCACTGGTCTAGAGTTTCTTATATGTTATATCGCACTGTTATTATTCACAGGTGTGAAAAATGGCTACCGTTTTGCTTGATCAAGTACACGTATTATGAAGATTTTATACAACAGTCGTGGATAAAAGAACATTACATCACCAGTTATGAAACATCACATGAACAAGTTGACAGAATTCGAAAATTGCGAATTTCGCATTGAAAACCATCAAGACTAGCGTTAAATATCACGAAGTTTCCGAATCTATACATATTTTCTTCCTAGATCCAATGGATAACGAAGTCCCATATATTTTTCCCGAAAAAAACAATCATCACTCACCCCAAGATTCGCCATATTCTCTCTGACCTCCTCTGCGAGCATGAACAGATAGTTGACCACGTGCTCCGGCTGTCCGGTGAACTTCTTCCTCAGCACCGGATCCTGGGTGGCGATGCCCACAGGGCAAGTGTTCAAATGACATTTGCGCATCATCGTGCAGCCCATGACGATGAGCGGGGCGGTGCTGAAGCCCACCTCGTCGGCGCCCAGAAGGGCTGCCACCACCACATCGAAACCTTCACGGGGAATAAAGTGTTAACTATTTAAATTGGGTCACTTGTGACAAATAGAGTTCCTAAATGTGCTTGACACTGCTGTTTTGACGTTTTCTGTATATCAGAGTACGGACACTATGACAAGCACTGACAATCAGACATAACCACAAATAAATTGATGGAAAAAGCGGGAACTGGTAGTACACGGACGTACATGACATAAATATCGAAGGTTTGACAAATTGAGAGAATTAGGTGAAAGATGCAAGTTTGTGCAGTTTCCAACTGTGAGAACACGTGAAATCAATTCACTCTATTCGAATTTCCATCGGATAACGTAATTCTACAAAAATGGAAACAGAATATATGATGCAGCCGGCATGGAATATAGGTTCAGGCCACAAAATTTGCGAGGTATTCAAATTTCTTGGTAGGATATAGAACATTTTTCAACACATTTTCATCAGGTACATTTCAGAATGGAAGATTTGATGTTGAAGAATAGGATCGTATTGAGAGAAAGAGCCGAACCCACAATTTATAAACTGAGCGAGTATCGAAAAGATCCGTATTCCAATTTAGACTCTGGTTATTGCTTGTGATGGAATGATGGAGCAGAGATCACAATAGCCACTATGGAGATCATGGTCGATAATCTGATGATAAAATAGCAGCAACTTCCTGAATTGACTGACTCAAACTGATTTCACATCCCTGTTCAACCAAGAATTCTTTAGATCATCTTCGTATACGAATTCTTATAATAATTTTGTGAAAAAATATAGTCACTTTGTGGAACTATGATGTACCAGATATTGATGTATCTATATCAAAGAGTTGAATATATTGTTCGTGTACACTTCTTCAAAGTTGAAATCCCAAGTCTGAATGTGCATGTTCATGCTAGACGACTACATGGCTCCTAGTGGATTTTGAACCACTTCTTGGGTACCAAGATACGAGCAAGATATTATCAGAGCACAGAACAAGAACGCTTAACAAGTGCACCATTTATGTTAGATATTGAAAATAATCTTCCGATGGCCGGGTTCAACCAACAATGCCCTTTAGCAATGTGAACGGCGATCTATAGTGAGTCGAGTGCTGAAGTCCATTTATACCTACTACCCAATGTCTTGGAGAACCTTTATTATTTATCCTAACTGAAATCATCAGCTGTTATTGTTGCCATATCATTTGTTCATTCATTAATTACTTATTACCTACCACTCTTGTACAATGAAATTGTTCCATACGAAATAAAAGTATGTTTTATTGGTTGAAATTTATCAGTTTTCACCCCATTCTGAACTCTTGTGATAAAAAAATATTCAACTGACGTATATTTATATCTACATATAAGAGAGACTTATTCCATGAGAATAGTATATGTATTTCGTTGGTATGTATGTACATACCAACTTGATATCGACCTTCAGCCTTTTCATTCAATACTTCGAGAAGAAATAATTTTCTAATCAATTTATCGTACCCTTTTACCCACTCGAGGAGACGCTATGCACTCTCATACGAAAATCAAAGACAGAGAAAGATATATGGATGTACTCTTCCCAGGACTTGTGGAGGAAGGAAGATGCGAGGATCCTTTATCTAAGCGAAAAACATATTCTTGTCCTTGTCTGGAAAAACATATGATTTGCTTCAAAATCGTTTGTGGTTATGTCTGATTGTCACTGCTTGTCTAGTGTCCGTACTCTAATATAGAAAAAACGTCAAAACAGCAGTGTCAAGTACATTTAGGAACTCTAGTGACTAATAGGAATAAATACAACCAACACAACTTCTGCGACAGTGACATTTCTACGACAACAGAGACCAATAAACAAAAGATTTAGGGCTATATTCAACATAAAGCACTTAGAACGAAATGAAATTTTGAGAATTTTGTAATGAACGCTCGGGGACTAAATCAAATAATTTAATATTTCGAGAAGGAATGCACTCAGGGAATAGAAGGTCGTTTCAAATTAGGACAGTGAACATTTCGATAAATGAAATCGAAATATCTTTTTCTCACCTTTTATTAACATTATATGAGAGTGCTCAGTAATCATACTGAACGAAAAACTTATATGTCGGAGAGTATTTCGGCTATATATTTTTTTGGTTCTGAGAATTATTGTAAGATTTCGAGGAATGATACCATCCAACCCAGTCAACCTGACCCAACCTAACCAACCAAAACGATCCAACCAGAAAATCATTCTCCTACAACAAAATGATATCCTCGGGAGTATCTGTTTACTTCAGTACAATTTAAATTTCTAAAGCAAATTCACTGACTACTTCTCTCCAACATTTTTTAAAACGACCAAAATGCATCATTGTGCATGAAAAAGCATATATCCTTAATGCGAATTGAGATTTAAAAAATGTCAAAACCAATTCGAGACCACACAACAAACTTCATGTTTATGGTATGAAACTCCATAATTTCATCTGTGGAATTGAGAAAACCATGTTCAATCTGAAGAGAGATATGTGTTTCTTGATCGAATCTCAGGGTAATGTTTACATCATCCTGTATGTACTCGTTTTTGAATCCGGACTGAAACTCTCACATTATCCAAAACTACCCACACAATGCGAATTTTTCGAAGAACATCACGAACATTCAATGTTATTCAATTATTTGTATCAAGAGAAGACATCAAGCTTCATGACTACGGTCGAATAAAAAATCATAAAAAGTATTTGCTCAAACAGAAACGTAACGACACTGCTGCAGTTTTGCACTACTTCAATTATCATCCAGTAGATGTGAAAACCGAATAGAAATTAGTTAAGGTATCCATGAGTAGTTCGATTTTGAAATCAGCCTATATTTTCGACCATATAGTTTATTTTGTTGATCAGATATGAGATTTTTGTATAATAACTTTCATGGTCCTCAATGGAGCAAACATACAAGAAATCATTCATTTCCAACTGTTCAACAATAATTAAGGCATTGCAAGCTAGTTCAACACTATTTTCTACATTAAGCTAAGCACTACTTACAAGAACTATATTTTTTGACGTTTGTAGAAAAATTGTTGTTTGCAACTATTTTCTACGGCTATAACACAGCATTACCCTTGTTTTACTGTGTTCAATACATCAATGAGGTACTTTGATACTTTGTCACCAATTTTATTTCCGTATCTGATATCACAATAACTTTCATTGTGTTATTATTTCACAAAATCTCATCTCCCATGAAATGTAAAATTTCAAACATATGACGGCTCTGTATAATAGATGATCCTTACTTGTAAGAAAATCAGTTGGCTACAAGACGAAGAAATAAAAAATATCGCTGTTGTCTGTTACAGCCGTAGAAAAAGTATAGTGTATAATTCGCACGCAATAATGTAAACTTCATTCTAGTGTGAAATGAGTATCATCCGGTGCTAGTTAAACAATGTATCAAGTGGCATAGATAGAATTTTGAATTGAGCAATATTATTACGTCGATGACTTAGTTACGAATAACTTTTTTTCCTGTTATAGATGATATGTCGCAGTAATAGTTTTGTGTTGATAACAACGGAGTTATCGTCATTCATACAAAAACAAAAAATGATTTGGATGCCGCCATCTTGAATTCATAAATTTTATCGAATCAATCAATCAATCAATCAACTTTATTATTCCCAAGAAACAACATTTGTTTATAGCAGGGAACATAGTGAATACATAAATATATTTGACAAAATAAAATAAAGAAGACAGTAAAATAAGACTCACACTAAAAAAGAATCTTTTTATTTTTCAAGTTCAAATGAATATGATCCTCAATTGACTCAGCTGTTAGGTACACAATTGAAAACTATAGTAGTTGTACAAGAAAACTATAAAAATGAGATAAGATGTCAATATTACAGGAGTAGATGTTTCTTGAATTCTCTTTTAAATTTTTCAATCCTATTAATCAGCTTCAAGTTATTTGGTAGTGAATTGTATTGTATCATTCCATTGTGATAGATGGATTTTTTACCAATATCTGATTTAATTTTCTTGACAGAAAAATGATCTGCTTGTCTGGTTGTATGGTTGTGGTGATTACGATTGACTTGGAAAACCAAATTTGAATGCTTTTGACAATGTTTAACTGAATGAATGAACGACATTAATTTGAATTTATATAAGGAATCTATATCTAATAATTCTCTTCTTTTGTAAAGGTTCATAGTAGGTTCCGAATAATTTAGTCTGTATATACATTTGATAATTTTATTTTGAAGAGTTTTGAGAGGCTTTATAATTGATAGTTTTGTTGAACCCCATACAGAAATCAAATATTCAAGTTTAGAATAGATCAAAGAGAAGTATATAGATTTGAGACATTTTATAGGAACTTGGTTCCGTACCCTAAAAAGTATACCTATTATTGGAGATATTTTTTTCCTAAGTATTTCAATATGTTTTGACCATGACAAATGTTCATCTATGTACAGACCAAGAAACTTGATATAATTTGAATATTTGATGACTTCATTATTACATGCAATTGGAAATTTGTACTCATTATATCTTGATTTTTTTGAAATTATCATAAATGCTGATTTACTATAATTTATACTCAATTTATAACATGATAACCATGATAATAATATTTTCAAATCACTTGAAATATCATCCCTAATTTGTTTTGCTGAATCTGCTGAATAGATTAAGGTTGTGTCATCGGCAAACATATAAATTTTACCTTTCAACTTCAAATTTGCAATAGAGTTGATATAAATAAGAAATAGAATAGGGCCCAATACTGATCCTTGCGGTACACCGCATACTATTTCATCGCTCTTACTGAATGATTCTCTTAAATATACAAATTGTTTCCTATCACTCAAATAATTTTGAAACCAGTCGTAGACAGGACCTCTTAGACCAATACAATACAATTCATTCAAGAGAATTTCATGATTTACAGTATCAAATGCCTTTCTTAAGTCAATTGATAAGAGTCCACATATCTTGTTTGTATCTAGTTGCAATTGGAAATCTGTTACAACATCCATAACTGCGGACTCCGTATCACATGACCCTCGAAAGCCATATTGATGGCTGTAAAGATATTTCTTCGCCTCTAGATAATCTTGCAATCGGTAATTCATTACTTTTTCTATAATTTTAGAAATAACTGGTAATATTGAAATAGGTCTGTAGTTCTCCATTTTATCTCTCTGACAAGTTTTGTGGACTGGTCTGACTTTGGCAATTTTCATTTTGTTTGGTACATCTCCTGATGTAAATGATAAATTGATTAATTTGGTGAGTATTGAAGATAATTCTGATTTCACTGTCTTAACTACATTAACCGAAATTTGATCAAATCCTGGAGATTTTCTTGTATTTAGGGTATTGATGATGTCTTCAATTTCCTCTTCGTCTGTTGGTCTCAAGTACATCGATGCATCACTTGTTCTGTTATTCTCAAATTTGGAGCACGATTTGATTTTGGCAGCTAAATTCGGTCCAACATTTACAAAGTACTTATTGAATTCCTCACAAATCTCTTCTGGGTTGACAATTTTTTCGGAATCCTTAGAAATATATTCAACATCCTGTTTGGTTTCTTTTGGCTGATTTCGAAGTAAAAGGTTGATTGTTCTCCACATTGATTTTTGGTCTCCATTTGATAAATGTTCTTGAAAGTAACTTTGTTTCTTCTCCCTTACAGTTTTTTTAACAACTTTATTATAATATTGGTACATATCAGTGTATACTTGTATATTTCTTTGCCCTTTCATTTTTTGAAAATATTTGTCCCGCATTTTAATCAGTCTATGTAATGTCTCATCAAACCAAGGTTTGGAATCTTCTTTCATCTTCAATTTTTTGGTATAGGCACATTCTTGAAATATTCTTATTAGATTCTCATAAAAAATATTAGTGTCTTGGAATATGTGCATATTCATTTGGAAGGATGTAAGTTCAGTTTTCAACTTATCAATATCAAATTTTGTTATTTCTTTAACTTTAACTTTCTTGTTTTCACTGATATTTTTTATGGGAAAATGGACAATTTGAATTTGGTGGTCACTAATTGGTGATATTTTTTGAGATATTTCTACACTTTCATTCAAATTTGTAGCAATATGGTCTATAAGACTAATTGTATTATTTATATCTCTTGTTGGTATATCTGTATTACATAAATTGAAACTATTTGTTGAGTAAATTTCCATAACCCTTTTTGTATTTGTATCATTTTTCTGAAGAATATTGATATTCATATCACCTATCAATAAACTTGTGGAGCCCATGTTGCTTAAATTTTCCAGTTTTTCATCTAAAATTTCAAAAAGATTGTCTTTCTTGAATGAAGGTGGTCTGTAAATTCCGCAAATTATGAGATTAAGGGATTGTATCTTCACTGCCAAATATGATAATTCTTCTTCTATTTTATCAATTAGTTCAAAATCCAAATTTTCATAGAGGAATATTCCTAATCCTCCTCCTCTCTTTTCCCTACTTGCATAAATAGAAGTGAAATTTTTAAAATTGTAATATTTTTCTTCTTCTTTGTTCATCCAGGTTTCGGTAATAACAATTATTTTGACTTTTTCTTCGAATGCTATCATTTCAATTTCATCCATCTTCGTTTTCATCGATCTTGCATTTATATATAATATTTTTATTTCACTATTTGTCGCTTTCAATTTATTTGTTGGATTAATATTAATTGATATAATCGATTTGTTCTCTGGCAATTCTGATTCTGTTCAAGTAAATAGGACATTGAACAGTATTGGCTTCATGTGTAGAGTCTCCTGTCTTACCATATTTAGTTTGAGCTACTTTGCAATTTATACAACATGGAATAGATGATTTATTACAATTTCTAATGTCATGGTTACCAGCACAAAAGGCGCAAACTTTGGTACGATTACATTCAGTAGCTTTATGTCCATAACCACAGCATTGATAACAATACCTTATATTAATATCTTCTTTTATAATACATACATTCCAGCCAAGACAGATTTCTTTATCAACTAATTTCTTGAAAGTTCGTCCCGATGTTTCTACATACAAAATGTATTTTTTTGAAAATTTGGATCGTCTTGTATATCGTATGGATAATTCATCATCAGCATCAATATGTCTTAGGACTCGCAATTCGTCCAAAAGTTCTTCATCTGTATATTCTCTTTGAAGGCCTATGAATACGATTCTAGGGCGATTCATTTTTGTGATATGTACCGAATAATCTGGGCCCAATTCTTTCACACTCAGATCTTTCATTCTTCTCATTCCTTCATTATCACTTGTCTTTATGATTATGCCACCATCTTTTATTTCTCTTACACTCTTGATTGAAGCTTTTGCTTCAATTGGATTGATTTTCTTATGAACTTCTTCTTTGGTCTGTCGACTGGTTTGTTTTTTATTTGGTTTAATTATTAAAGCAGGTGTATGTTGTTGAACTAATTCTTTAACTGTGCTTCTGGTGATTTCGGAATATGTTTTCGTTTTGTTCTTTTCTGAATGTTCTAATTCCAAGTATTTATTGAGCTTTCCATCTATTTCTTCCAATTTTGAGACAAGAACCTCATCTTTACCAATGATTCCTTCTAGTTTTTCAATTTTAGTAATCAAGTGTTCAATTTTTGCATTCATTCCATGTATTATTGTTCCAAGCAACTCATTTTGTTCTTCTAACTTCTTAATTTGATTTGGTACCGTATCAGTCATAATCCTTGAATTCTCTTCTGGTTCCTTTTGGCAGCTTTTACATGTCCATTTAGTCTTGCATTTCTTTATTTCGTTGATTTGTTTCCTTGTTAATGTAGAACAAACCAAACACATCCATTTTCCACATGAAGTACAGTTGATTGAGTATGATTTCTTACTGAAATTCACTAGGCATACGGTACAATTTTCACTATTCTTGTTTGCAGTTTGACTAACTATTAGATTTTCATGATTTTCTTGTGTTTCCTTTGAATTCCCTGCATCCTTTTCGTCTTGAGTAGAGATATAGAACTGCTTCCTGAATTCTGTATATTTTTCGTCACTTGGGTATTTTGGTGGTAGATAAAAACTTTCTTCGTCTGAATTTTCTATTGAAGGACTTCGAATTTTGATTATTTCTGACTTTGACTTTTTCTTTTTAGATGTCATTCAAACTTATTTCATTGTAATAATGATTTCAATATGGAAAATTGCAGCTTCACTGGATGTTTATTCGATACTTCACTAAATCCTCTTCCACTGATACACTTTTCAGATCAAAATACAGTTTTTTAACCACACAATTTGACTAATACTCGCTACCCACTTTCTCTTCCAACTTACTATATCTATAGAGTGTCAAGTTTTTTTTTTTTTTTTTTTTTTTTTTAAATCATGATCTCCGACCTCTAAAACCCCCACTTACCAATTTTGAATGTAATCGGACCAAATTTTGTCCGCCATCTTGGAGCAGCCATTTTTTTTTAATTTCAGCGAAAATTCCATAACTTCGATTAACTTGAAATTTGGCAGGTGTTCATAATTTCGGTGACAATTCATTATGGAATTTTTGTTGAAATTAAAAAAAAAATGGCTGCTCCAAGATGGCGGACAAGATTTGGTCCGATTACATTCAAAATTGGTAAGTGGGGGTTTTAGAGGTCGGAGATCATGATTTATTCATTAAGATTTATAATTCAAGATGGCGGCATCCAAATCATTTTTTGTTTTTGTATAAATGATGATAACTCCGTTGTTATCAACACAAAACTATTACTGCGACATATAATCTGTAACAGAAAAAAAAGTTATTTGTAACTAAGTCATAGTGAGCTATGACCTACATTTGAAAAACTAAAGTTGGTGCTGATATCTCAAATTCTAGAAGAGTTGGTATAAATTTCATATTTTTTTCGAAATCATTTTGAAAAACTGCCATGAGAATGTGAAATTCCTATTTGAATATTTTCATAAATAAAGAAGTTACGGAGGAGACATGAAAATGATCAAAATCTGTTTTTTGCGTATATCAAAATATTTTTTCACATTATAGTTGGCCTTGACAAACTCCACATTTGATGTAATTTAACGGACCTCGTATCTCTCACCGTTAAAAAGATACCCATGGTGAGCATGGTAAGTGGGACACACTGTATAAGAATGGATATATTGAAGACTGGATCCTTTGGTACGATAATTCACTACACTGTTTTACCACTAACCAAACCGACTTTTTAAAACGCCAAACGCTTCAACACAAGTTTCGCTAATTATGTTAGAATCTTCAGGAGAAGATTGAGGAAAAATGTGTTAGGTAGCATCTTTAGGAGAAGATTGAAACTTTATAAAAATCGGTTTGGTTCAAATTATGTCTAATAATTCGAATTCTTATGAAAAACAACATCGAGAAGCCGTTGTTTCTTACCGGTCCTTATGTTTCCGTCAGCTTGTAGCACAATCCTCGAACGCAAGTTGTTCAACACCAGCACCTGGTGCGTTTCTGCGATCCCCAGCTCCCATGGCAGCCCGGCACTCTTGATCCCCGTCCAAGAACTCGCCCCCGTGCCTGAAGAGATAATTAAACCCATATTGTTTACTCGAAGAGTGGCATACAACAAACCTTATATTGTACTAATGTAACCTATACTTTCGTGTTTTCGACTGAAACATTAAATTTTTTACAAGGGAAGATACATTATACAGTGATTTGGTGCAACATCAGAACCAAATACCTTTGAATGATGGTGCATCGAACACTTCTAGCTATCTCTGCACAATGGTGCTGACCTTGATAATCCATCTTAGTCATTCCTACATTAGCGAAAATTACTGAGAAGTTAGTTAATGCATTTTTAGTTGAGAATAAGATAATCACTAATGCTCAGTTCGGTTTTCAAGCTGGAAAAAATAAAAATTATGTATTTCTTCTTTTTTGTTCGAAGTTTGTTTCGAGATGAAGTTTCTGTGACTTATCTAAGGCGTTCGACCATGTGAACCACGGAATATTATTGTGAAATTTTTACCACTATGGATGCAGGTGTTTTTCTCAGAAATAGAGTCATATTTGTTAGGTCGAAGCCAAATTGTGAAAACGATAACAACCCCGATGAGCCGACCGTAGAATGTGCCTCAGGGGTCTATACTTGGACCAACGATTTTATAAACGCTATATAAATGACTTGCCAGAGCTAACATATCAGGAGAAATATCGTTGTTTGCGGATGATACAAGTAGTTTCTGGAATAATAAAAATGCCGAAACATGCACTTCTTGATATTGTCAAGGATGACATGACTGAGGCGAAAAAAAAAAGTGTCATTCAAATCAGTTAGTAATGACTTCGTCAAACAATAATATAATGTCATTCAAAGGTGAATTAGACGAGCTAGTCATGGGTTATGATGTTATAGAAAACACCAATAATACAAAATTCCTAGGTTTTCAAATAGATTTCAGATAAAAATTTGATGAACATATTAAAATTTTTAACAAAAAATTGTCTTCTTGATGCTATATACGGTGTATTGATCATCTCATAAAATCAGTTATTATATTGCAAAAATGAGCAGTAAAATACATGATGCAAATCAAGAATCCATAACCCCTGCAAACTCCTTTTCATTTGACAGAATTACCAATTCTATAATCGGTTCTAAGAGATTCAGTAATTTATGAAGGCTGTAAAATTTCATTTGCCAAAAGACATTGAAGAAGTTGGAACCAATAAACCATTCAGACAGAGAATGGAAGCACTCTTTTCGGATAAACCCTATATATAGTTTACAATAGCTTTTTAATGATGTTGTAACCATAAGATTATTTTCAATTTGTTGAAATGTGTTTTTTTTAAATTGCTTTTGAAGATGTCGAAATTTTGAAACGATTTGATAATATTGTGGTCTTAGTAGCCATTTCTTCTACACTTTTCAAGAAATTAACCCACCACTTCGCGTTCTGTTCCGTTTCTCGTTATTTAATTTGGATATTAATTTTCCATAAAATCATGTTGCGCTATACAATGGTGTTTCTCGAGTATTAGGGAAGATAATGGAGTGAATCCAAGAAAGGAACGTTGGAAAAAGATGAGGCTAAAGTGTTCTTTCAATTACAACGTGATTGTGTAACAAATTTCATGAATAAAACACCCTATAATTGCTACGCTCGGTATTCATGAAAAAGAGGTTCTCATGCAAATACAGTTGGCACACCAGTGTTCAGAAAGAAATAACCTGTCGTTCAAAACAAAAAATCTTTAAATCGGACAAGTACTTCTGACGAAAAGGTTTCCTAAACTTTTGGCTACTTTAGAAGTGTAGTTCTAGTGTGTGTACCTTTTTAAGGTTATTTTTTGGCTCTCACTTTCTCAATAAAATTGAAGATCATTAGAAAATGAGGCATATTCTCTCTCTCCCTAGCTATCATCAACCTAAATTGATGGTGGAAGATTCGAAAGAAACTTTGAAGTATGTACATACACTTGTGTGCATAAACAAGTCTTATACAAGCTTTGTATGGTTTAAACCTGCCTATGATGTTTCAGATTTCATTAAAAAGTAGTACACGCACACATTTGCGTGTTACTGACAAAAACAGTTTGAATTTTGACACTACTTGTCAAAGTCGATAAGAAGATTGATCAAGATTGACAAGCCTGACTCACAATAGCCAGTAACTGCTGTACGACTTGTTTATACACACAACTGTACATAGGATTGAAAATTTATATTAGCCACTAACCTCCGTCGTGTCCGCTGACGACTATATGCTCCGCCTTGCCCTTGGCCACGCCCGAGGCCACAACGCCCACGCCCACCTCCGACACCAGCTTGACGGACACCCTGGCCTCGGGGTTGGCGCACTTGAGGTCGTAGATGAGCTCGGCGAGGTCCTCGATGGAGTAGATGTCGTGGTGGGGGGGCGGCGAGATGAGGCCGACATTCGCCACCGAGTGGCGGGTCTTCGCTATCTCGGGAGACACCTTGTAGCTGGAGGAAAAGAATTATTATTATATTGAATGCACTTAGGAAGTAGAAGGATGTTGGAGCCCTCGTTCGGTGCCGAGTAGCGGTTTTTCGCTATTTAGTGGAGACACCTTGTACCTGAAGAGAAAGAACTATTACTAGAATGAATGCACTTAGGAAGTAGAAGGACGTTGGAGCCCTCGTTCGGTGCCGAGTAGCGGTTTTTCGCTATTTAGTGGAGACACCTTGTAGCTGAAGAGAAAGAACTATTACTAGAATGAATGCACTTAGGAAGTAGAATTCTACTTCGCGGGAAATCAACCAAATTTATTATTACTAGAAAACATTGTCTGCTAAATATGAACAAAAAGTCTAGTGAGTTGGACTATCTGGTCTGCTCAAACAAGAGAAATCACTAACAGGGTTCTGTGGCCGATACAGTAGTACCGCCATACGGTCAACTCGAGGAAACCCTTAATTCAATTGTTTTCCTGTCAAACCTAAATAACCTTGAAAATCGTAGGTAGGCACAATAGGTCGCGTGCAAGAACTGTCAGATAACTGACCCTGGAGGCAAAACATATTTGTTTACAAGTGATCGAAATAGTTTTCCACAATTATTTTGGCATATGAATCGTATTTTTCCGCTATTCATCAATTCGCTAATGCCATCACATTGAGCTGTTGTAAAATGCACAAAAACTGCAGCGGAAGATGAAGAAATCCGGATGGTACATTATGATTCAAAAGTAAGTACCTACTATAGTCACTCACATAGTTTTCATTTTTGAAATTTGGTTATTTCTCTGATTTCTCATCGGAATTCCTTCTGCAATAGGATCAGCTAATAGAAATGTACCTGAAATTTCTAGAACAATGCGAGAAGATTGGATTCATGCAGTCAATCGGTAGGACTGGTCTGACATGCTGACGATCGTGTGTGTTGTAGACATTTTCAATCTATTAGCAGCATTAGCTTGTATTGCAGAAGTGGCAGAAGGCAAAAGGAATTTTAATGAGGAATGACAACATTTCATAATGCTAACTATGTGAGATTACTATTTACCTGAAAAATCATATTCCCTAGTCTCTTGCTGCATTTTTTGTGCATTGTACAACAGCACAATGCGAAGGCATGCTTGAATTAATGAATAACGCAAGAAACACGATTCGTATGCCAAAATATTGTGAAAAACTATTTCAACCTTTTGATTCATCTGTAACCAAATAAAAAAGTGAGGTTGTGTTTCAATAATTCACAGAAGAATGAGGTTGTGTTTCAATTATTTTGCCTCCAGGGTCGGTCTTCGTGCACGCGACCTATAAGAGGAGACAGAGTTTGTTACAAATTATTAATCACAATTAACTACTATAATACTGTGAGCACAACTCAAAACTATATCTATAAACGAAAGGAATATTAGTACAATGAGAATTGAAAAAGAATGATATTTTAGAAAAAAATACAGAACAAGTCACGATGGCACGACAGCTCTTGACACAGACAACTTACATAACCACAAATTTCGAAAATTTTCTATAAAAAAGTGAAAATAATTTCGTCCGATACGGTCATTCACTCAACAGAACTATAGGGAAGACCAGTAGTTCCAGATCACTAGATTTTTTCTTCATATTTAGCAGACAATGTTAAAAAAAATGCACTCAGGAAGTAGAAGAGGGTTGGCGCACTTGTGATCGTAGATGAGGCCGTGCATGAACGGAATAGTCCACGGAACAGGGCTACATTCCTTCTTCCCGTTGACGATTCTACCAAGGTTTTATTCGCTGAATTTTGTATAAACTGGGCGTTTCTATTGCGCAACCAGGATAAGCGTCCATTTGATGAGGTAATCAAGCCGAATAACTTTAGCTATGTGTTTGAATTAAATGAGAGCTACCATTTTCAGTCTCACCAGTTGGCATTACTAGAGGGTCTATGTCAAAGTGAAACAAAAAGAAGAAGTATTCTTGCTAACCTTGACCTCTCGTCTCATTAGCAGTAATAAGGTGATCTGTATATGAAAAAGAAGATTATAAATTAAAGAAAATTATGATCAATACAAATTATATCTATATAAATAGCGATTTATTCCTGAACTGTCAAAGTTGTTCTGTTATTGAGATAATTGGGTTCTGCAACAAAAATGGCCATCACCTGCAGAGCTTCAGGATCGAACATTCAATGTTTCATAATTCCGACAGTAAAATCACAACATGTTAAGTGTCTTTTTTTATATATATCCATTTTTTTGTGTTCATAAATATATCTGAGAATATTCCTTTTCTATGTTAAGTGTCAATTATATTTACCCTGGTAGTTCGCCACCTTCACCAGGCTTGGCACCCTGAGCCATCTTGATTTGCAAGTCATCTGCGTGCGCCAAATACGAAGAAGTAACTCCGAACCGTCCAGAAGCCACTTGCTTGATCGCGGATCTCTTCTCTTTGTCCAGATATCTCTCTGGGTCTTCACCTCCTTCACCAGTATTACTCTTACCTGAAACAGAATAACGTATTCACGCGTTCCTATAATCTTTGATTACATACACTAGAGTCACTGGATGCGGTATTAGTTGGATAAGAGTTCGGACACAGAAATTACAACTGTTAGTATTTTTGAATGTTTAGATTTATTAAGTTACACACCTTGCATTGTGACAAGAGCACTATAGTCGTCCCGCGCTTTTTCATTCGAAATTGTCCGAATTTGACAATACATTTCATTAGAGTCACTGGATGTTATTAGTTTGATAAGAGTTCGGACACAGAAATGACAACGGTTAGGGTTTTTGAATTTTTAGATTTATTAAGTTACACACCTTGCATTGTGACAAGAGCACCATAGTCGTCCCGCGCTTTTTCATTCAAAATTGTTTGAATTTGACAATACATTTTATAAACGTCAGAAATTGAAATAAAATTCCATAATCATACATTCGAGATAAAAGCACCTATGGAAATCACTTGCTGTGTAATGAATTGTGCCAATTCTGATAAAAATGGATATCATTCATTCAATTTTCCGAAACAAATATCAACCATTTGCTTATGGAAGGAAGATATGAAATGGCCTGGGTGCAAAATCAATTTGGAAACCAGCGAAATTTGTGAGGTACTCATTAAAATTCACTTCTTATAACAGCATCTGATTAGAATCAAACTATATTTCAGGCCCATTTTCAAACAGAAGATTTCAAAATCTGTTTGAGAGAATCTGCTGTTCCATCAATTTACGAAGCAGTCGATTTCGAGAACAAAATTCCATTATTATCATCACACGAAATACAAAACAAAAAGATCATAGAAGAAGAGGAAATGATCGCAAAATTACATAATGAAATTGAGTATTTGAAAACGAAACTAAGAAAAGCAAGTAAACTACGAAGTGATATATTATTGAATGGCGTTTTTGTTGCCGACCAGATTTAAAATTTAACAGTGAAAAGTGAATAGTTATTTATGTATCAAGGGAATTATTAGAAGGGCCTTAATTACGCTGGAGGTTATCGTTTTGGAGATATTTTCTATATCGATCCATGTTACTTAGCTCCTAGGGCGCTAAGTGAAGTTGCTGAAAACTTTACTAAACCAAGTATATGGTAGGTCTCGTCAAAATAATTTGTTCTCTGTATTTCAACACCCTGTATCTCCGAAATGAAGCATTTCCGCAAACAGGCTTGTATAGACTTTATTTCTTATAATTGTCTCAGGAATACTTCACTTGAAAGTACTTATGCTACTTCCTGTATATTGAGAATACCTACCTTTGATTTAATATAAATAACTTCATGTTTTATACTAATCACTGGAGTACAGTTTCATGTGTATATTTTCTAATATTAAAATGTTGTTACATACATTCTTTTCATTTGTATAACAGTTGTTCTGCTAGAAGTGTATCACTATAAATTGAAGTATGTTTGTACCCTATACCCATTGTCCATCTACGGCTATGATTGATTTGACAGAAAATATAACCTCTAAAATCGTATCTGACAATCAGGCGCTACTAGGGGAATTGAAAAGACAAAGAGCAGAATATATGTCTTATTCTTTTATTCACTTAAACCATTATATTATAGAAAATAGAAAAGGACAAAAGTTCAGCTGTGTCCGAACTCTTATCAAACTAATACCATCCAGTGACTCTACATTTCATGAACGTCAGAATTGAAATATAATTTCAATGATGTCAGAAAGTTGCTCAAGTGCTACCTTATGAGTCGGCCGCAATCGGTCAGATTGAACAACTTATCCTCTCCATCACTAACATTAAGAAATGGAGTTCCCCAGGGGTCTATTTTCGGACCGTTGCTTTTTATAATTTACTTTCACGAGTTTTCCAAATGTCTAAAATAATGCAATTCTCACTTCTATGCGGACGACACACAAATTTACTTCTCTTTCAAAAAAGAAAAAATCATCGAAGCTTGTAATTTCATTAACAAAGATCTCTGTTCGCTAATTTCACTCTCAAATAGATTTTGCTTAAGCATTAACCCCTTGAAATCGAAGGTACTGCTCTTTGGAAGCGCAGCTTCGCGAAATAGATGCTTGGAGCTAGTCAATATTGTGGTTGATAACATGCAGATTTCTGTGAGTGACAGTGCGAACAATTTAGGTGTTGTTCTCGATAGCTCGCTCAAGTTCAAATCTCATGTGAGTAAAATTGTGCATAGCGGGTTTGGCAATCTGAAAAACCTTTATGCTAATCGGTCCATTCTGAGCAGAACACTAAGAATTATCCTGTATGAAGCTCTGGTGCTGTCTCATCTCAACTATGCAGATGTTGTTTATGGCCCTGTCCTAACTAGTACTGATAGCTTTCGTATTCAGAAATTGCAAAATCCATGCGTCCGATTCATATGTAAATGTAAAAACTTCACAAACGATAAGATTTTCACAAAATTTATTAAACATACGACATGTTTCGCTAACTCAGTAGCTTCGTCAGGTGATATACTGGTACAATGAACTAAACTAACGTTGGCTTGCTTAACTTTTATATATCTTACCTACCCAACCTGAAGGATTAGTTACCTGTGGACCGGTACGATACACCTCCATTTTCGGAAATTAGGCACAATATCTACATTAAATTACGGTATACCGGATTAACTTGAAAGAGTTGATATCAAATACATATTATTACTTACTAAGAAAACAAATTCAACAGTGGTGAACTATTAAGGTCTAATTGATCATTGAGTAGAATGTCAAAATTTTTGAGTTTGTTGATTTCTAATGATTCAAAAAGATTGAGTTTCAGTCCTTTATTTTCTACGTGCAGAATTTCGAAATTATCATCAAAACTATGGTTTTCTTCTAATATATGGTTGGCGTATGTTGAATTTGTTTTCTTTTTCATAAAATTCATCTTATGTTCATGAATGCGCTGATTAAACGTACGACCTGTCTGACCGATATATACCTTAGGACAAGATCCACATTTGAGTTTGTATACCCCTGATTTTTAGAATTTAGAAGTTTTGTCTTTATTATTCTTGATAAACCGTCCCAACGTGTTATTTGTTCTATCTGCCACTTTTAAGTCCTGTTTATGTAGAAATGAATTCATATGTGGCTTGAGCAGACGAGATCATGTTTCGGATAATCTAAGGGATATCGGATGGCTCTAACTAATACCATTCAGTGACTCTAGTTATTTCTACCCTGATGATTTCCCTGTGGCATTATTTTTGTCTAAGTTCGTTAAAAGATCAAGAACAGTCACAGAATTTTATTTCGATTTTATGTAATGAATACGAATTTTATTTATTTATTCATCAAACATATCTCCCAGTCAGAACAAGTTCTGGTATGAGGAAGAAGATAATTATAAAATAATAAGTAATAAATATCTATGAACTACTACACAAACATGAGTAGAAGTGAACATGAATAATAATTCATAATAAATCAGGATATCACAATAAATCACAATGAAACAAAACAATCAATGAACAAAGAAAATAATTCTAGTCAAGAACATAACTTACTGATAAATTTTAAACATTTCTCTCAGAAATGATCAGTTTTTTCATTTTCTTTCAAAATGTACCTATATTTCTGCAATTTTCAATTTTTTCTGGTAGTTTATTGAACTCAGATGAAGCTGCATGAGTGAATCTTTTTTGTCCGAGTGTAGAACCAGCAGCATCAAGGTGAAATAAATTATACATATTGATGATAACGTAACCTGAGCGCTTACCAACCTCCAACTTTATTCATGGCCACTGCCAGCGTCTGATGCGCCTCCAAACTGATGGATCCGAAACTCATGGCGCCCGTGGCGAACCTCTTGACGATCTCGGACGCCGGTTCGATCTCGTCCAAGGACAACGGCTGATCCAACGTGCGCAATTCCAGTCGACCACGCAACATCGAATTCCTCACCGATTCCATATTGGATTCCTTGAACCTCGCGTACGCCGACTTGTTCTTATTGACAGCGGATTCCTAGAAAACGGGGCGCTACTATACAACAAATACCATGACAAAGTTATGTGGATATAGGAACGCTAGACGCAGGGTAATACATGATGATGTAGTCATGTTATCGCCATCTAGTGGCATAGTTTGGAGGCAGGACCATGCGATCGCGACATACACTGTATGACGCTGCCATCTATGGTCAACACGGACAGACCCCTACGTCTACTACGTTGCAAAGTGGTACTACAAGTGAACCAATCTGCTGACAGATGGCACTGCCTGTGACTACTTGAGTGGAAGGTCCACAAATCCTATTCATTGAACTAGATTTCTTAGTTATGATATTTATGGTGACTTAATCATAATGTATTGTCACTGGAATTATGAACACCTGCCAAATTTCAAGTTAATCGGAGTCATGGAATTTTTGTTGAAATTAAAAAAAATGGCTGCTCCAAGATGGCGGACAAGATTTGGTCCGATTCCATTCAAAATTGGTGAGTGGGGGTTTTTGAGGTCGGAGATCATGATTCTTTTGTTAAAATTCATGAATTCAAGATGGCGGCTTCCAAATAATTTTTTGTTTTTGTATAAATGACGATAACTCCGTTGTTATCAACACAAAACTATTACTGCGACATATCATCTGTAAGAGAAAAAAAGTTATTTGTAACTAAGTCATAGTGAGCTATGACCTACATTTGAAAAACTAAAGTTGGTGCTGATATCTCAAATTCTAGAAGAGTTGGTATGAATTTCATATCTTTTTCAAAATCACTCTGAAAAACTGCCATGAGAATGTGAAATTCCTATTTGAATATTTCAAACTGGGCTGGTGGCCGTGAGCGTAGAGTCGCTGGCTGTTGCCCAGGCGGTCCGGGTTCGATCCCCGGCGCGAGCACTGAATTAATTTTCGGTAGTTTCGTTGGGCGGGAGGAGATAGGTGGCCAACCCAACATTCTTGGTACCTAGATATCAATCCTTTGGACTGTCCACGGTTACCAGCCGAGTAAGGCTTCGGATGACACTTAAAAAGCTAAGGTCCCCGTCTTCTTAACTCACACAAGTCTCTGACTTTCGAGGGTTGCTTTGCAACTAAGCTGGCGGTTAAAAACACTTTTAAAACACTTTTTTTTTTTTAATATTTTCATAAATGAAGAAGTTATGGAGGAGACATGAAAATGATCAAAATCTGTTTTTTGCGTATAAAACAAAAACGAATAGATTTTATCAGAATATTTTTTCACAGTATAGTTGGCCTTGACAAAATCCACATTTGGTGTCATTTAACCGACCTCTTATCTCTCACAGTTAAAAAGATACCCATGGTGAGCATGGTAAGTGGGACACACTGTATATATACCTGACTTGAAATAAAACAAGATTTAATTTTCAACTAAACTTGAATCAGCTTCTACTGGAAATCGATATACTTACTCGAATGAGATTCTCAGTACAAATTTCAAGCCTTGCATATTCTTTTGATTGCTACATTCAATTTCATCATTCCATTCATGGAATTCATAACTTAGCTTGAAATAATTCTAGATCAAGGAATGCTCAAGGTACCTCTTCCACCTTCCTTGGAATTGACATTTCCTTGAGGCTTCCTTTGAGCGCATATTACGACTATAAATTGGAAACTGGTCCTTATGGATGCCTTAAGGGACGAGGTCACCTTAAGGAGCGACTATAAATACGGGCCTTAGATCAAGAAACACTAGAGTGGATGAGTAGCAGGACGATCACTATATCCCCATCATTCGCGATTTTATTAATAAATCTGCGTTTGGCGTTTAGAATTGTTAACGTAAACTTTTCAACGATTTATTAAGTTCTCACCTGTAGCGCAGCGATGCTAGCCGGCTCGTTCAGATGTTTCTCCCCACCAGCTCTCCAATGATAATTACCGGCGTCTCTGAGAATCAGGGCGTCGGGGCTCTGCTTGTAGGCGTTGTCGTGCCTCTCGAACGCCTCGACGGCCAGCATCTCCAAGGTGACACCTCCTAGTCTGGAGGGCGTGCCCTTGAACGCCTTTTCGATGACGTCTTCGGCCAGGCCGACCGCCTCGAATATCTGGGCGCCCTTGTAGGACTGTAGGGTGGAGATGCCCATCTTGGCCATCACCTATATGGATGGATGAGAAAAATCATTCAGTCTGATAGCGTCTATGATAAACTGATCGTATGTAATAGTCCAAGACCGACATCTAATAACAAAATTATACAGGCTGATTCATCATCATCATCATTTTTATTACTCCATAAACTATTATACAATAGATTGGATTCGTCAAACAATTACATACTAACATACACATAACAATGAGTAACAAACAAATAATAATAAATACAGCAGAAGGTGAGGACATAACATAACAAATTTTTACAAGTCATAAGAACCTCATAAATATCATGAATATCAAATCATATCAATATTTGTCAAATAATCCACAAATTCATATTTCGAATAGAAGCACCCATTCAGAAGATTTTTTCCAAGATTTATCTTGAATTTGATATCTCTCAACTGCTTGAGATCAGTAGGTAGGGCATTATAAAGATCACTTCCAGCATATATTGGTCATTTTTATAGTTAGATGAACGCGGTTTCTTGAGTCTTATATTAGAATTGTTCCTCGTATTGTAGTTACGGAGGTCTGAACATTTGTTGAGCATATTTTTGTTAATGTGAATATATGAAAGTATTTTATACAAGTGAGGTACGTAGTTTTTGAAAGGCATCAGATTAGTATAGATGCAGTTTTCATCAGGTATTAGATTAGTATAGAGGTCAGATAATTTATACGACGCTATAAAAGCAGATGATATTATATCATTGCTCATGTAAGATGAAAGTAGATGCCATGGCACCATATCATGAGCATATTTTTATATTGAAACTATCATTGGGCACCAAAGATGTGTATACGTCGCTCTGAAAGTTCAGAGAACTGGAGATTTTTCCCACAAACTACGTACTTAGCCCACTCGACTGTCTTGGTTTTTCCACACAAACTACGTACCTAGCCCACTCGACTGGCAATAGGTACTAAAAAAACAAAAAAAAAAAGAAAGTTCAAACAATGCCAACATATTTCTTCTTTGCGGGAAATCAAGACAGTCGAGTGAGCTAGGTACGTAGTTTGTGGAAAAAATTTCAGAGAAAAATGTTATACAGATTTTTTGTAGATTCTATCAAAAGGAATAATTATGGTTCTATAACATTTTCAGATATTTTCAGTTGTTTTCGAGATATTTGGAATTATCTGAGAATAAAATTCTCAACACTTTTGTTCCATCTTCCAATCAACAAAAGGAAAAAATATTCCATGGTTCAGGGGAACTCGATGAGCTTCATCTATCAATAATCTTTGTTTTTCAATATATCTTCATGGTACCCTATGGGTCGTTCAAATTTTTTTTTTCATATTTTTCACTTTATTCCCTGTACTATTGGGTTTACAGAAAAAATTATGAGTAATAATTTGTAGGAAATGTTCCAGTGGATAACTTTGCACTTCTGATAATTTTCGATTTTTCCATTTGTTCTCGATATATATTGAATTGAAAGGATTTCAAATTCTGATATTTTGATTTTCATTTGTTTTTCCATTTTCCGATGGATGCACGAAAAATTGAATGAATAATAATTTGTTGCGTCATCAAAGAGGCATACGGTGCATTTTTCAAATTTGGATTTAGTCTATTGGTTCAGGAGATATGTCGTTTTAAAGCGAACCGTGTGTTTCGGAAAATCTCCTTGAAAAACCCACTTGGAATTTCTCGACCCTGCTCAATTTCAATAGGCTTCGTCTCTTCCTGATAGAGTTATTTTTCACAAAAAATGAAATCGATCGGACCACTTTTGCGATTTGTAGAGTGGTCGCAAGAAACTTTCAGTGAGAAATCGAGAAAACCCGGAAAAACCACCTTAGAGTTTTCCGATTTCCTTCATATTTTGATGACATAATATTGTTTTGAGTAAAATAAGATGGCAAAATTTCAAGTCGATATGTCAAAGGGTTCCGGAGATATATCGACTTATGATTAACACAGAGTACAGACAGACAGACCACACACAAAAACCAAAGTTGCTCAAAATTCGATGGGGATCATTTTCTCCAAAGTAACTATACCTCTATCTCGCTTAGTTTCCGAGATAGCATTTTTGGCAAGGCCGTAGTATACTCCACTATGTATAGCGTCGTATAATAAGTAGATGCAGGGAACGGTATACCTTGTTGTTTGAATGTGTTTCTACAAAACGAATTAAATGGGAGATTGAATAATAATCTGACGATCCGTTTCTGTCCGATAAAGACCTGTTCAATCTCGGATGCCTGACCCCATACAATTAAATTATATGACACTGTCGAGTATACAAAGGCATAGTAAATATTCATTAGAGAACGGGTGTGCAGAGTGGTTTTGAGAGATGAAATTGCAAAAAAACTTGGATTAAGTTTTCGACAAACCTGATCAATATGGTGTTTCAATGTCATATTTTCATTAATTATTGTTCCCAGGAGTTCTTCAGAATTAGAAGCTTTTATAAAAGTTTTGTTGAACGAAATTCTTAGATCGAGTGGTGGCCGATGACTATTGTGGAGCTCGATGATCTATGTCTTAACATAATTAATGATCATGTTTTTAGATTGGCACCATATCGAGAATTCGGTCATCGTTGTGTTAATTTTATTACAAATATTATCCGAGTCTGTGTCCGAAGTCTTATCTAACTAACGCTAGGGTCCCTGACATGACATTGCTGTCACGTCACATTCACAATAAGGAATACGCATGATTTTTTGTTTAATCGAAATTATATTCCTTCTTACTTATAATAACATTGGATATCATTCATTAATCTCAAATTTGCTTGTGACTCTAAAAAATTTCATTTAAATGAGGCTAAATATGAAGTCACAGGAAAACGGGTTAGTGGCCATCACTAATATTATGACGTCATAGTATTAGGCCGCACAGCCATAGACTAGCGCGACAGAATGACAAGATTCAGATTGAAAAAAAAAAAGAAGAAGAAGAGGTAGGAGAAGAAAACAGTTTTAAACGCCAGAAATTTGAAATTTGAAAATGATAATATACTGTTTAGTGCCGCAATGCCTTTCATCAACAAAAGTATCACCAGAAAAAATATTCCTTTTATTGCCAGTGGGATCGAGTGATAAAAATAAAGAGAAAAGAAAATTATGGTTGCAAGCCATAAATAGAAATGATTTATCCGAGAAAACCAGAGGATTTGTTTGTGAAGACCATTTCGAAGTGAGTATAAGTTCAAGTATGTCCTAGTGAAACCCATTATATATCAATGATTATGTACCTCATGTTATTAGGAGAATAATATAATATGTAATTTCGTTTTCAGCTTGAAGATATGGAAAACTATATGAGATATAAATTGATAGGTGGTAATATATATTTGAAACAACATGCAAAAAGAAGTCCTGTTTGATCATTCTTATTGTAGATATTAGCTTATTATTCAGTTATTATTATTCAGAATATTGAGATCATATAATTGAGATAGATTATAGAAACTACAAGCTCAGATAATCATAACCTCACTTTCTCTTCTTATATTCTTTTCAATCTTTTGGACATGAATGTTTGACATGACAAATAAAAACAGCCACATCCAGTCGGAAATCATCGCTGCAGTTCGGCTGTTGGTCGGAAAGTTGCAAATATTATGATTTTCAATCAGAAATTATTAAATATTCGGTGCTTAATAATGTTTTTCGGATGTATAATTCGACATCTATACATATGAATAATGGAACAAAAATATATTCCAGTGTAAAATTTTCACACGCGTATACCCTATTCTGTTTTGGAAGGATGGTGAAATGTGCTGCGTTAGGCTGTATCAATCAGTTGCATGGCAAATTTGAATTTGTCAGCTTTCCATCAAATGCAAATGAACTTAGAACATGGAAAGTGAAGTGACCGAATGGGGAAAATTGGTGAATACATCAGCAAAATATTTGAGGTTGAACTAATACGAAATCACATATTATACTTTCTCATTGTGCCTATAATTATCCACTCCACAAGTTTTTGAATGCATTTACGTAGAAACAGTTTTGATCAAAACGGAGGATTAAAAGAAGAGGCATATGCCCTACCATTCAAAAAATTATACCTACATACCAGGAAATATTAAGTGTTTGTGAAAAACTGCAAAAATGATTCCTAACATGACAGCACACATGACATATTACAACATTAGTTTGAATACCTACATACAATTTTTCTCAACCATGAGGCTTAGTCTAAAATCAAAATTCATTTATTGATAGGTACTGCCTAAGAACAGTCCCATTTGGTAAAACGTATTCAACTTTCAGAAAAATTTGCTCACTGCCTCACAAAGATTATACTGGAGTTGAAAAATCAAGAACTCGAAAATTATCATCATCATTTGGATATAATATGTAGAGTTGAATGAGAATTTACATGTGGAAATTACGTATGGTACGCCATTGTCCTCTATATAACCTTAAAAACAGCAAATGTCAGAAATCTAGTGTTTATCCCCAGAAATGAATAAAGATGGAACTATACAGTGCGTTCATAAAGTGTGGAAACGCTCCATTATCTTACGATATAATTATTTTCAGAGGTAAAGCTCGGACAGGTCGATTTTGTATTTCAGTCTTCCATCTTTTTTTACAAAAAAAATAATTTTTTCCCCCACCACCTTACAAGATATGACGTCATAGATATTTTTGTTTAAATTGAAAGGGTATATTTTTATATCAAAAATTGAAAGCCCATATTTTTCTGAGTTCAACCATACCACATACGTCATATCTTACACTTCAAGTTACAGTATACTGAGTATAAAAGAAACCAGTGTTCATATTTCTCAACATTCATTTAATTATTTATTTGCAATGAAAATATCATAAGAAGTAGTGAAAATAAACAAATAACAAATCTACTTCATTTTCACTACTTCTTATGATATTTTCATTGCAAATAAATAATTAAATGAATGTTGAGAAATATGAACACTGGTTTCTTTTATACTCAGTATACTGTAACTTGAAGTGTAAGATATGACGTATGTGGTATGATTGAACTCAGAAAGATATGGGCTTTCAATTTTTGATATAAAAATATACCCTTTCAATTTAAAAAAAATATCGATGACGTCATATCTTGTAAGGTGGTGGGGGAAAAAGATATTTTTTTGTAAAAAAAGATGGAAGACTGAAATACAAAATCGACCTGTCCGAGCTTTACCTCTGAAAATAATTATATCGTAAGATAATGGAGCGTTTCCACACTTTATGAACGCACTGTATAACTGTTTCACAAACACTTTAGAGTGAGAGGAGACGAGGATCTGTCCGTGCCCTGTTGGGATGACAAATACGTCAATTTACATCAAGGGACCCTAACTAATACCATCCAGTGACTTTAGTGTTGCGTAGTGTTTTATTTAATACTTTTTGTAATAAAAATGAGATCTATCTGTCTGACTCTAGAAGCCACGTTTATTCAATGACATGCTCAGTCACAATCACAATACAAATACAGTATGATTCAATCGCAACATCTTCAAGATATTAATACAGAATGATTCAACTGATCTAATACATATAACACGTAGTTTAGAATGAAGATGTCGAAATCGGAAAGAAGATTCGAGTCTCACCTTGCTGATGCCGGTCGACATGGCCTGCGCGTAGTTCTGGAAGATAGCCTCGTCAGTAAGAGCAGTATCCAAGACGCCCTGGTCGCGCAGACTCGACGCCAGCTCGAGCGCCAAATAGGGACAGACGACGTCGGCGCCGTAGCCGAGCAGCACGCAGACGTGGTGGACCTCGCGCGCCTCTGCCGACTCCACCACCAAGGACACCTTCATGCGGGAGCGGGTCTCGATGAGGTGGTGGTGAGTTGCGCCTAAGGACGATTCGAAATGCTATACAGGGTGAACATTTGAAAACTGTCAAAATAAGAACCCAATTCAGGAAAAAACCATTGTATTTTGTGGAATAAATATTTTTTCTACTAGCGTGCGGAAAAATTCACTTTTTCGCACTCATTTCAGTGTTGAAAGAGTCACTTTTCCGCACTGAGTGCGGAAAAGTAAATTCGTTAAGTTTTAAGGGAATATACTGAAATTTGAATAAGTACTCAAGATTTATATTTGTATGATTGTAATTTACATAATGACATATATGGGGAATTGTATTAGAATTCTGTTATAATTTTTGATAAAAAGGAACGTATGTTTCAATAATTTTTAAATGGCCCTGGTATAAGCCTCATCAAATGAATGTCAAATAATAATAAACATCTGACATTTTTTATTTGTCATTTTGAATCACCGTAGCAACAATTGGCAAGGTGATCGACCGTTGAGGGCGCTGTATCAAAAACAAGATGGCGGCGTTATCAGGGCACTTTGTTTACATATTTTGTGTGTTTTGCATACATTTTATTCCTGCTATTTAATCGTGTTGATTGTGTTAATTCTCGAAGTTATCACAGAAAATATCAGAAATCATTGTTGAATCATCATTACATCGTGTGTGTGATTGAAATAATACTGTCTTACGGATAGTATCACAGCTACAAATAAGCCTTTTATCAAACCTGTGACATTCTGTTGGATATCAAAATGACCCAACCATTTCAACTATCGGTGAATTAGAAAGAAGCTGATATATTTGCAATGGCAATGGACATTATGGACAATCTCAGCACAAAAACTGACCGAAAGCGCTGTGCTAATCTGTATTCAGATCCATCATACATTCCATACCAAGACCAGGCGATATTTCATACGACCACAACATACTTATAGCTGCAGCCCCAGGGAAGCCCTTTTAAGCCAATATGAAGAAATAAACATTCCAACTCACAGAAGTTTCAAGTTTATCAGTGATATGGGAATTATATCTCTCACAACAAAATAAAATAGTAGAAGGTTCCAATGGAGAAATGTAGGACCTATAATGTCTTTCAAAATGAATTTCCTGCACTTGAGAAGTCTTTTCTGATGATAAAAAATCAGTTCTGTTGAATGGAAGCAATGGATAAACGTTGAGAATCGAATATGAATTTGAAAACTGGATGCTGGCAGCTCCAACAATAACTTACCACCTTTCTTCACTTCATTGGTCCAATAATGAAAACAATAAGGTAAATTTGTGATTTATAGATATATGTATTACTGATAATTGACTCTTATTTGTAGTGCCTATCTGAGAGAGAACATGATTCATATTCTGTTTATGGGGAAATGTCTCCAGAAACTAGGACTTGGAAAAATAAGTATGGTTGTTTTTCTTCCAAATATTCTTATAATGAAAATAAAGAAGCAAATTCAATGCCTTTGCTTTTGAACTGCAATACACAAGGCTGGACAAGAAAGAATCTCTGAATCTCTGAAGTTAAATAGCCAATGCAGATTGCATGGACTTCAAAAACAATTAAGTTAGAATACAGCTCCCTATTACATTCATATGAGGTGGTTCAAGATTCAGAATTCTGATCATCCTGTATCTGTTCCGATTAAATATCAGTAAATAGTAAATCAGAAGTTGAGATAGGGACATGTGAGCCGTTTTGGACGATAATGAATAGTTTCGACACAAACAAAACCTAAAGTTGAAAAATCTCGATTTTGAACACCCAATTTCTCTGTAATCATTTCCGATAGACCCCAAGTGTGATGTATCGATGAAATCAGCTCTTCAGGGAGAATTTAAATACAGGGTATTCTATTTGGAATAACAATGTTGTTGCTACTTTTTGATAGAAGCGGCAACAATGCATTGCTGAAAATATTATAAATGAAGAGAGCGTATTCTAAAATATTAGCATGCATATTTTCATGGATTTCTCCCGAATGATTCGCGATATACAGATAGTGTAAGCTCGCCGTGACATACCCTGTATAGTGAATCAGACATAATAATCGTTAAAGTAAAACTTGGAAACTCCATGGCCCACTAGCAAAAATTCATCATAGTCTGATGTTTTAGTGTTTTTTAGGATTTCTGGAAACCATTAACGAATTCAACCTTGGATTTAACTAAATAATGAAATACATGTATCTCCAAAATCATAACCCCTGAAGAAATTGGGTAGGCCACTGATTCCTCCGCAAAATTCTCTGTTAGACATAGTATTCGTAGTAACTCAGCACAACCTTATTTCTAATAACTTCGTAGAGAAGCCTGGCAGTCTAAATCAAAATGTACATTCAAATCTGAAATACCCTGTATGTCTCATTGTGCATTTTACACTCTCGAGAAATTTGCTAGAATTTTTCAATACTTCTGACTGTTAAGTTTTTTCGAATCTCTAGAGATTTTCGTGAAAATTATATTTTTAGCCTGTGTTTAATTTTTTCAAATCGTTAGACTTTCGAAAATAATAGTGCCAGTATATCCGTGTTCAATTCTTCATCTTATATCTTGTATACTATATATCTGTTCCCCTGTATAATTTCATTATCGTCATTAGTCATAGATAAATCGGTTCGCAGCATGATTCAACCTATTAGTCATTCATTCGAGACCAGGTGGTGAATCAAGACAGTCTTATATTAGATGTCATCACGTACGGTCGACTTTTCTGATCGCAATTGAAAAATACGCGAAAGGAATTATTTATCGTTCCAAACGGAGTGTTCACTTGAAAATGAGTGCAAGTATTGTGTTTTTGTGTTCCTCATACAATTCAGTGATTATATTATCGCGATCGTGTGCTGTTCTAGTGTTTTGTGTCACTTCGTGTTGTTTCATCAAACCCTGGTGAGTAGAGATAAATTCTCTCAAGTTTTCCTCATATTTCCCTCTGTCCTCTTTACTTTCAACTTCATTACCTTATAGTATGTTTTCAAAATCACAAAGGTACCGCTTGTTGAATATTTTCCGATGAAGGAATACTTTCTTCTGATTTTCGTGCTTTCCGTTCAGAACTATATTTTTTTAGAAGATAATAATGGGAAAAGAGCAAACCAGAAGAAAATAAGACGATTCGAAATTTTCATGGAAAAATACCTTTTGCCCATACAGGGTGTTTCAGATACAAATGTACATACTATACCTGCAGATATAGGAAACTTTGGTGGTTTCAATCACCCCCTATCGATGTGTCTACCATCTTTTATAACTGCGATACAGAACGTGATATTGAATTTGGCGAAATCTGTATAATCGATATTCAAATTATATTATTCATCAAAACTAAATAGGAATCAAATTTAGAATCCAGAACCGTCTTAAGGAAAAACAGAAAACAATACTGTATATCGGAATTTTGTAGATATGTTTTGATATTTGCAAAGAGCGGGAAAACTAATGAATTGGCATACCTCTTGATAGTGCACTTCCAATTTGACATATTTTTTCATCATTATTTTTGTAAATAGAATTTTTATTGAGCTCGTAATTCAAAATTCAATTTTATTGCAAAAAATCAGTCCTCAAATTTCAACTTCATTAGAGTCAAATTGCATAGAATAATTTGTCAAATAGTTTAGATACTTTCAAGTGCTCGTTACATTTTCACTATTTCAAAAAATAATGATAACACAAATGTGATTATGCAGTTATGCCTCGAGTTATACATAGAGATCAAAAAATAAAGACCATGTAAAGATTTTGCCAAAATCATATTTTCAGCCTGTTTAATTTTTTCAAATCGTTAGACTTTCGAAAATAATAGTGCCAGTATATCCGGGTTCAATTCTTCATCATATATTTTATATACTATATATCTCTTCCCCTCGTATAATTTCATCATCATAGTTGTCATTAGTCATAGATGAATGTGAGTAAAGAGTTTTCCCCATATTTCCCTCTTTACTTTTAACTTCATTACCTTATATGTTTTCAAAATCACAGAGGTACCGTTTGTTGAATATTTTCCGATGAAGATATACTTTCTTCTGATTTTAGTACTTTCCGTTCAGAACGGTATTTTTTCAGAAGAAAATAATACGAAAAGAGCAAACCAGAAGATAATAAGACGATTCGAGATTATTTCATGAAAACATATTTTTTGGCTATACAGGGTGTTTCAGATTTAAATGTACAAACATCGGTGTGGCAACCATCTTTTATAACTGTGATACAGAACGTAATCTTGATTTCGGCAAAATCTTTCCCAGGTCCAGCTCATAACTTTTGAACCATGTTGTAAAATAGGAATCGAATTCAGAATCTAGATCTGTCTTCTTTTTCAAAAACAACACTCTGTATATCAAAACTTTGTAGATATGTTTTAATATCTGCAAAGGGCATGAAAACTGAATGGATTGGCGTACTTTCCAACAGTGTGCATCTAATTTGCCTTTTTTTCATCATTATTTTTTGAAATAGAATTTTTATTGAGCTCGTAATTCAAAATTCAATTTCATTGCAAGCAAAATATCAGTTCTCAAATTTCAATTTCATTGGCGTCAAATTAAGTAAACTATCGATAGAATTCATTGCATAGAATAATTTGTCAAATAGTTTAGATATTTTCGAGTGCTCGTTACATTTTCACTATTTCACAAAATAATGATAACACAAATTTGATTATGCAGTTATGCCTCGAGTTATGCAAAGTGGTTGAAAAAATAAAGACCATATAATAGAGATTTTGCCAAAATTATATTTTCAGTCTGTGTTTTTTCAAATCGTTAGACGAAAATAATAGTGCCAGTACATTCGGGTTCAACTCTTCATCATATATTTTGAAAACCATATATCTTTTCTCTCCGTATAATTTCATCATCATCATCATGGTTGTCATTAGTCATAGATGAATCATCTGGTTTTCGTACTTTCCGTTCAGAACGGTATATTTCAGAAGAAAATAATACGAAAAGAGCAAACCAGAAGATAATAAGACGAGTCGAGATTATTTCATGAAAACATATTTCTTGGCTATACAGGGTG